AGTATAGATTGACTGATAAAGATTAATTAATAAATACTTGTGTTATCGTACTAGTGGAGCGTTATATTAGGCCTCCAGATCGCCAGACTAAATTCTCAGTGACTTAACCGCAATCTCAGTGACCTGCCAAGTGTAGGACAGTGCAAATTCCTTATAAAAGAGATATCCTTTGTTTAGTATTGAACGAAACAGACCTACCGGAAGATGATTAATAGAGTTTTGTTTGTTTGTCTCCGTCTATCAGGCAGGTTGGCGCAGTGGCTGCATGGGCAACCGGTTGCAGCGCAACGTATCGCATTTCGATCCCCGAATTTACAACTTTTTGTGTGATCCACAAATTATAACACTGAGTTTGGGCGTTATGTGTATGATTGGAAACGCACCCACTATACAGAGAAAAACGAGAGCCCTAGCGGGCCACGAAAAAAAAAAAAGCAATCTAGACAAAAAGTATTAGTTCAAGTTTATTATAACTTTTTACTATATCACTTTGTTTTTAAAACCACGCAACGATACCTTTAACATCCTATCAGACACTGCACTTAGCCACATACTGTTGGCAACAGTTTACACCGGTCGAACGCCAGGTGAATACTTACATGGTGCTTCTCTGCAGTGTAGGTATAATTGCATATCTATGTACTTAGATAAAGTTTTTCGACATTTCCGAGTATTATCTGATATAATAAGAGAGACTTTTTAGATTTTTCTTTTAAGTATCTAACGTTGTAACACCGACTTAATGACGTAGCAGACCCCGCTTTTGTATCTATTTGAGTAGGTGCGGAACCCTGGCCTGGATTCCTCTATGTTCGTAGCCTTAGTCTCTAGTTGACCTAATTTCCATTGATATTGAATGATTTGCGATCGCAGTCGCTGCTTGTGTGAACTTTCTATCACTCGAGATGAAAGATCCAAAATAAGAGAATAAATATTACTTTTTCTTCAATAAAAGCACATATTGCGGTTTCTGGAATTGTGCCAGGTGTATGAATAATTATTATCTTACCTCTTATACAACATAGAAATTGATATTACGAAAAATAAATAAGCGCTCCTACATGGTCAATAAAAGGCGTAACTCACACTTAGAAAAATATATCCTTAGTGTGATTTACAAATTGTTTTTCAAGATCTACATTACAATAATATGTAATTACATATAAAATGTCGTGGTGGCCCGGAGGTTTAAGACGCCCGCTTCTCATGCATGAGGGTGCGGGTTCGAAACCTACCAACGGCGAGTACCAATGTGACTTTTTCCGAGTTATATGTACTTTCTAAGATTATTCAGACACCACTGACAAACGGTGAAGGAAAACATCGTGAGGAAACCTGGACTTATAATTTCTAATTATAAGTTTGTAATCGCCAACCCGCATTGAGCAAGCGTGGTGATTAATGCTCAACCCTTCTACGTGTGAGAAGAGGCTTTGCTCAGCAGTGGGCATTTATAGGCTGTTGATGATGATGATGATGATGATGATGTAATTACATAATTATGTACGAGTAATATAGACACAATTAAAAATGCACAGGTGGCACAATGGTTGCTAGGCTACCTTCAGCTACCTAAACGCAATACGTTAACATGTCACCTAGCGGCACGCGTCCATTAGGTTAAGACGTGGGTGCGAAAAGTGTAAAATGGGCTTTTCAAACTTAAATGCCTTTATTTAGGCCTTTTGTAGCTCGTAATTTAAAGTTAGCCTAGCTTTCCTTACCTAATTTTTCTCATCAGTAGTGTCGAATTGGGGTTTCACACTTCATTTCTTCATGAAAGAAAAAGAAAAGATAAGAGTGCACACATAATATATTCTTGTGAAATGGCTAGTCTTTTTGAGAGGCTGACTTAAATAAGTTATGTGGTTAAATGCACCTTTATCTATACATATAATAAAACTGTAGAAGTGTAAATTCTGTACATTGAAGATATTAAAAAAATAAATAGTAGGGGGTGTTATTAGATTAATTGGAATAAAATAATTTATGCCTGTCTATTTGTCAGTCTGTATGTATATTCACGTATCACGTAAAAACTTACTGGTCCGATTACTATGAAACTTGGTATCATTATTTAATACCCCAGAGTATTGGGTACTTTTTATCTCGGAAAAGTATATACACGAAAAAACAAACTTAATTGTGCAGCTCAATCCCTATACACAGATACTGTACCAAACGCATACAGTACTGTTTACGTTTGTCGAATGTTAGGTTGCCCGCAGCGGACTTTACGCTGTAACTGACGGTAACTGCAGGGCTGATATGGTTGAAATTAGCTTGAACCGATATTATAAATACGAAAATATGTGAGTTTGTGTGTTTGAGTGTATGTTTTTTACTCAGTCACTCACATCAAAACGTCTGAAGGAATCGGGTTGATTGTGAAACTGGAACAATGGTAGATTATGGTATGGAGTATATAACAGCATAGGCTACTTTTTATACCAGGGAACGCGGACGAAGCCGCTGGCAGAACCTCAAGTCTATAAATCGTTACCTACGCCTGGGCGTACCCTAAAGGGTGAAAGAGATTCCAAGGAGGTTCCTACAGGAACAAAAATATTAGTGTGGCCTCTGTTTATTAAAAATAGTTACAAAGTGGCGAATGAATTTTATGCATTTAAAGCCATCTAAGTAATTACAACTCCTTTTCAGTTTTAATTTAACTAATTTATCTAAGTAATACTTTTTTAATCCCTTCTTGCAAGGAGATATCTATCTAAATACTCAAAACATTGACCTTGAATATAAATATAGAAACACAATAGGTACCTACACTGTCAATGCTTATGCATTCGTGTTAGTAAAGAGCTTAGTTAGATAGATACAGATAGCTTTGTGGGTGAGGGGTAGTAACGCAAGCGCGGTGGGGTTGACAGAGTATTGATCGGGTCCTACAAGTTGCCGCCAATGCGCGCGCAATACACGGATATAGAGTTCACCGTGCGCCGTGACAAGCCAACAAGGTTTTAGGTTTTCCCGCGCATTTATACTGCGCATAGTTCCGCGCAGGTCAAAATAAAGGGGCGAAGAGAGGGGCATCCTCCGAGGGCGCGAGCTCGGCCCGGGACCCTCACATTACGTAACACTAAACGCACAGGACGGCGCACAAACTATGTGATTTTATTTTATCTTACATTTTTCTACGGTTTTTGATTACTTATACAATTTTTAGGCATAAGTATAGTGATATTATGTTAACTGTCGGGGATATAATTCAGGTGGTTTTATGTTTCATTATTTTGGGATTTATTGATAAAATAGAATCTTATTACTATCTTTATAAAATCAAACAAAAAGAAGGAAATAATAATAAAGAAGAAGAAGCTCAAGAAGCCGAAGAAGTGAATATTGTTGATAGCATTGTGGTGGCGATTGCTCCGGAGTGATACAAATTTAAAACAAAAATTCGATCGATCGTTTTAGTTATAGTTAATCGTAAATTATTAGTAAATAGGTCTTTGTTATTAGAAGAGATACGAAACCAAAACAAATGAATAGTATTGTACTAAATGTGACAATACTCAGTAATTCATTTCATTGAGAATAAGAAGATATTCATCGATAGTCGTATGTTGTGCTGAGTTATATTTACAAGATGACAATGGGTGAGTTTTTGATTATATTTTATAAGTATTTTTTCATACTGGATGTGTACTCATACTAATTAAACTAAGTCGTAAAATCGAAAGACGTAAAATTTTATACTTTTTTTAAATTACAGTTTAAGTACCTACCTATAATTAATTATTAAATACTGTTGCCTCTGTGTCAATTTAAAATGTTATTTTCGATAAGCATTTCGCAGATTTATTTATGACTATTTATTTAAATATGGGTTAATTAAGTGTAATTGCTTTTCTATACGGTTATTTATTCATACGTAATTTTATTAATTCGGCAGGCAGCAATTTTTTGTGTTTAACGATCTATTTATCTTTCGGTTATCTGTCTATTTGGTACCCCCTCTGATGCATAGAGCCACCTACATGGTGGACATGTGTTAACTTAATACCCTAAATACTAGATCCTTCTGTTGATAGTATGTCCATTAGGTACGTACTTAAACTATGCTATGCAAGTAGACAAAACAATACAAGATGTGTTGTTGCGTCACCGGACGAGAGTAGTGTAGCGGCTGAATCGCAACGTCTACATTGTGTAGATGTTGACGACATTATTCAAATAATATTAACGTTACCTAAATTCCTCATAGATTTGACAGATTTGGAAAAATAAAGAAGGGTTTGTTTTTGAATACAACAACTTAGATGATAAATATTTATAGGTACATGAACACTCATATGTGTAGAAAGAGAAGCACTATGAAAGGATTTTTCGAAAATGTTAATATATTAGAGTTTTACCTATACATAATATATTTTTTAAAATGTAGGTACCATGTATACCTAACTCCTTACCTACAGTTAAATAATTAAGCGAGTACGTTTTGAAATGGGTGTTTCATTCCGCACATGATAATAGTGTAAATCATATAATTTTCAATATTTTAACAAACGTACATGTAGTTTTTTTGCTATGTTACAAGTGAATGTTTAATTTCGAAGTTAAAAATAAACGAGTTAAATTATAGAGAGATAAACTTTAACTAATTTTAATAGGTCGACCAATTTACTATGTTAATTTTGTTTGTTAATGAGTGACGCAACTACGTTACATCTAACCTGTTTAACTGAATCTGAGTGAAGTCAGTTTGTTAAGCGGCGCGCGCAGTGTGAACGTGCGCCCCGCGGCTGCGGCATAGTGCGCGAGAGTCGCGCGCCGCGCCTTCTTGCGCCCGCTAACGTCCAGTGTGGTACTCAAATACTTCGTTACCTCGCTTTACGCCGTGAACCGATTAACACCACTAGCGTAACTTTATACGAGATACAATTGAACGCCATCGTGCATGACGAAAATTCCCGCGTTTTGCTCCCAGTTCACATATACCTTCGTTAAAAAGTTACTGATCAATCAAATTATATCCTAAAATTATGGAAAAAACTGACTCATTCGCTATCTTGGATATCAACATTGGAGATAAGGATAATGAAAATGCAGAAACAGGGATAGGCAAAGATCACGATGATTCTAAGAAAAATTTGCCTTTCACAACAGTTATTAAAATTCGTAAGTGTAACTATTGTTATAAAATAATCAATGTCATTATTCAATCAACTAAGTATAAGCAGATAAATAAGTATTTAACCAACATTTAGTAAGTGTAAAAAATCTAATACAATCTTGCGAAGCACTATAGGCTATAATCTCCCAAATTATTTGTTAAGTTCTCCCAAAATGTAACAAACATGAAAAAAGATAATATAATATTGGACATACATTCTGCTAAAAAAGGTGTTAGGTACTAATGGCAACATTTTAGTGCCAATTTAGAACCGCTTGAAAACAATACTGTATCAAATCCTTACTTAACGAATAATCTTTTCCCACCAGTAAAACTAACTACAATGACTATGTGGATTTTTACATTCCCACAGCACAAATAAATATGTATGTAAGCAAGAATTCTAATCACAGTAAGAAGTTCACATAATTATCTATTTAACTGCAAGATTGTGGGCAAAATTTAGATCACAAGACAAGTCAAACGTTTATATTGTAGTTATTCCACCTTGCATAATTAGATTTTAACTTTTTATTACTTGGAAAATGAACTTCAAAACAAAACATTATTTGGTTGGGTTTGAATTTACTAATTATTACATTATGCGGTACCTTTTGTCTCTATCGATCTGAACATGAATTTCTGTGAGCGTAGTAGCAAAGTGGCACGTTTGTCGCTTCCGCTAGTCGTCCTCAATTGTCTTCAATATCAGGTGCGCACGCGCATTGTCCCTGGACGGCGCGAGCCGCACCAAACCTCCAAGGGAACCCGTCATGTTCCACTCCGCTGCCGTCCGTTGTAACTACTTGCAATGCCCTCCTTCCTATTAGCTTTACAGGCTTAACTTAATCGTCAGGCACACAAAGTGAATAATAAACGGATTAATGTTTATTACTAATTAATGTTAATTATAATCTTCCGTAAGTGTCTTCGATAAGCTCGTCAGCTTCGTTTCCAATTTTGGATAAACTGAGTCTGTGTTTGATTTCAATTTACTCCACCTCATGTGTATATTTATGTACCGTGCCTCATTAATCATGAATGTGTTAAGGGAATTTTGACAATCTTGGGTTTGAATATTGACGAGTCAACCAACATCGTGACCTTTTTAAATTGGGCAGCCAAATGTCATCTATTGTTAGCATCCATGATTATGATAAACAGTATCATTTGCACCTACTTATGTACTATTATGCACATTCTGCCTTATCTACTGAGTTCTTTGAAGAGTAAAAAGACGGGACGTTGTAATATTATTCAAAATTGCATTTGAAGATTGGCCTACTGTGCAGGCCTTATACAATAAAGCATACAATAACACTACAATTGAACAATAAATAAATGGTCAAGTTGATTTATTTAATCCGATTGTACTTGTATGCACTGCACGAAACATTGTTTACTTTAACGAAATTTCGTAATCGTCGGTATCGTATCAATTACTGCATAACTAATTGATGAATGTAAAACAATGGTAACCCTTTGAACGGTTGCATTGTGCAAAAGAAAACGATTCAGATAAATAAGTGTACCGATGTTATGGATATAACCACGGATACCCACCTATTACCTATTATAAATAATACTTGACTGTTGATTCGATTTTTAGAAATCACTGTTCATGTCATTCGGCAATTTAAAAATAAAACGGACCAATACCTTACCGTACTAGAGCTTTGAATATTTTTATAATATTGCGATATTTTTTACTAACCGACTACTTGCAACTTCGTGGAATAGTGGAGATTCACAGCTCCTCCCCTGCAGGTGTTAGCGTGATTATCATGCATATTAATGCAGCCTATATGTTAACCCGAACTATTAATAATATTCATGTGAAATTTGAAATAAATCTATGCAATACTTTTTGAGTTTAGCTCGAAAATAAATATAGACAAACACACATATATTCTAAAAACTATATTTTTGCCTTTGACTGTAAATCACGCCCCGAGTATTCTTTTATAAAAATATACAATGTATAGTTTTTATTTTCCTACGATTTCATTATATGTAATGATCAATACAATTGAGATTACAAAGGCGTACCTATACGCTAAACATTTGAGTTATTTTGTTGACAGAACGTGATCGCGGTGAGCGCGACTACATCGGATTCGCGACCCTGCCCGAGCAAGTGCACCGAAAATCGGTGAAGCGAGGATTTGATTTCACACTAATGGTTGTGGGGGAGTCGGGACTCGGCAAGTCAACACTTATCAACAGCTTATTTTTAGGAGACCTTTACAAGAATAGAAAAATACCAGACGCACAGGGTAAGAGTTTTAGGAAAATATAATTTACACAAATCACCAAGCTTTTAAAGAAACGAATCCCATATACCTAATACATACTAATTGTCAATTGCAGATCGAATAGAAAAAACAACAACGGTGGAAAAGAAAACAATGGAAATCGAAGAACGGGGTGTAAAGTTGAGGTTGACAATAGTGGACACACCTGGGTTTGGAGATGCTATTAACTGCGAAGACTCTTGGAGAGTTTGCTCTGCATACATCGACGAACAGTTTAGACAGTACTTCACTGATGAAAGTGGATTAAATCGACGTCACATGCAAGATAATCGAGTGCATTGCTGTCTCTACTTCGTTCCGCCCTGGGCCCATAGGTAACATTTTATATTACAATTCACGAGCATGCCGACTATCTCATTCCGCTCTTAGGTAACTTTCTCTTTTGTTCTTTTGAGCTTTCGTTTTACAAGCCATTGTGTTGTCAAACAAGTGCTGTGTAAACGAGTGATACGTAGAAAATTATAGAGGAGGAGGAACAGGTTTAATGGGGCAGAACATTTAAAATTGAGCCGTTTGCTATGCATCTGTAATTTAGCCCTTGTGCCTGACTTTCTATCATGTAGGAAATACATCGACCATCGACCTAGTTTACTCTTAAATAGAGCCGACTTCATAAATAGAACTATCTCTCATAATAGTGTACGACCGTACGTGTCCGGAGGAGTGTATTATTTTATTAGGTCAATTATGGTCAGGGCCGAAGTGATAGGAGAACCGATGCGGGAGCACACGTGCCATGACTGATGCAAGATTATAATTTAAATTTGCTTCAGACAATAAATCTTGTTCCAATTGTCAAAACATCATAAAACCTGTTTAAATATACCTAAACGTTTATAAATGACAATTGTCTACCAATCAATGGTTTGATTTATTTAACACATCATAAAAGGCACTAACGTCGCTTTATTTGATAGCTAGCAATAAACAGATCAATAACAACTCGATGAAGTAAGGCTATTAAAACCCTTATGACGACGCATATATTGTGAGTATGAGCCCATGTGTGACTTCACCTTGTTATTATTTTATTTTTGACTAATACCTTTGTTTTGTGGTAAATTAGGATGACATGTTTTGCTTACTCGGTTTATAATATTTTATACATCACATCGTGTCCTCACGCGTCACTCCTCGCAAACTCAAATCGCACATACTTCTGAAGAAACGCAATAGTACAGCATTTATTCTACTTTCTTGCTTTGACAAAATTTATTGTTTCTAAATTATTTAATATTTCATACTTCGATGGACAGTGTTTGAAGAGCACTTAACATTTAGCAGTACTGCCTGTAGTTAAGGTTCATATTTCTTTCATTTATATATATTATCTTTCAGTTTACGTCATGTGGATTTGGAAATGATGAGACGGCTCCACCGCAAAGTGAATATCGTAGTGGTAATAGCGAAAGCGGACTCCCTAACTGCAACCGAAGTAAAACGGCTAAAGACACAAATACTTAACGATTTGGAAGAACATCAAATACAAGTAATCCGGAATTAATTTATTTCTGGTTTATGCCTTTCTTTACTTTTCACTAGAGCACAATAATTTATTTTTGACAGGTTTATCAATTTCCTGAATGCGACAGTGACGAAGATGAAGAGTTTAAGCAACAAGACCGAGAGCTAAAGGCAGCAGCCCCATTCGCTGTGGTAGCTTCAGACGTTGTCCTGGAAGTAGGAGGCAAACGAGTACGCGGACGACAATACCCATGGGGAATTGTCGACGGTAAGTTCTATTAATTTTCGACTACTCTAGAACTTTTGAACTGTCTTCAAGACTCTTATTACCCGACTGATTAAGGTGTGGTCCCAGGCCCCAGGTCCCACTTACTTACAGGTTTACGTACTTTATAAATATTTAACAACTTTTAACTGTAGGCACTGTATAGGCGGTAAGTTTATTGTAGAGTATGAGCACCAGTCGAGGGAGTTTCAATTGCCTCCCGTTTAATTAGATATGGTTATTTATTTATATTTTATTGATTTCGAAATTCTTACCGAAAACACGGAAATGGAATGTTATCTGGTGTTAACAATGGCGACTCATTTTTACTACTAGTGCTAACCCCTCCACTGCTACGAGTAGGTGCTTAGATAGATAATGTTGGAGTATGAAAGATGAAATGTGTTAACAATACGTTGTTGTACCAACAGTTGAAAATCCACGGCACTCCGACTTCACGAAGCTACGGACGATGCTGATCTCAACGCATATGCAAGACCTAAAAGATGTGACGCAGGACGTGCACTATGAAAATTTCCGAGCGCAATGCATCTCGCAGATATCGCAACATGCTATGCGGGAAAGAGGGTACGTATTACATATTACTTTACACCTGAAGAACAAGTCATCATTTATGTTACAAGTCCTCCCAGAGAATACATCTGTAAAAAATACTTACAAGATAGTTGTGGCACAAACAAGTATCTAAATCCCAAAGGTATAAGAATGGAAAAAACCGGAATGGTCTTGAATTACTAGTTTTCCATTTATTCTTATTAAACCGTGGGTTTAATGGATCTCGACTTATTTCATCATATAGGAAAGAGTATCCACCAACCGCCTACGGTAGGTATTATAATCGCCTACAATATGTACATACATTGTACAATACTAGTCAGTATGACCTCACTATAACTAAGCTAAATTGCCTGTACCTACTAAATAAAAGAGGGTTCACCTCAATAGACCGTGAGTCGCCTTTTGAACTAAAGAGGTATTAATTTACTAAAGCTAGAGAATAGCCTAACTCATATAGAAAACTAGGTATATAGGTTACGTATAACAGAGGTTAGCCATAACGTGCTATTACACTTTTCTATTTTTATCACAGCAACAATGTGACCAAAGTTTTAGAACATTTATTTTGGTCCTGCTCATTCATTGGACATAATTTTCATTAGTTAACAGCGTGGACTAAGGAACCTACTTATTTTACAGTCCATGGTTAACAGTTAGTTAAATTAAACAAATAATTTAGATCAATTTTGATTATACTTAAATAATTTTGATCAATTTCGCCTACCTATTTATTGCATGTATAGTATGGTATGACTTAAATTTCATATTGTGTTTCAGAAAGCTGAAGAGAGATTCGATGGGAAACAACAACGAAGTAGTAATCACAGATACAGATCGTTTGTTGCTGCAGAAGGACGAAGAGGTAAAATTATTTTTTCTCAATGTAAATCAGCGGTTTTTAGATTTATTAACCTAATAATAATGATTCAGTTGGGTAGGTACTCTAGCGTTAGGTACTAGGTAAATTTATCTGAATTAAGGTAACTGTACTAATTTTGGTTTCTTTTTCAGATCCGACGTATGCAAGATATGTTAACGCAGATGCAAGAAAAACTCAAAGCTTCCGATAAAAAACACGACAGTATTATAGATGTATAGAAAATAGACTGCAATATATTTAGAGTAGCATTAAAACTAACTACTCACATAGATGTAATAAATTATGAAAACCTCTTTAGAAAATTCAAATGAATTTAGATTTTTTATTATAATAATGATAGGTACCTAATGTAACAGAAATCATATAACAGTCGGTAATTTAAATACCTAGTAACAGAAAAGACAGCCTTCATAGAGATAGTCCACTAGGAATATATGGCTCGGTTACGACTACCAATTTCGTCTGCGAGGTAAACACATAATTTATGCAAAGATAATCTTTTATGGAGTTCCTCGATCCAAAAGTGACGCAAGTCGAGGACGCGTCGTGGGGCAACAGTATAGTTGGTTGTGCCACGCCGTGTCTAATATTGATGTGCACTAAATTGGAACGCGCGACAAACACCACAACGACGACACAACGCAACTTCCGCAAACGATGGAGTTATTTTCCGTGCCATAAATTCTACCTTTCCCACACGATCGATCGAACACACCGCCTGCCTATCAATCTGTTAATACCTAATTAGGGATAATTTAGACAAAATTATAACTTCTCATGTATCCTTTGGTCAAAAGTAGTTAGTTAGGTATATTTTATCTTTGCAATAATAATAAACATAGACTAAGTAATTATATCTTGTAATTATCTCATAACTAACACCTTTTTATGTTTTCTATAAACTTGTTATACCGACCGTTAAGTACGTTTACATTATTTGTATGCAACCTTTATATTGTGACCTAAGTATTTATTATCTACAAGAAATATTTCGAACAGGTCGTTTTTAAAAGAGACAGTTTTCATCAAACAATTTACTATTTTTGCTTAAAATTTCTACACTTTAACCCTTGTTTGTTTAACAAGTAGGTAGAGAATCTGTCATTCACGGAAGCTTTTCCCTACACATAGTTAGTGGGTTATCAAAACAACAAAAATCTGCATCTAAAATAAATTCACGACACTTTATTTACAAGGTAATTATAGTTTTTGTGCCTCGGGTACTTCAAATACTTTTAATAACACAATCACTTCTAACACAATCTAGGCATACCAAAGTGTGTATTTAATTTTGTTCTATATAATTATTGAAATAAAGCAGTAAGTAAGTAAATTGATACTTTACCAAAATGACATGACTTTTATTTATATAATTAAGTACTTAAATCAATATTTAGACCTGAAAAAGCAAATGTATCTACGTATACTTAATATAACATCATTCCCGATTTCAAAAAAAGAGGAGGTACCTACTATATTCGGTTGATTGTATTTTTTTTGTTCGCCGATTACTCCGCCCTTAGTGAAACGATTTCCAAAATTCTTAATTTGTTTGAAAGGGTATAGGTACTCCTGAGATGGTCCCATTTCCATGAGGTCAGGATCTGATTTGGAAGGTTGGAATCCTAGAAACCGAGGGGAGCTTTCGAAAATTATAGGGGCGAGTAATGCGTCTATTATGTTTTTCAATTAGGATTTTTAAACACTAAAATTTGATAAAGGTCTGGAGTCGACCTGATGATGGAGCCGACAGACAGTCGAGAGAACTCCTCAACGGTTTATATTAACTACCTTGTGTTTGGGCTTGATTAATTTGTATTGATGAGGACTTTACACCTAGATAGAGTGGGACTGTCATTAAGGGTCTGATTATGAAGAAGTGTAATTGTTCCTCAACGTTATACAGTAGGTAATTACCTTGTGTTTGGGCTTGTATTATTTGGAAGTATTGATTAGAACTTTGCAGTTATGTAGATTATAAGTGACAAAACGGATCTATGTAGCATTACACTGAAAATGAGAAAGTAATAAAATAAAAACTGCGTCTAAAAAATCGACTTCAAAACAAACAAAAAGTCAAAACTAAAAGGTTACCCACCCACTGATAGGTTAGAAGTCGGTGCCATTAGCTAAAATTGTAATGATAAAACTTAATGGCCACCAAATTGTAAATTAGGTATCAATTAAGGTTTTAATGAATAATTTTGTATAGAACTTATGGCGCCGACGTCTAACCTTTTTTTTTATAACGCGATGGAAATCCTCATGGACTTCCCACGCCGTGGGGACGACGGGGGGTTGTGCCGGACTCTTACCGGCTAAAACCACCGCGGTGTTCCTACTCTGCCTGTGGCCGTGACCCGGGACGCCCTTGCGGATTCACCGCACCCGGCAGGCCTCGACCTACCACTAAATTTTGGCAAGTCCCACCACGTAGCAGCCCTCAAAAGCTGCGATTTCCTTCCTCGAGTGGCGCGCGTGAACACACCGCTAACGCCTACTCCCGCCCATACAGCGGACGACTGACTCCCCTAATCAGTCGCCCGCAGGTCTCTCCTATGGAGGTCAGATCAGCTACCGCATCGCGGCGTTGACGGCCGGCGCGACTACGGCGGGAAGGGAGAGAGCTGGACGCCTCCCTCTCCCTTTCAGCCGCCTCCTTTGCCAACATGACACGTTCACAGAAGGAAGCGACTCCATCCCATGCACTCTCACTGTCAACCATACCTCACACTACGGTCGGCAATAATAGATCATTCCCTCCGAGCACTGTAATGAGTTAACGACGCAGCTCTGCCCATGTAGAGCACTCTTCAAGCGTATGCCGCGCCGTATCCTCCAAATTGTCATTACAGTGATGACACGCCGACGTCTGCTCCCGGCCTATACGACACAAGTACTTTCCGAAGCAGCCGTGTCCGGAAAGGACCCGTGTCAACCGGAAGCTTGGGGCACCATGCCCTCTGCTGATCCACGCCTCCATAACTGGACTTACCGCCGCTACTACGGCGTACCCTACGCTAGGTTACGCAAGTCGCATCTTCCACTCTGCCATTGTTTCACGACGTAGTTCTAAGCGTCGTGCCTCGAGAACTCGTGGCGGATATCTCTCGCCCCGGGCAGTCAACACCTATATAGTGACGCGAGAGCCTTTGCTTCTAGGTCCCAGGGCGGAGATCCAGCTAGAAGGGTGGCCGCTTCAAAAGAGATCGTGCGGTACCCCCTTATTACTCTGACGGCCATCGGACCTCGCAGCAAAGCAACGTTGCGTTCCGTCAGACCGTCTGCCCAAACTGGTGCCCCGTAAAGGGCCATCGATCGCACGATCCCCATATACAACCACCGGCAGGAGGAGTTAGGGTTCCCCAAATTAGGAAGCAACCGCAAAAGTGCCCCGGCTGCCACCCTCAGTTTGGGAACCAACTGTCGAAAGTGGGGCCCGAAGTCCCACCGACTATCAAGGACTAGTCCGAAATATTTCATTGTCGACTTGACAGTGATGTGAACCCCTCCAACTACAATGTGTGACCCTGCAGGTGGACCACGCCTAGGCTTATGAAAACATTCAGATTTATTGAGAGCCACCTTCAGACCCAGACGCCGGATCCTCGACACGACTTGCGCAACACCAACCGTCGCCAATACCGCAGCGTCGCGATAACTCTTTCCGCGTGCTGTCACCAACGTATCATCCGCATAGCAGGTGACAGCAACGCCATGAAGCAAAGCACCGCGAAGTACCCAGTCATATCCGATGTTTCACAGGAGCGGTCCTAGGACCGAGCCCTGAGGAACACCGGTCGACACCTCGTGACCCCATCTCTGGGAACCCGGGTAAATAATTGACGTCCAACCTATCAGTGGGTAGATAACCTATCAGTATTAATAATGACTATTTTTTGCTTTTCAATAAAATTCAAAACTGTCATTTTGTTTGTTATTTAATTTTAATGATAGCCACGCGGTTACTTGCTTTACCTACCCAGGGACTGAAAGCGGTTAAGGGATAACGTTCCGGTACCGGTATAAAATAAGTAGGTATAGCGAAAGCAATGCTATAACATTATTTAACATTTATGCAATATCGGTGTTGAACTTTGTTGCGACTTTGCGAGACGTAAAGCGATAAATGCAAGGAGTGTGGATGCGAAACAACGGCAACCGGTAAACGCGCGATTAAACTATGCACTAATCTCCGAAACTAGTCAATTTATCAAGAAAAGTCCATTTATAATTTATCATGGCTATAACTATAACATCACACTAAAATAGTGTGGTGATAAAAAAAGTGTGGACTTACCAACGCTTTGCAGCGGTAGGTGCGTGTAGGTGCTAGTCCTAATATTAAAAGTCTTGACCGATGGAATTTAGTATGGAACTATGAATAACTTTTCGGAAAATATAAGTTGCGATGGGGATGTTTTTTATTTTTAGTATCTATGTACACTGCAAGTATTTTATTGTAAACCTTTTGTGCGTGTATCATCTATGGCATTATTTGTGCATTTGATCCTTGTCTATTGTCTTATTTTATCTGTCATACTTTTTTAGCAAGTTGTCAAAATTCGTGAAAGAAATTGTCAAATTAATAGAAGCGATTGAATTTATCACGGGAATTTTCAACGTTAAAAAGAGTTAATTCATTATTTTCATAAGATTAAAATTGAGTCCATTAGAATAGAGTATGCTAAATATTTTCTATTAAGCGAATAATAATTCAAAATGGGTGACAGAGACCTTTCTATGGGTCCTCGAGAAGGTGTAACCTATCCTATAAAGGTTCAATATTGTGGTAATTGTTCTATGCCGATAGAATACTGTGAATATTATCCCGAATACGATAAATGCAAGCAGTGGCTAGAAAAAAACCTGCCCACAGAATTTGAAAAAGTAAAAATTGGTAAGACTCAATCTTATTACATAGGTTAAGGATAGATTGTGAAATTAACGAATACCTACTGTCACTATTTTGTGATAGATCTCAATGAGATGTAACCCAATAAACAGGTTTAATCTTAGCAAAATTGAGCTAATCCCTCTAACATAACTTTTTCAGATGAAGAAGAGAATGCTGGTGGGGAAGAAGAAAAGAAGCGCCAGAAGAGAGGTGGTAAAGGCATGCTGAAATCAAAGAAAAAGGAAGATGTTCCCAAGCTAGTGCAGGTGTCTAGAGCTCCTCGTGGCAAGAAGAAATCTGTTACCGTAGTATCTGGACTGAGCACGTTCGGTATGTCTTATCACATATAACGTAAAATTAATGGCTATAATTATTTATGAAATTGTTTGCTTTTGAATAAGAAGTTCATAGCAAAAGCAATCATTTTATTGGTCTACTATAAAATACATACATGACATGTTGCATGATAGCATATTTTACTAAATTATTTTTACACTCAAGCAAACTCCTACTTCTAAAACGTTAATTTATATTATTATCTAGATATTTTTTACAAAATGAAATTTTGCATTATATGACTGATAAACTAAATAGTAATGTTTTGTATTGTTTAAAAAACTGTATACATAAGTACTTATATGTGGTTATAATAAAATTCCAAACTTATTTTTACATTCATCATCTTAAAATCTTTCACACCTTATGGAAAAATTTAATAAGAACCTACAAACCATTTTGTTCCAGACATTGACTTAAAAGTAGCAGCAAAATTCTTTGGCACAAAGTTTGCCTGTGGCTCTTCAGTTACTGGTGATGATGAGATTGTAATTCAGGGAGATGTGAAAGATGATCTTTTTGATATAATTCCTGAGAAATGGCCTGAGGTAAATGCTCATAATCATCATAAAATGTTTTTATTTCTTCTTAGTACAATAACATATTATTATATGTTAAAAGTAACATAACATAACATCACGCCTTTTTGTCCCCGAAGGGGTAGGCAGAGGTGCACATTTCGGCACATTATGCCACTGTACAATGTAACACCCACTTTTTCACTATTTATGTTATGAGTCCTATGTAATAGGGGGTGAGCCTATTGCCATATACTGGGCACATTTCCAGACTCCGTGCTACTACTGAGATTTTTGAAAATCCCAATAATACTTTGCCCGACCCGGGAATCGAACCCGAGAGTGTTTATGTTAAAAGTAATATACTTTTAAAATTATTTAATTATTCACTCTTTCATTTTCAGATTGATGAAGATAGTATTGAAGACTTGGGAGATCAAAAAAGATAGTCACAGCTTTAGCAAATTTAAATTATTTGATAATGCTTTAATTAATTATTGCCAATGTAATGCAGAACTGGTTCATATCCTGCATGTACAATGTGAACAGCTACACAATCCTTTGAAACAATAAACAACCTGGAAACGATACTTAATTGATTGTAATATTTATTAATTGAAACATTATCAATTTTTTCTTATTTATTTTATGACCTTCATAATTTGAATAAAGATGTGGAAAGATGGTATTCTGTATTACTTAATTTGTTTTTTATTATTTGCATTCCAAGTCCATAAATAAGTTTTCGAAAAGAAATTATTATTGTACACTGAGCATCTTATAAATAAAAAATCATGTTGAGGTAGTCAACAACTACCATAAAATGTCTATTTATTAAGTAGCAACATTGTTAATCAAAGACAAAGATAGATATATGTAAATCTAATAAAGATGATTTTGGGATTTATACCAATAACGTCTAAAAAAGGCGTACATAATGTTTGTTAGAAATGATTAAAGTACAAAAATGTTACTGATTTCTTTGTGTTTGTGAAATAGTATAAAATGTCAAGTATTAAGTTCAGGATGAGTACAACTCACTACTTTAACTATGGTTACCATACCACACACGTTCAAGACAATTTAATTCATGACTGAAGAAAATGACATATACTTCGTGTCAATGTGTCTTATGTTTTGCGTTATAGGTCTATTAACCAGATGCCACAGTCCGCCTTTTTTTCAACGTCCTTTATTTATACTGCATCTTTTGAATGTTAAAAATAGTAAATTATAATCTATTTTTCTCTGAAATGTCATGAATGCAGAGATAGGTGTTTTTTACAATACAGATTTTTCACCATACATATAAACACTCCAATGATTGAGTGATAATAAAATTGTAGCAAAATGACGTTAACAGTACTATATATAATAATTTAAAATTTTTCATTACATACCTTTCTTAATTTTTTTGTTTTAATGTTTAATAAATTCTAGTAATATTATTTTTTTACTATTGGCCATTAACTCGTTTCGTGGAACATGCTTGCTATGGTAGTTTTTTGTTTATGTGGTAGGCAACATTGTCTGCTACTTCGCAAAACAATACAAAATAAAATCACTTTACTCATTTTGCATTCGTTGTGTGTTGTGTTTTGGTTTAACAAAAACGATAATAATATGTTAGTGTAATATAAAGTGAAATTAATACTTTAATGGAAACCTGGAAGTGATTAGTAGCTAGCTGTGATCATAATGTAGCACTAAGTCAAGTTCCGAAATCCATTATCCGTAAATAAATTATTGATCTTTTATTGTATGAGACTGTAAATAAATATAAACTCTAAGAAACATGTCTGTGGTAAAGGGGAAGCTTGTGAAGATGGAAGTAGTCCAAGTTGGTGACTATGAATTCACCAAGCAAGATATTATAGGACATGGAGCCTTTGCTATGGTGTACAAAGGAAGAAAGAGAATGGTATGAACGATTTCAAGTACCAAGCTATGACGCGCTTTTGTTCTAACTCGCCTTCGTATCATTATTATTTTGAACTGCTCTCTAATGTTTGACGCTCTACTATCTTAAAAATGTTGTTTCGCTTGTTCGACGTAACATTATTGATCTATTTTAGCCGTGGGTGGTGGCATTGTCGTATTTACGTTTAGGAAATATAGACATGCATTTCGTCATTCTCGCATATTATTACTATTTCTGTTTTAATAGTGCTTTGTCAATATAAATTGAAAATGATAAGAAATTATTTATTTTGTCTAGGGTATCTTCACGAAAATAATCAGCTGATAATAAGTAACCTACAAAAATTGTAAACATTATTATCTTTACACACTTTGTGAATATTGATCTTTAAGTATCTTTTGGTTGATTATAGCAAAGTTGTTTTGACTGTCCTCAAAACTGAGACAGTTTATCTGACTTTTTAGAATGCTTATTAATAAACAGTTTTTAATTTAATTTACCAACAAAATTATTCTATGCATTAATTTTAAACATTTAATTACTAACCAGTGTAATTTAACATTTTATCATATTAAATCATTAAATTGAATAATTAAGAAGCAAAGCATTTTAAAATGACATACTAAAATGTGAGATGATTTGTTAAATATTAATTTAATGTCTGAGGAATAATGGCAGGTGGCCAAAGAAAGAAAAGACATACATGATATATATAGGTATATATCAACAAACACTAATGTTCAATGAGACACCTCAAAATATCTAGACAAATGCACATGAAACATTACATCCCAATAAAATTTGGTGTTAAATATTAAAGGAGTAAAGTTTTTTTAATACACACCATGGTATATTTTACTTACAAAGATTCTCTATCAATAAATTTAAATAAATAATGCATTTAGGAAGTACAATATTTTTAAAAAGTTATTTTCTGGGATATATAATCCTTTTAACATTTCATAAATAGTGCCTAACTTTGAAATTATGAAACTATTTTATAAAAAATTCAGGTACAAATAGACTGCCTTGTTGGCCGAGTGGTTGCAAGTGCGACTGCCAGGCAAGGGGTCTCGGGTTTGATTCATTGGTCGAGCAAAGTACTACTGAGTTTTTTAAAAAAATCTCATTGGTTAGTAGCATGGAGTTTGGAATTGTGCCTGGAATATGGCAATAGACTCACCCCCTATAACATGGAACTCATAACATAAATAATGAAAAGTGGAAGTTACATTGTACAGTGGCATTAATTACCGTAATGTTCAACTCTGCCTATTCCTTCGGGGATTAAAGGTGTGATGTTATGTTATGTTATTTATTTATTTTAACAGTCACAACGGCAGAAACTGACATTTGTATAATATGTAAATATAATCATAAAAACTTAAAGTACAGTACCTATGTATAATCCTCAAAGTATACAAAACATTCAGAAAAGCAAAAGCAATAAGTAAATGATACATACTCAAGTATTTCAGAGTAATTTGACTGACACAACAACACAACCAGTTCAGAATGAATTAATCTAGAATTTAATTCAACAAGTCAAGGATGTTCCTTTTGCATAAGGTGTCACTTGAATATAAAACATATTCATTAGCAGTTCTTCACTCACAACTACAGTTTGTTGTAAACACTGTAGATAATGTAATTTTGTGACATTTTATTTTTATGGAATAGGAAGCAATCGAGCAGACGGATCGCCTGATGGTAAGCGATCAGCGCCGCCCATGGAGACCCGCCACACCAGAGGAGTCACAGGTGTGTTGCCGGCCTTTTATAAAGGAATACGCTCTTTTTTTGAAGGGTTGATGTGAATCATACTCATAGATATTTTTGTTTTAATACATATTTTAAACAGATTATCATTGATAAAATACGAATGTCTTTGTAAATTATACCATTCTTCTCTGCTGTACATATATTATTTTTCTTTTTATAGTTAGAGTATTCAAAACGACGAATTTTTTGTGTGACCATGCATAACTTTGATGAATCCTATACTTAAAAAGGGTGCGATCACTTAACCAGAAATGTATTAAATTCGGGAAGTGACCGTGTCCCTGTGACTTAAGGGAACCATGTGCCGTGACTGGCTGTGAGTACCGAATCGTTGCTACTCATGCCCAACACAACAAAAAAATTTTAAGAAGCTTTTTCTATGTTAAAATAAGTTAATAACCTATTTGATGTCCGCAATTTAGTTGTTAATAGGTAGATTCTGTACAGAACGAAAGTAATAACGGTTTCCGTGATACAGGGTTCCCAGAACTAGGGGAAAGTTCAGGATCTCCCCCCCCCAGGCACGCATATCAAACACCCATACGGACCCGTACTCTTGAAGCATATTTAACCGAAATACTTAATAATAATATCTAATGCACAGTATAAACTAACTGTTACACATACATAATGCATGGATATTTTACCGAAAAATAAGCCTTAGATTGCAATTTACTTCATTCTAACAAAAAACGCTAGATGCATCCACGTCAAATTAACACTCGAGGTTAGAAAACAGAGAGCAATTGATATTAACTACACGCCTTAATTCAACGTAACGTTTGAGTAATTTATTTCAATTAGCAAAATTAATTGACAAGATGTTTTTCTAACTTTTCTAAAGATCTGTAGCTACTTGTTTTACTTCGAACTGTATCATGTCTTCTGATGTGCTGTGCGGCCTGTGCCCATTGCCAGCTGCTCGACAATTTCCGGTTATGTTTGCAGCTGGTTAGTAACCAAGTGACTTGTACGTGTGGGTACTTAAAAATAAACTTACTGCTTACAATTAAACTGTCAAACACCAAGCGGTCACCGGTGACCGCGACCTATTGTTCTTTAATTGTGTCTACAAAACCGGTACTCGACGAGTTAAATGTAACTAATGTTTAGTCATAGTCCAAGTCTGCTCCTAAAACAAGGGTTGTATCGTGCTTTTAGCTTATTCCCTAACTGACGCAGAGTACTTAATCTTCTTTTATCTTATATCTCACAATCTTGAAAAGTTATATAGGCGGTTACTAAACTTGCTTTCAGTTTTAAACTGTCAAACACCAAGCGGTCACCGGTGACCGCAACCTATTGTTCTTTAATTATGTCTATAAATACGGTACTCGACGAGTTAAGATACCTCGCTGCTTGCAATTTTTTGCTCATCTAGTTAGTATCAAATATCGTGATGTGACCTAAACTGACGTCACAGACGAGCCTACCGGTTGAATTGTATGTTGTGGCTGTCCAAGAGTTAGGTTTCTCGTCTTTGTTTGACATCCACCGGACAATAGATAGCCACACAATACGATACGCAACGTGCGCACTGTGTAGGTACAGTCTACGACTCAAGGGCATTATAGTAGGCAACTAGGAGACACGTGCACACAGGACGTCTGAAACCATTAACTGACTGTAATATTGTAAATAAATATAATAATTTTCCTGTATCGATCGTGAAAATAATATTTAAAGCTAAAAAGTTATCCGTAATAAGATGGAATCGTACTCATACTCTTCCACCAAAGTCTATACTGATATATGAAAAACTCGGGTGCTCAATACCCGTTCAATTTGTAAATTATAGTTGCTTCAGTATTTACCATACTCAGTTTTTGCATTCATTTTCCAAGGCTCTTCATCTAATTACCTGGGTTTAGCTACAACATGGTACAATTATTCACATGGGTACATGACATTTATGATGTAAGAACGTAATTACATTGGCACATTTATGACTTTGGCAAGTCAGAAGTGCACCAAACAGTGACCGTGAACGCACTTCAGGCGCCTCAATATCAATACTTATTTAATTATAAAGGGTAGGTGCTACTAATAAACAGTACTAGTTACGTTACATTTAAATTCAGGTCATAATAATAACCGCAATGCATTATGATTTCATTATTTGTCGATTTTCAATAGTTATTATTTTCCGGTATCCCCATGAAGCCTTTAAACATGGTTTTGAATATGGTCTAATTATGATCGCCCACGGGGCTTGTGTTGAAATCAGGTCAAACCGTAACCGTTCCACGAGCCTACGGAATGTAGAACGAGCTAATGTTAGACCTGCGCATGCGCACCACCCTCTGGATAAAGCAAATTCAACTGAGTCGCATTTCAGACTTAAAATAAATCCTTACACGTTCCAAGTTAAACAGTCCTGTCCTGGGTTGTGAAATACCTAAACACACTGAAATAACCACAGCTCGTTGCAGTCCAAATGTGCTTTCAAATTTAGTTTTATACCTACTAGCTTTATCCACCGATTTTGCCCGCTTTCCCGGGATAAAAATTAAAGTAACTACCCCATGTGTTATATCAGACTACAATCCATCTCTGTACCAAATTTTGGATTATTAGTGATTGTAAATCCAAGATGGCTGCCGATACAAAATGGCGGATTACATATTTTTTCCACAACTATGTAGTTAGGTACCATAGGTATATTAATCAAATTACCAAATGAAAGGGCTTTATTGTAAAATGGAGCCAATAAAAATCAATTAACAAAAAATAAAATAAGTATTCTTGTTCAACGATCGTTGGAAAAAGCGGTCAAATAGAACATTTGTCCTATTCTCCACCTGCTAGCATCTTAGTAAAAATAGTTAACTACCTACATAACAAATATCATCCGATATTTTGTATACACCTTCGACCGTACATTAATAAACCCTAATTGCCATAGAGACAATCTATACAGACCTTGGGGCACGCATGACACTCGCCCACCTGCAACGCGGCGTCCTTATGCAACGCTCACTGCACTTGCGTTAAACTATCATTTTACAGAACTACTAGTAATTGCAGTTTATATGTTATCAAGACGTCTTACATTAATCAACATGTACCTCTGTACCCTCATGTACTACATACAACATAAATAAAATATAATAAATAAATACGCTTGTCGGTCGGGTGGTACGTCCATTGATGACGCCTCATCTCATGTATTTGCAAAACAAAACTTCCCGCGTCATACCTAAGTTAAAGAACGTGTAAAGTAAAATATGTTACACCATAACTTACGTTGGATGTTCCCAAAGTAGGACAAATCGAGAAAAGCGTGACACAAATCTAAAAATGTTATACGTCAATGACTAAACTTAGATGCTCCTAAAAATGTACAAACAAGTACTGAAGGAATTGCTTTATTCCTATTTTATGTTGCATAGCCTATAAGTTTCCTGATGAATAAAACTGTCGGTTATTATAACTGACTTTTTTCCAAGGATTCGCTTGTTCAAACGAATAAAAAAGACATCTGCTATATTATTCAGTATCACCTCAGTAATAATAAACGTATCAATGTAGCGATCACCATTCACCAACTATGTTGTTTTTTTTTTACAGAATCCGTCACAAGCTGTAGCTGTTAAAGTGGTGACCAAGAAAGGACTTCAGAAAGCTTCAGAGATTTTGGTGAAAGAAATTAAGATCCTCCGCGAACTGACTGCCCTCCATCATACCAATCTGGTCGCCATGCACGATTGTATGGACAGCAACTCCTACGTCTATGTCGTTATGGAGGTGAGTCCATATATGATACAAAAACATATTATTTTGTTATTCACCTACGAAGATATAATTTTATATTATGCATAAAGTATGTATCTAAATAGTGGAGATTATTATGTCAAAGCACTTTAAATAGAGGAAGCCCATAGTGGTATTCTGTGCCCATAGTCCAGCGATGGACTGTCACGGGATGTTGATGTTGAAATATCACGTGTACCATTTTCAGGATATTGTGAATTCGACGGCTCATTGACTAACCTATTTATCAAACATTGCAATTCACCATTTTCTAAACAAAAATCTCGAGGCGATATTTCTCAATCAGAAGCTAAAATAACTCCCAGCTCCCGTCATACAAACAGTTCCGTTTTACTGAAGGGTTTCTATTTTCATTTTAACAAAGTAATAAATATTTTTCAAAAAAAATTTATTACGAAAGTATGGAATGTAGTTTTAAATTAGCTTTAAATAGATTCTATACAGATAGGTACTGCCAGTAGAACACATTACGTAGAAACGTATCTATAAATTAATAGCAGCAATCATGTAACCATAAACCTCGCTATCGCAATCAAATGATCGGATATTGTTCCCTTCGATTATTCATAATGTTACTTAAGTACCTACTGGAATTTCTGCAAATATTACTAGGCCAACACGTGACCAAAACCAGTATGTAGGTAATCCGTTCGAACAGTGTTTTATTAACTTACAAGACAATAATAATGGGTAGGTAGGTAATGAATTTAATGTTATATCTTCCAAATACAAGTACATAACTGGTCGGACGAAAATTATTACTTAATTTTTTGTAAATTGAATTCAAAGATAATGTTTTCGAGAGAAGGGAAAATCTGATGTGCGTGCAATATGCATTCAGCATACTGCATATGATTTAAATAAAATGGCAAGTGACTTGAAATTTTTTATCGCATATTGCGGATTAAGAGTAAGGTTACTAGGTTACGGCCAATAATGTGTCGGTATTTATTAACAATAATGGATACGTTGATATTTAATTGTTGCAACGAAGTAAATGTTACATTGTGTGTTAATGAATGGACTTAATAATAGTTATTCTGGGATTCCTCAAGCGATTTAGGGTTCCGTCTCGTGAAATAAGTACCTACTAACATTCTGCATATCAGGACTCGGGAGTCACAGGACCCTTTCTCTCGTGAATACGTAAACATGATATATCTAGATTTTTTTTCAAATAGGAATGCGAACTATGGTTTCTGGCACCTTCAAAATAGTCACACATTTACTTTGAATGTCCCTCGGTATAACTTTTGGATTCTGCTGATTTGACCTAACCTAAGTCTTTAATACTTAGACCTGCATAAATGTAATACACCGTATCACTTCATATTTTGATATGCAAGTCTATCGAATATATTAGACATGGAAAAAAGTTTCAAATCTGACATTATCGAAGTAAATTTTTATTGGTCTTTTGTCGACAACCATGTCGGCTTCCGCATGACAAACGCGCATGTGGATTCGCACCAAGGTCACTACGCATTAGATAAAGTAGGTAGGTAGTCGGCTTCACCACGCAGGCAAGGCGTGTCGCACACTCTGCGTTGTCGCTATAGATTACCCAAATTCGTTTGATCTGCTGCCATTTAAAAAATGTTATGTATTAATTCGATTAGAGCTATTGCGCATTTAAAAAACGTAGCAGGTCAAGGGATATTTGAATAAAGATTGTTTGATAACAATACAATGTAAATTGAAACAGGTCAAACATAATTTTGAAGCAGTCTCAATCACCGTAGCAACGGGCTATCAAGTGGCAACCAATGGCACCGTTATGACCTACTAACCTATTTATCTTCATTAATATCGTTGGTGCTCTAAACCACTCAAAATTTACTACCAGTTCCGTGTAAAGTATAAACAAAGCTATTTATTGATAAATACATATCATTAACTCATTATATCTTATTGTTAATAATTATTATTATAATTAGGTAGTCGTCTGTGCTAATTATGAGATATCTGTAGCAAAATTGCTAAGTTTTGGACACACTAAGAATCAAATGTAAAATACCAAAACTGATTGACTGAATGTTGTCTTGTCTAAACAAGCTCTTTTTGAATCTGTATTAGATCACAAGTATGGTTTTCGAAATGTTGGATCATTTAAGGTGTCAATAAATCTGCTACTAATCCTTACTAATATTATAAATCGGAAAGTGAGTTTGTTTGTTCGTTTGTTTGTTCCGCTTTCACGCCGTAACTACTAAACAGATTGCTTTGAATTTTTGCAGATGTACAGTTAGAAGTATGGATTAAATAATAGGGTACTTTATATCCCGGAAAAATTTGATATTCTCGAGAGAAAACAAAATTATTGGTATAGATGGCGCTGTGTGTATTGGTATATGTCATATAGGCTACTTTTTATCGTTTTGTGACGCGAGCGGAGCCGCGGGTAAAAGCTAGTAATCACATAAACCAGGGACAGCTAGCCTGCTTCTGCATATGCTTATATGAGGTGAACTAAAGACATGTTTCACCATAAGTACCTACATAAAGAAGAAAGTAAACTGCAATTAAATTGACCCCTTCTCAATGTTGTAAAGGTGTTGATAAACAAAGTCAGTGTTACACACTAGGTATCATCCCATGATGCAATACTTGTATAACCGTATTCGATAATGGCGACATTGTGTCTGCAGCACTCGCACGTGTCGCCTCAGTGCGTGTTTCAGCCTCGTGGAGAGATACATACACAAATAATAATATCTAAATATATGTACTGTCTACCGTACTTTACTGATAAATAGATTATTGCGCAGAAATGACGATCGTCGTCGCCGACAACTCCGTTTTGTAGGTAACACCTACGTCTACCTTGTGTAGATGACTGAAGCGACAACAAAGTCAAATAAAGTAATTCCACAACATTTGTTTTGTTTAATAGTTTGAATAGCATCGTTACTGCTAACATAAGACAAATAGCTAGCCATAGTCCCTAATTAATTAGATTTTTATGCGGTTAGAACAACTGATTTCCTTTTCACCATTGATCACAAAGAACAAGTCCTCGCGCATACTGGTATGTATGACAATACAATGCGCTACATTATGTGTTCAACGGTTTCTCTCAATTACAGCAAGTTACAATAGTAACAGTATCGTTACCTATCTAGTTATTTTATAAATACTTGGAACAAATAGTTTTGTCTTAACTTTATGAAGAACCGCTTTTATTTGAAATTTTCCATATTAATTTGTGGAGTCGTTAGGTACAAATTGATGTTGGTTCCACGCTGGCTAAGTGGCTACTAGTACTGACATTATATATTCATTATATCGTCGTTACATATTACTCGTCTGTATTATGTACCTATTGCTGTTTTTGTTGTTGTTAAACTTGGCGAGCAATATAGTTAGAATTGCTTCTGTTTCTTTCCAAATGTATGTATGATTATAAATAAACGTCAAGGGCACACGAGTCAAGTGGACGCAACAGGTCACCACCGACATATACGAATAGCCAAGTACCTGCGACACCAGTTGTGTATAATATTACGTATGTTCTTGTTTTCATTGCGTAAAAAAACTAAAACAGCAATGCCCTCATCACGATACAAAGCCAAACTCAAGTTCATTGGCACGATTTCCTTTTGGTGGAGGTACGGTGGATAGTCGCCATGGCTGCCGTGGACCATGACTATACTAATTGGCATCGTCAACGTTTCGGATGGCTATTTATAACTCCAGTATGATCTTCTATAGCTCTGTGAATTTTAATAAAATGTATACTTGTAATAATAGCGTTGACAAAATAAATTATACATACAACAATATTTTTTATTGTTTAATTTATCTTTATTTTGAGAGTAAAAATAATATAAAGAAGTGAACTATTTTCTTCTTAAACTTTTAGAAGTTGCATAATACAAGATAGAATTTTTTTTCGAGTATTGTGCGAACTCATTGGTCCGACGTCAGGTAGTAACATTTGCAAAAAACCGACCCGGAAGGACCGAAACTGTAACTACTGCGTCGTTGTCTTGTTCGTTTGCCATTGTAATACAAATGTGTTTTGTCTCATAGACAAAAAAAAACCTACTTCTACTACAACGTAGGGTCCTTTAAGAGATCCCTACAATTGATTAGAAGTTAATAAACGTGTTTCGCAAAAGTATGACAAAATTATGAAAATTATGTAATCCAGCCGTCACTGTTGATGGCCACATCTTTACATGTAATAGTTATATGGTAGAATATAATTGCTCATTATTTAGCTACAGTCTGCTCACCGTACATTATACACTATGCTCTTGCCACCCAATTTAAACCACGTCACCTCGTCACGTGCTATCGTTGAGGTTGGGACAGAGCACGTGTGGCGTGCCAATGTTCCATGTTCGTACAGACTCTTAACACCTTTATAAATCTGATTCTTTTCGCCCTCACCCTTCTAAATTAAATATTGCTTTCACGAAGTGAAAAGTATCCAAGAAAGAGATTGTTATATTTCCGATGCAAAAAGTTTGGTAATTCTATGGTATTCAACTAATAAATAAAGTATTAAATGTAACTTGCACATTGTAGTAAGGATACTTTCGAAGGACTCATTGATAAAGGGTACCGTGTGTCTAGTTGAGAAACTGTCTTCATAGTATTGCGAAAACAGCACATTCACTGTTTACAGTATGCACGCAGAATTAACAAGAATTTAAGGTCATCTGCCTATCATATTATGTGCATGCACGTCTGATTGCATGCAGGATGGAACTGAATCACACACAACTCATAATAACCAAATGTATGAAACAGATAAAGAGCTAACAACGTTTAGTTTTTGCTTTCGTTTTAAACTAGATGAGTCGGCGAACTTCCTACCGCCCTATAATCAAGAAAAATCTCTTTTAGATCTTTCATAAGAACCTTCTAATGATAACAAATACAATAAAAAAAAATCGGTCCAGCCATTCACGCGTGATGCTGTGAACAAGGGAAAAAGGGATTCATTTTTATGTATGCTTTTTTCAAACTGCCATTTTTTTGGTTCAACGACGCATTTGTCTAACACGGCTGGCAGACGCTTCGTTTGGTCGGTTATGATGAGATATGGCAAAAGTATTTCCTGAAGCACTAATATTCCGTGTTACATCAATGTTATCCTCAGTTCTATTTATTCTACATTCAGAAACCATTAGTTCATACCGTTTCTAACGTCATCAACTGGCTTTATATGTTCCGGTTTGCATTTTAAAACGAATGCACTTTTGATGAATAGGAACTTATATTTCTGTAATGTAAGTACGTCAATTGTATTTCATAATGTTGTAACAATGGAGAAATAAAGACAAAAAATATTGCACCGATAAAGCAAAAAAGGGAAATCCTAGTTCTTTGTGAGCAGTAAGCACCATTGAAAGACGTACTAAGCAAGTGTTTCCAGCATCCTATAGCATCAGATCAGATATTCAGGTAAAACAATAAAATATTCAAAAACTAGCTTCATGTTTCAATATTAGTCATATCGGTGGATAACATCTTATATATGTGTGACCTACCTACCTACTCTTTAGCATGAACACCTACTTGCTTATAAAAACATTGTATGTCCTCTTAGCGGCAACGATTTCACAAGATTGTGTCCCCGTACAATGAACTGTGAACACGATGAACAAAGACACTGCCACTAAAATGAATGATAAGTTCGTTTTGATCTTCGTTCTTTGCTACACGTGTAAATGTTATGTATGCATTTATGTAACAAAAATTGATATATTATAAGTATTGAAATCAGATTCTTGGCAAAACAAGTTTTATCGAAATTAAGTAGGTCTGATGCACTTTTCCTGTGACAGTTTTTTGTCATAAATGTGATTTAATAGCCCTTTAAAACAAATCGAAAACTAAAACCTTTATTTCCTAATTTAAGCATATATTAATTATTGATGTCATTTTATTAATGTATATATATATATTTATTTGTTATTTTAGATATCAGCTTACACATGTTTGGTTTAGACTGAGAAATTATCTTTGAATGACTAATCATAGTGATATTAGTAAGTAACTTATTACTTATTAAATGTTGCCCCCGACCTACCTCGTTTGCGAGGAAACTTTGTAAAACATATCCCTCCTCCCAAGATAAAAACAAGACCAGATTTCTCGTCAATATTACTTGCGAATTTTTCATCCATATCTGTTTAGTTATTTTAGCGTGATTTTGTAATTGATATCTAAATATATTAAAGTATTAATATCTAATTATATAATATTTATATAAATAATGTAGCTAGCACGAGCATTGATAATAATATAAACACAAAGAGATGTATCGCTAGTCAGGTGGTGACCTCGTGGTCGCATTGGATGGTAATAAGACTGGTTCTTGGGCCCTAGATCGCGCACGTGGCCCAGTGCGGGCACAATGGGACCTCTAATAACAATATTTTGTTACTTTTGGCTGTATATTTCTTATATTTAACAATAGAAAACTTATCGTGTTTTAGATAACTAATTAAAACATTTGCATAGACGCGTCACTCCTTGAGACACAACTAAAGATTATCTTCCTTGTTATTCTACCATTGACACCAACTATACATTCGAAGGCAAAAAAATATTAGGTATAAACAAAGGTGTCCGTCGGGTCTTCAATAAATACTTCGTTAATCATTATTAATTGTAAAAGCAAATTGAGTAGTTATCTGGTCCACTGGTCGGCTAACGTGAGTTCTAAGCTCAGTACTTACACGTTACACATTGCTGACACGATCAGTGATCTAGACAAATCGGCACGCTTGATTGCGTCAGACTGGTTTCTCTCAGCAGCGGCTGCAACGCCTCGTCTAGAGCTGGAAAGTGTCGTGCCGGAAACCACAGCTTTCTATCTGTACTTACGCTTAACACTCTTATCATTTCAGATAATGCCATTAACCACTTTCGTTCTACAGTTATACATAATATAGTTTTTATCCATACATAAATAATACATAATCTGTGATTCTTGAATGTCTCAAATATATTTTTTATTAAAATCAACTACAAATAAATCCTATACGAACCTATGTAAGTGTTACTCATCTCCTCTTCATCTGTTAACAATTGGTGTTGCTGTCACAAATCAGTCTTAATGTTGATGATGAAATCGTTTCTTAAAGGCAAACCGGTTTCTATAAGATCGCACACATACACATTATAAGTAACTCTAATACAATAATTTTATACATCAGCGAACAAAGCAAGGTCTAGCAATCTCATGTTCCCGCTTCCCGTAGCGTCTTACGGTGTCTGAATTGATAAACTTCTTAGCCTTACCTATTAATTTCTTTGTTTGCAATCCATGTTAGCTAAGTAGGTATCTATATTGCACGATATGTTTACTAATACAATAGAATACTCATTTCAAACTAGGAAACTGTTATCAGTTAGGAGTTAAGTTTATCGGTGATACTTTGTAGTCGTGGAAAAGATCAATCGAGGTACAGAAACCACATTTAATATGCTTAAAAATCAAACTGCGTTGGTATTAAATGTATCAGGGTTAACGTTTTCCAGAATTATACAAAAATACGAAACGAGGGCACTGCACTTGAGTCATAATTCCAAAAACGTTCATTCGTATGCTATAAGTTCTTAATATTCTTATGTACGATGTGTAAGGCTGACTTGCGTGTGAATGATCAAACCACGGACATTGCTAGATATGATATTATTTAGGAAAGTATGCCGCGTCGAATGCTGTATTGTAAACACCGACAGACTTATAGATTTATTGTGATGTACGCAGTACACTTACACTTTTTCGAATGTCGACGACCCTATCATCCTTATTAATCACCGTGATATTTATTTATAATACTTTGTAGCTCTTTCTTGTAGGTAAATGAATACCGCAGTACCTATACAACGATTTTCACGTTTCAAAATAATAAAGCACAGGCTATACTTAAGTATTGTTGTTCTGTAACGGATTACAGAATGTAACGGGACAAAGTATAGTACAGGTTGTCGGTCAGGTAAGCAGGCAGTCAGCCGCATATCCGCCTGCGTAGCGTCTTGTGCCGAGTGCCACGACCCGCTCTTCGCTCTTTAATGTGGCATTTCTTTTCACATCAACTTTCATCCATTATCCCATTGTTGTTCTGCGTGTGCGACCCAATCTAAACCCGTCATGAAACTATTCATTACACCATCTCTTTCCAAAATGCGCAACTGAATTTTCTCAAGTAAACAAGCACTTCATTGAACTACGCATTATTTTTATCGTTCATTAACGTCGTCAAAAATACGTTTGGCATCTAGAATAATCAGTGAAAATATGTGTGACGTCGACTATTATTTTAAAGCAATTCAACCTTTATATTTTCAATCCAAATAATATTGTGAAAACTATACTTGTTATTATTTTTTTATTATTATTTTGGGTATAAATAACTTACGTTTACGTCCATGCAGTTTTTTTGTTTGTGCAATTATTATATTCCCCACTAACTAATAGACCACTAAAAGTAAGAGTATATGCAAATTGTGCATGTAAACATGTGGTCACATTGCACACAATGTAAATATTAACCTACATGACACATAATGTTCATTAAACAGTCATTGTCCCAATAAAAATCAAATCATCTATATTTAACTACAAACAAATTAACACATGTTTTTATCGTTATTAATTTCTACGTATACTAGCTTCTGCCAGCAGCTTCGCCCACGTTCCCATGAGATAAAAATAGCCTATGTGTTATTCCAGACCATTATCTACCCCTTTTCCCAATTTCAACTCGCTCCCTTCAGCCGTTTTGATGTCATACATAAACACACAACCTTTCGCATTTATAATATTAGTAAGATATTATATTCGTAGTTAAAAATAAAAGTAGTTTTATAAACAAACACTTTGTTTATTGTGAAATTGTACTTCATTATGTCAAAGTAAAAAAAAACAAGTTGTTGCATTCCTTCTTATTTACAAAAAATCTACACAATCTACAAAACTTAGTCTATGTCCATACCATAATTTCTTAAATCACTAATTCATTCACACATTTTAGGCCTTGGTAAATGGTGGCATTATTTCGTCAATAAATATAACATTCAGATCGAAACAAAACATGTATCAACAATTACACCACATACATTACTACTATATATTGTTTACACAGGAGATTTCTCCTGCAGCGGGACTTCTTCAGGCGCAGTTCCGTTTGCATTAACATTTGCTCTGTCATTTGCATTTCTTGATGGTGAACTGCTGAATCTGTTCCTAATGGAACTCCAATTTTTCTTAATTGTTATACCTGCCACCACAAGAACCATTCCAGCGACAATCATTCCGATCACGCTTTTGTCAACGCCACCCGTTTTTGATCCTGAAGTCGTAGCACCAACTACTTCACTTTCTGGTTTAGCAGGTGCTGTGCTACTAGACTCTGCTTCTGGTGGTTGGTCAGATGTTTTAATAATTGCAGATCGAAGTGAAAATTCTCCAACTGAGTTCGTGGCGTCTGGTGCGTTAGCGATTGGGGTCTGTGGTGTCGTTTCTACGTTAACCTCTGGCGCAGCTGGTACATTTGACTTTGTCTCATTATTCACATGCACTTCTGGTGGGGAATTTACAGCTGGATCGCCGGCATCTTCATCGGGTGTGGCTTCCATAGCGATAAGTCCTGGTAATGCGAAGTCCAGTAAACCTTCTTCTAAATCTGAAGTTTGTGGTGCATCAGGACATTCAAACGTTTTCTCATTACATGTTCCGGTACACACGGATACTAAAGATTCTTTCATTGCCGCACACAAGTCCTCTGCAAGATTAGCTGCAGTAGTTGGTAACGTTAGTGAGCGAAGAGCTTTGAAGTTAGTAAACGATTCCGGCTTAATACCCTGAAACACATAATTTTTACAATCAGTATGTATATATATATGTATAATTATCTGATATCATTTTATTATGTATCGTTTTTATTCACATTTGCGGTTTCGAACTGCCTTCCAACTTAAAGAGTTCATTTGCATCAATGAACTAATGTCCGGCAATTATGATACGATGTAACAGACAAACACCAATGTTGGATGTTTGACATGAAAAGGGATCACCACAAATCTTTTGCTTACTTTAGGTACATCTATTTAAACAAGAAAACATTTATAAATAGCATTTCATAATTACCGTTCTCATGTCGTTGCCTCCTAAATCAAGTTCTTCTAATTTAGTTAGACCAAAACCATTCTTTAGATCTTGCGGATATTCTAAAAGTCTGTTGTTTCCAAGTTTCAGGCTCGTTAGCTCAGGTAGTTCACTTATAGACTGAAATTGAAATAGGAGTTTGTGTGTAAAAGCCATACGTTTAAAATAGAATTATAAAATGTTGTGTATTCTTAATAGGTTATGTCGGTACTTGCTCGTTAACACTTGAAACGAGTAAAGTACACAGTCTACGAATGACGTCTCTGCCGGAAGTGAGTTAAACTGGTTATGGAGATGGATTTTAGGACTTTAGTAATATTGACCTACTATGCGTTCTACACAACTCACAACTACGTAGGTATTTACATAATTACTTGAATAGTATTGAAACCATTATGAACATCTCAATTCTAATAATTACAATTGTAATTAAGAGCGTGGGTAACGCTTAATACTTACACCAGAATCAATCTTCATGATTTCGTTGTTGTTAACATTCAGTACTTTCAAGTTCTTCAATTCAGAAATCTCTTTTGGTATTTCAGTTATCTTGTTATTCTGTAGGTTAAGGTCTGTAGTTTTAGGATCCAAAGGTTTCGGTAATTCTGTTAGTTCGTATCCAGAACAATCCACGATATACTTGTTTGTGTCTCCCTCTATGTTGCAGACACATGGTTTAGGACAAGCGTGTTCTTCTGCTTCGACCACTGGTACGATGTTTGTTAAAGACGTCAATTGCGCATCGTCTAGTAATAGCGCAGATGTCCCAGTACTCGCTTCAAGTGGCTCTTCGATAATTCCTGCCCCACTACCCTCTATAGCGCTGCCGTCAGCTTCAGGATGATTGTCGGGAGGAAACTGATTGTCATTTTCAACAGGAATGTGTAATTCATCGTCACTTTGAGCTATTGTACTCCTGGAAAATGATATTAATGCAGTAATGACATGTGACTTTATCGAATTTATCGTAAGGTGACGCAAAATTGTTATAAATAAGTAGGTGATAAAATCGCGATAAGTGTATGTACTACAAGGGCGTAACTAGCACACTGTCTTAAACTTTGATTGATAGAATGAAAATACACCTACATTTAGAGTTAGACATCAAGGACTTATGATGTCTTGACTGCTAATGTTATTATGCTGCTTGCTTTTAGACACAGAATTTCCCCTACAAGGCAATGCATTTTTTTTATCTGATAAAGAATAGAATAAAACTCTGTATTTTACTAAGTTCGATTAAGTTGCTGCATAAGGCTTTATGGAAATTTCGGAAAATATTTCAAAATATTTTTCAGTTAAGCTAAATCAGACATTGTGAAACAATTCCAAACTCATTTCAACTGGTTACCTGCCTGGTTTATTCTATTGGCGTTGATTAAGAACATAAAAATGTATGCGTAAGAAAATATTACATATGCTATAAATTGCAATTGTTTACCATGAGAACTTGAACCTGTCTCATGGTAAACAAAAAACATACGTAATAACTAAATAATATTAGAAATATTGGTAGCAGTGAGATACTAGTTAGTGAAATTCGATTGTTCATTCTCGTTATAGTACAGATAAGTATGTGGCTATCTGTAGGTAGAGGCGAGTAAAAATATAAGATCCAGTGAAGGTTAAATAAAACAAATAATAAATGTGTACTTACGCAAATAGAGCCAACAATAGCATGAAAAGATGTTTCGACGTCATGGTCACTCTCAAATTCTAACAGCACAAGGTAGAAATGCCAATTGACTTCAGGAGTTGTTACCTGTCGTGGCACAAGTACCAGCGTACAGTACAGCACATAACTCACTGACACTTATAACTATTATCACTCAATGATAAGATTATAAACGGCATGGCAGCTTATCGCAAATCAACCACGATAACGACGCTCTGCATAAACGAGAAAATATTAGGTGGCCGATTTTCAATATCACCTTCGACTGACAAATAACACGCAATGTATGAAGTTACCTACGGTTCTGTTTACACAGTTATATGTGTAAATGATCGCGCCCGATACACCACGACGGTCTTCATTAACTGCTAGTTGCTAATTCTACAAATACACAAAACCGCCTATGTTAATTATATATTTGGCAGTCGAATTGCATCAAAATCCACCCTAAGATCCTTATATAATCCGTAATCACCAAATCACTTTACTCATATACAGGCAAAAACGTTTCACTTTTGAGAACAATGCCGGAAATCAATCACAATAACGAATATTCATAAGAAAGACTGAATTATCGAACTTCACACGAAAACGCACACGTACACTACGTTATCTCTGCTTCACTGATGTTACTGGTACTTTGCTGATGCTTCATGTCTATAAATTGCTGTATTCTGTAAAGTTTAATGTTATACAACACAGCTGTTGGTTTTACTTATGTGATGTGTAAACTACAAATATGACACGATTCCTACGTCGCTTCGGAGGTAATTACACTTATGATTTAAATCGTTATTGTTGTGGTTAACGCTAACAATTCACCATTAGGTTAAATACATATTTTACTAGCCGGTCAAGGTCCTATATCTGATCCGCTAATAGATTGCCCTGTTTCTGGTGATCTACGCGCCGCGGTAGTCCGTTAACCGGTGAACGTAGTAACTAATAAGATAAACATTCACAGTTTTATTGCTCGAAGGAATGAAAGTTTGCCTATTAATACACACACATTAAGTGTATTCTTATATCACACAAGACGTAAGGACTTTTGTCTACCCTCGAATTGGGTAAATGTGAATCTCCGCAGAACTATAATGTTATTTTACCTAAAAAAACGAACGTATTTATGAAGCAATTATAAGTTTTACTTTTTATCAAATTAATTTCCAGCAGTTAAGTATAGAGGTCCATTTTATAATACTTATCATGCTAAAGAAAATACGAAATAAAGGTAGAATTCAGAGCATCAAAAAATACATAAGTACTCACAATTATATCACGACTAATTATATTATATATATATATACCTCACAACTTGCATCCCACGATACCTATACCAGAATACAATGAACCGTAATAAATCCTTGATTTTATAAATTATACATATTCACAAAGTTTCACATTCACAGCTTTGGAATGAACCTTAAACATTTCAAAGGCATTAGCTGCCAGCCTGCCACACAACAACTGACTTTTCTTATATTTTTTATAGTTTTTATAGTCAACATGTGTTTTACTGAAAAGAATCTCTAGATTTAGAATACTATTCATACATGAATGATGTTACACTACAACAACACAAAAGAAATAAATTTCACACATTTCATTAACGATGTTGCATAAATTACATGTAGCAAATACAATCAGTACTCGAGAAATGAAATACATTGTATGTAGTTAGTATATTATTCTAGTCTCTCTGACTAATCAAATTCATTTAGTTTTATTTTTTTAAGGGGGGAAAATCATCGAATGACTGCTCCCGCCTGGGTGAGGCGGAAGGGAGTGTCAGAGAGCTCGTGTATAGATATCCGTGACTAGATAAAGAACAATAATTGAACAATGCATCTCTTAAACTCAGTCGCGAGCTGTTCGAGCCAGCTCATCCTATCTATTTTCTTTCTCTTTTGACGTTCACTAGCGATGTTGAAGAGTTGCTGGATTCTATCCAATCGCTTCATTAGCCAACAAATCGTTAATGGAACCGCTTGTTCTGTTTGTTCAGTACTGCAATGGGGGAGACTTGGCGGACTATTTGCAAGCGAACCGTCTGCTCAGTGAAAGTACCATTCGACTGTTCCTGAGACAGCTGGCTGAGGCGATGCGTGCTATCCACGCTAAGGGTATAGTGCATCGTGACCTGAAGCCGCAGAACATCCTTCTCACACACAACGTCGCACCGCCACGCACTCCGCATGCGTCGGAAATAACCCTCAAAATTGGTAAATATCACCGTTATTACTTAGCTGATTTCACCATAATCAGTCGGAAGAAATATTTCGTTATCATATCCGGCATAATGTTGTTATTGAAACTTACCTGTAAGAATTATCTGAGTCATATTTTTCAATGTAATCTGCGACAATATTTAAAACACAAGAACATCATTCTTAAAACTTTATTGTATACGCATTAAACTGTATCCCCTATAACGATGATTATGATACATATAGATATTACAAAAGTAATCTTACTTAATTATTTTATATCTGCAGCTGATTTCGGCTTCGCAAGGTTCCTTGAAGAAGGAAATATGGCCGTCACGCTGTGTGGTTCACCGATGTATATGGTAATGATCTTTCCATGAATATAATATATGTATAGAGATTTTTATTATTAAACTTAATTAAAACAAAATTGTTATGTCTATCTATATAATAGTCTATCAATTACTTATTCTTTAATTATAGGCGCCAGAAGTAATAATGTCACTGAAGTATGACGCCAAAGCAGATCTCTGGAGTTTGGGCACGATAGTGTACCAGTGTCTCACTGGCAAGGCTCCTTTCCAAGCCACCACACCACATGAACTAAAAGCATTCTACGAGAATAGTGTCGACTTGCAGCCTAAGTGAGTAGTACTGATATCCATAAAAACGACGACATCAAAAGAAGAAACATTAACATCATATTTTTGAAACAATATCTGTATGACTATTAATTTCATGTTCATAAGAAATATCTGGAACAATTTATTTTATTTACACCTAAGTCGGACGTTTTTGTGGTTAGTTTTTATTAAGCCCAAATGTATCGGCTGTAGCGTTCAAGGTTCTAAGACGAATGAATTAAAATTGGCTCTGTGACAACTTTGTGACATGTTAGCGTCCGATGATACAACAAAATACGTATAGAAAGCGTCCCTACCCGCCAAATATTTGTAAACAGTTTCAGAGCGTCCGATGCCATCTACATTAAGTGTATTTTTAAATTCTCGTCCTATCTCAATGTTTATCTGTGAAAACATATGATAATGTAAAGGAACTATTTGATTACCGAATCTTACTCGCCTACGAAATAAATATTTACTCAGGACTCAGGACCAGTTTAAAATTTTAAATACGTATATCCTTCTTGCTTGTATAATTTCGTTTAAATTTATAAAAGAAAGTCGTTTTAGTTACACTATTTAAAACTCAAAAACGGCTAAATCGATTTTACTGAAAATTGGTGGGAAGCTTAGAACCCAGGAGATGGATTTTCCAAGCATATTCTGGTATTCCTACGGCAACGAGAAAAACGGGATTGCGCGTACGAAGTCGTGGCCATAATTACTTTTTATTTTGTTAATATATATATAACGCTGAACAGTTTGTTTGTTTGAACGCGCTAATCTCCGGTACTACTGGTCCAAATTGAATAATTATAATTATTTTTGTGTTGGGTAGTGCATTTATCGTGGACGGCTATAAAACATCACATTATGATCAATAGGAGCCGAGCAGCGGGTGAAAACCGCACAGTAGTACTTAGTTATTTTATATTCGCAAATAATATTGTGATCGTCATTTTACAGAATGCCAGCAGGCACAAGTCCTGAGCTCTGCAATTTACTAATCGGCCTGCTACGACGAAATCCTCGCGAGCGAATGCCCTTTGAGGCTTTCTTCAACCACGCTTTCTTGCAACGGCCACGGACCAGCTCCATTAACAGTAAGTTGCAGACGAACTTGCTTGCAATATCCCATACCTACTAACACGTTCCTTTATCACGCTTTTTACATCGCACACAAACTAAACCATACGTGATATGATAATTGCGAAGTGAGAAATATACAAGTTGAGACAAGTGAATATAAGCCATGTAGTCAATATGGCTCTGTAAATAAATTATGTACAGTGACTCATTAACGAGAATTCAAAGTACCTAACATTGAAAACTGAATACATGAAACTAATCAGACCGAGTGACTAATCACTGCTGACCCGTTCCATTGTTTATAACCTTTTCAAATCCCCTGCTTTCTGTGCTACGTAGATTACCAACAGTGTTTGGTAAAAATTTCCATCCAATTTCCAAATTAGGACGTAGAACTTGACTTCCTTACAATAATATATTCTGATAAAAAATGATCATAAATATTTTTAATCTGCCATATTTCACACAATACAAACATTTAAAAAATATAAACTGACGAAGCAGACATTAATTGCATTGATAGAACTATTTTATCATAATAATAATAATGAAAGTTATAGCAGAAACGTTAATTGCAATGTTATCTCTTCACGTATTATGATTGAATTGATCTAGTTTACTGTATCGAACTCATTAAATTGACGTTAATATATAGTTTATAGCTAAACAAACATCGTCAATGATATCACTTCATTTGATATAAACACAACTAGCTCCTAGTCCATGAATTTTTGAACTATTTGTGTAGGCATTAGATATATCTATGTAAATACACAGACACACTACAATACTCGTCACGGTGTATGAAGTTATTCATGTTGTTCAGGTTTGGACTCGGATCTGCCCGACATTTTGGAGAGCGATCTCGAGGGTCGGCCCGATACTAACTGTTACCTAGAGGAGTCATGGGAAAGTCAGGGTACATCCTCACTTATTAAATTCGCTTTAATTGTGCATGGGTTGGGGGTGGCGCATATTTTTGTAATCTGACCGATAAGTGGGTTGTGCTGTGTCGACAATAGTTCTCTAACCAAACAGTTAGTGTCATTGAAAGGCATGTCATTATTCCAAAAACGTTGCATATGCATTGAAAACAGTCATTAATTTGACCATCGAGTTTCACAAGAGTACTACTGACGACAGGCCACCGCCGACACACACTCGAAAGTTCAAAATCTCAAGGACTATGGTATCACTTGCAATCAATCATAATCACTGCTTGCCACTAATATTTAAAGCTTTGGGTTTAATATTTACTATAATATTCTGTTACTCGTTTATGTACAAATTGTCAATGTATTGCATGAGTTGTACTTGGCGTGTTGATGTTGTGGTAGGGGTGTGTAAATGAGTCGGTGTGTCGCAGGAGTGAGCGTGACCCCTTCCGTGCCGGGGACGGGTGGGTCGGGCGCAGTGGGCTCGGCGGGCCCTAGTGCGGCGGCGCGACCTTCCTCAGCGCCGCGCAGCTCCAACCCACTACAAGCGCAGGCGCTACCCACTCTTCAGACGTACAAGAAATCACAGCCGACATCCTCCGGTAAGCAGCATAGTGATAGGTAACATAATGAACTCCGGTGAAAAGTTCCGTTAATTCGCACAATCTCATGAGCACCTACACGTACTTTAAAATTATCAATATCAAGTTTCTATAATATATTTTATCTATAAGATTATCGTCTTTACCGTAGTACCGTACTTTCAAATTATTATGTCATTTTGGAATTAAATCGACCTGTCGACGTGTTTTGTTTGACGTTGCATGTGTAAGATGGTTTGTAAAACAACGTTTTAATTTACATAATATGCTATTTACGCCGTGATTTAAACTTGATTTAAAAACAAATGACATTGTTGAGCAAGCGGTCCGTAACACAATGAAATCATTTCCGTTTTATTCATTGCTTTATGAAGGATAAAAAGTATGTAGCAGTAATTACGTATGTCTGTATTTTTAAGTAACATTTACTATATTGCAATATTTTTATTGATGAATCAATTTTATATTTTATTCTTATTACAATTTCTAAAACACCAGTGTATGAACATAACTAAAACGTCCACAAAATATTTTTTTGGATTTTCACCTTTATATTAGGTGTTTGGGAAGCGCAGTACAGAGAATCATATTCATAATATTTCGCCTTCACCCAATAGGTTAACTTAAGGGCGGAAGAAAAAGAAGGAACAATGGACAATATTCATTACAACGCCTATAACTATTCATGTAGGTTACTAGGTACTAATTAAATCCCAAGTGAACTGATAAATAAATAATATACATAATATTTAGGGTAACATAAACAGCAATATGCAAATATAGAACAAGACGAAAACGAAACTTACTATCAAATACAATAATTTATGTTCTTACTTCTCGATTTATTTAGAATTGTAAAAATAAAATGATTATCCATCAATGAACGTGTATCATGAATTCATATGATTATGATCTACGATTTACGAGGAATTCGCATGATTCAAGTGACTAGACAGATTATGGACAAAAATAAGTTATAATTCGTGACGTCTCAACATCAAGTCATTTTCTAGAATTATTTTTATCCAATTCATTAGTATTTATTTGTTTTTAAAATAAATATCAGTTGTTGATGTATCTTTTACTCCTTGTCCAAACGTTTAGAGCCGATATCGGTGAACTCTATGCTTGTTTTTTTACTCATGCTTATATTGATTATATTGGTCTCTTTTTGGTCTTTGCACTAGATGCAGGTAATTAATTAAAGTCTTTAAATTCAACCAACAATATTATATAAGACTAAAAAATAAGATTATCGTTATCTTGCAGTGTCACCAATGATTACACTATATTAAAGGCTATCGTTTTATCAAAATCAATAATACACTACTGGACGGTTTCAGATAATGAGTGACGCTGGTTCACATTTGGTACCTAACTAGCTATTTTATTTACTCAGATTAATGTACAACTCATGATGCTTATGTAACACAGGTTTTTTTAAAGTCACGTGTCGTTTACCACCTCTAGTAACTACGCTTCCGAAAACACTTGAGCAAATAAAAATATCTCAATGCAACGGTTCAAATGTTATTAGTGTCGATCATTGTTCTCTGAGTAAACAAATTTGATAACCCTCACTAACCTGCCCTTGGGCACCTAGAGCCGGTATCAAGTTTATTGTAATGTAAATGCAATAACTTATTGTCTGTTCCGCCATTATGTGTAGAGTTAATGCACCCATTTAAGTGTTGCTATGAAGTTATCTACAGCTTGCTACAGATACTGATTGTCCCACATTTTGATTACTAGTCTTTAAACAACTTTCTTAGGTAAAAGTTACAGAAGAAATATTTATTTTAGATAGTGTAAATTTTCTAATGTGAATTATTTTCAACTTAACAACAATAAGTTTATCTGAGCACAGATTAGTGATATATTACCCGCTGGGCCAGTGGCTGCCGTCAATAACAACGGGGTCAGTAGTTCACTGGGCTAAACCAGATTCTAATTAAAACTGAAGTTGGACCAAGTCCGGGTCACTATGCGCTGCTATATAATTGTTACAGTAACATTTCAATGTACACTACTCATTGTTAAATTCTAGAGGTTTGTGCAATCCTAATTTTGTCACATCCTTTTTGCAGTTAGGTGTGCATTATATACCTATATGTATAGCAAGTTTATACACTCGTGTTAATAGAAATGAATGTGCTCTCAGCCGAGTCGTCAGACACGACCTGGGCGGGCGAGGACGACTTCGTGCTGGTAGAGGCGACGGAGAGCGGCTCGGCGGAGTACTCGGGCGCGTCGTCCGGCTCCGAGGCAGCGCCGCGGCCGCGCTCGCTGGCGCTGGCCGGCGCCGGCCCGCCGTCCGCCGTCGCCGCGCCCACGCCCACCCCGCACGTCTATACTGCGCCCGCGCCGATCACCGTCAACAGGGTACTTTACTTCCCTCTAAAAACCATGCTAATAATAATGCTATGCATTTCATCTATCAATATGTATCTCGGCCTCCGCGATGTTTGCAACTGTAAAATTGTAAATAAATAACTGCACATAACAAGCTACGGAACCCAAGTACACAGCGTCGATGTAGAATTAATTAGGTAATCATTCCACTAATGCCACTCGCTAACAATATGTTGTTTTTAATTTCGTATTCGTCAACATTCAACTTTAACATTCTATGTGTTTACAATAGAAGTGTCCATTGCAGAATCCACTCGCCGTAACATCTAACAATAACGTACCACGATCACAACCCATCGACGTGCTTCGATCGAACTACAGCCGTAACGCCACCAACATCGGCTCCCTTTCACCACCCACTGTGAGTATTCATTGCACTCATTATAATATTTACATTACGTAGTGTATAAAAATACGTCTTAAACTATACTCAGAAAGTAATACCTATAGATTTTTTTTGCTTATATCAACGGCTTTAAAGTCTTTGCGCACAGAACAACAATATCTTTATTAATATTGTTACGTTAGTGACACGTGTTTGCATACAATTAGCGTTGGGAGCAGCCACACGTTATCTTTTGTCCCGCTAAACCGTTACGTTTCGTTTACTGAGTACCTATAATGTAATACCAACTACCCACCATGCATGTTGCAAGTGTGAATAAGTTTCCACTTACTCATTATATTTGTATTTATTATAATCCTTGTGTACGAGAACACAATTATATTCACTCAAGTGTTTCAATATAATAAATTATGTAAATATCCACCTTATTACTTATTTGCAGTTGCTATTTGTCTCCATTTATGTATAATTATGGAATGTCAGGAATTGAATCTGTCTTTTGTTATTATTGTAATTACCAATATACGAAATTCTTTATAACTCTGGCAGGTTCCGTTCACGATGACGCCGCCGTCGACTCGGCGCCGCAGCAGTAACTCTGGCAGCTCGCCGCCTCCCTCGCTGTGGCAGGTCTCCCCCACCAACGCCAGCCCGCTGCGCAGATCAGGTTATTGCTCTTTCTCAATATATGTGACCTTTCTTTTTTCTTTTATTTAGAATGCGTACGATCATGGGATGCATTCTAAGTACTCAGAATAATGGAGAATGATAATGACAAAGTGTAGTGTGGTATACAGGGTCGTCTCCGCCAGTGTCACTGGCGCTGAAGGCGAGCGGCGAACTGACGGGCGGCGGCGGCGCCAGCTCACCCAAACGTCAGGCGTTACCCGACGCATTACTGCGCGGCATCAAGCTACACCAGCCACCCGACCCGCCCGTCTACATTCCCAACCTGCAGGAGGAGACTATCCTTGCCGTGAGTATTAATTACGCGTCGCTGAAACAAGGTCACTAAGTATAAAGACCCTTTTAAATGGTGCTGTTTATGTAAATCTCAGGAGGAGCACAGCAAAGTATTTTCTCAGCTGAACTTCGTATTGATGTTGGCGGAGCTCTTGTCGGACCTGGCCGTGTCGTGCGGCGCGCCCATCGCCGCGCTCATGGACGTCTCGGACGGTATGTAGGTCGCGGCTCGTACGGTACAACGTGTACGAGTGCGAGCCGAGCGTGACGCGTGTGTGTTCCAGAGCGCTGCAACGCGCGCGTGCGGCTGGGGCTGCTGGTGCAGGCCATGCAGGCGCTGGCGGCCGGCCTGCGACTGGCCGCCGCGCACTACCGCGCGCGCACGCTGCAGCCCACGCCGCAAGTCAGGAACGGTACGATACCACCAACTCTCCTTGAACTCGTCTAACACGCTATGTATTACTTGATACGTGTCCTCGATACATTAAATCGAAAAGATAGTTAAAATCTTATTTAAACTTGTTGTAAGTCTCATTCGAAGGCTTTCGAGCTGGTAAATATCATGTCCCACTTTGTGTTTTAGTTGTATCCCTCATGAACGGAAAATACAAGTGGATTGTCAATGAATCGCGGAGGCTTCATGAGGCCGGAGTTACTCCTGCTGTCTGCGACAAAATTCTCTACGAGCATGCGATTGAACTGGTATGTACTCTTTTCTTTATCAACATTGTTCCGATTAGCAAAAGAGACGATTAAAAATAGCTTACCTTGTTTCGAATATAAAACACCTAGTAATTAACGTCTCATATGATTTTGGCATGTCCATGTAAGAAAATATAGTTATCAAAAATTACTAATTTGATGAAATGTTGGGAGATAGTGTTTACGTAACTTACGAAGATTTTAAATAGTTAAATATATAACATTTTATGTTTAGTGTCAAATGGCGGCCATCGAGGAGTTGTTTGGCGATATGAAGGAGTGCGAGCGCCGCTACATGTCGGCGCAAGTATTGCTGCACTCGCTCGTCCAGCGCCATCCCTTGCATCCGCAGCATCGCACTACGCTCTCCAAGTGTCAGTACTGCTGCTCGTACTCATTACTTCAGTCACACATCAATTCAAACTTATATTTTGTACTTTTCCTTACAGACCGAGACGCCGTGCAACGACGACTGAACTGTCTCAAGGGGCCTCGTAAAATAATGGATGTAAAACTTGAGGCCGGGATCTCATAATGCAACGCGCAACTCAGGCGTAGGAGTAAGCGGACGTGATGCAACATGAAAAGTGATTTTATTTTGTTCTCAAAAAATGACTCTGTGAGAAACAAAATACTATATAATCTAAAATGTATAAAAATAAAAAGTGAATTATCAATTAAAATCATTGTATACAATCGTTTAGCAATGAAGAAAAATGAATATTTCAAGAAATCGCAATAGTGAATTATATTTTTTATATTCAGTACATTTCACAAAGAAGTTCTTAGTAGATATTATTGAAATTATGTTCTATACCTTATTTAGCACGACAAACGCAAAACTATAGTTAGATACTTATTTACCCACTATGAATTACATCTAGTTTAGGATGTCTGCTTACCTAAATGAGGTATAGTAAAATGAAAAGATGATTCAATAAACGCTTTGAAATGAATATAAAGATAATATTATATAGTTTCATAGATGTGTGTCTAGAATTTCTTTAAAATAAAAATGGTTGTATCATTTAGTGAGGTTTGAAATTTTAGTACTAAGCACTTTTCACTTGAAGTAGCAAACTGTTCGACATAAATATAAATGATAAGAAATATACGAGTTATTTTTTCCAGTCATCTACATTTTAGTTAAATAAATAGGCATAAGATAGAAAACGTAGTATTGTTTCGGATAAGTCTCATTAACATTTTATTATTACCAACTTGTAGTTGATCACGTAAAATGAAAATTATGAAGTAATTATGTCTCGGTATAAACATAATGCTATAGAGATCTCATTGACGACCAATAACAATATTATGGCATTTTTAGGCTAAGCTACGAAATATGATTTGAAAGTATTTTCCTTATAATGAAGATTGTATGATTGAATGAATTTTAGTATATTTTACTCTCCTTGTTTATTTTGCCCATATTGTGATCCTGAAATGTATTTTCTCCTCTCAAAATGTCTACTGCTTTACTGAAATAAGAATAAAGACTGTTGTATTATAAAATTAATTTGTTTTGTTTTAATAAAATCTTATTTGTAACGTTACTACCAATTACTATTATTTCAAAATATTGGTTTTAAGGTCTTATGAAAATCAACAAAAAAGTCACACACATATCTAAGTCATTTTTATTATTTCGAATCAATACTGCACGAAAACTCCATTACCCTGTTTGAGAAATTTGTAGGGCTTCAGTCTATTACGTCCTCGCACTGGACAAAACATTACTTTATCGGGTGGAAATTCTGAAGAGCCTGTAGTCTCGAGTAGTATATCTAGACATGTCAGTAATTTAGTTATTTGTATAGAAAGTGTATACTGATTTTTATCTTCTGAACCCAAATCTGTGTTGATAAATCTTTCAATATCTCTAATATCATCATTTATGCCAGCATGATGTGTTCCATTCCAGTGTAGGGTAAGGGAAAACATCGGTGCCTTCCGAGGATAGTCACTACGCAGGGCTACCAATGCCACTAACTTTGCAGATTGACGAGTTATTATAGCTCTGTACAACATATCATTTGGATTAACTAGTCCCTCAGCAATTAAAAATGATGTTGAAGGTGACTGACTATACTCAGGCCAACCAACAGACTGCCATTGTGTCAATGAGCCGGATAACCTTACTGGACACAGAAAATCTCCTTTCACTGATAAAATTTTTCCAGATTCTAAATCCTGCAATTCTTTCATCAACTCAACTCTCGATTTCAATCGTTTTTTTAGCGTCAGAATGAAATTTTCTACTGTACTAACACTGAGACTTGGACAAAGATTATTATTTTTATTAATTTTTTGATCTTCAGTTATAGTAGCCATGAAATCTAAACCACACATCCGTTGAGCCCAAATATAAGGCTTTCCAAGTTCTGAGATAAAATACTGGAAGTCTTCACTGATGCCAGCAGCATTCAACAAATAGGATGTGGCAGGGTGAGGAGAGTCACAGCCTGTGTCTCCTGGATACAACTCATTCAATATGCAATGACCATTCAAAACATCAGCTGCCGATACACCTGTTATAGGTTTTGGCAAAGAAACAGTAAACTTGACAACAACTATTTTTAAGTGCAGCAGGTATGAGAAGATTAAATTTAAAGCAGTTCCATCTTGAACTTTGACAGACACTTGCACATTCAGAGGATGTTTTTTCAGAACCTCCTTCTTTTTAGCTTCAGCTTTCTCTTCTTTGGATATCTTGGCATTTCTATGGTGGCGCTTCTTTTTCTCTCTTTGATCATCTTCATTGTTTTCTTGATCCGAGTCAGAATCATTAGATGCTACAAGATCACTATCAACATTACTCAGTTGTTCAAGCCTTCTTGCTTCATCCTCATCTCCAGAAATGCCTGCAAAGTCACAATCAGAATGTTACAAGTTGATAAAAAAATTCTAGCAAGTTAACAAAAACCTATACCTAAAATTGAATCAAATTATTGTGTTTGAAAATTAAAATAGTGGAATCATTAAATATAAATAAATGATTTAACACTTACTAACTGCTACTGAATTGGAGCCCAGTGCATCAGAGTAAGCGCTGGTATTTGCAAATAAAAGGAACAGAGGAGATGGCAGTAAGGAAGCAGCTCTAGCTTCATCCCTTTTATCATCCAGTCTAAGAGCTAAACATTCTTGTAGTGGCTTAGTAGATTTCAGTACATCTCTCAAATGAGGTACCAAAGCATCAAGTCTGGAGCGTGCAGCTGCTATAGCTGCAGCAACTCTCTCCTTAGACGAGATCAATTCATTACAGGCTGCAGATAATTCGCGGCGCTGGCGGAGTTCCCATTCCAATCTAGCAAGTTGAAGCTGGTGCTCATCAGTTTTAGTCAGATCCTAAAATTGTAATTATTAATCAATTAACATTTATAGCTATTTAATGAATGATACATATAAAAAATATTAATAATCAAAAAATGCTATTTTATTAAATAAATTAACATTCATTAAAAGTATTCTATACATATCTAAGTAAAGGGATTAGATATTAGTCAATCTTATTATCCTAAGAAATCAATCTTTTTTGTTCTTATACATATTATTCACATAATATTTATTTAAAATGCTCTACAAATTACATTTTTAAATACTACTTACAAAATAAAAAATAATATTTAAAAATATAAAAAATAGGAGCCGACCAGTAGCGGGAGCATGGTCTATCTAAGCTACTGGTGGTTAGGGCTCCAGAGACAGAAACCTCCTCACGATACGTGCCGTTTCTAAGAGAACTGCCTTCTGTATCAGGCCCTTGATACATCCACCCAGGGCCGGATTTAGGGGTCCAGAGGCCTCGGGACAACAAAGGAGTGGAGGCCCCCTTGCCCCAAATTATTTTCCAGATTGAGATCGAGGACGCTCGAAAACAATCGAGAACGCTCGAAAACGATCGAGGACGCTCGATTGATTTCGAGGACGCTCGATAGATTTCGAGGACGCCCGATAGATTTCGAGGACGCTCGAAAACGATCGAGGATGCTCGAAAACGATCGAGGACGCCCTATAGATTTCGAGGACGCTCAAAAACAATCGAGGACGCTCGAAAACGATCGAGGACGCTCGAAAACGATCGAGGACGCTCGAAAACGATCGAGAACTCTCGATAGATTTCGAGGACGCTCGAAAACAATCGAGGACGCTCGAAAACGATCGAGGACGCTCAATAGATTTCGAGGACGCTCGAAAACAATCGAGGACGCCCGATAGATTTCGAGGACACTCGAAAACAATCGAGGACGCTCGATTGATTTCGAGGACACCCGATAGATTTCGAGGACGCTCGAAAACGATCGAGGACACCCGATAGATTTCGAGGACGCTCGAAAACGATCGAGGACTCTCGATAGATTTCGAGGACGCTCGAAAACAATCGAGGACGCTCGATTGATTTCGAGGACGCTCGATAGATTTCGAGGACGCCCGATAGATTTCGAGGACGCTCGAAGACGATCGAGGACTCTCGATAGATTTCGAGGACACTCGAAAACGATCGAGGACTCTCGATAGATTTCGAGGACGCTCGAAAACAATCGAGGACGCTCGATAGATTTCGAGGACGCTCGAAAACAATCGAGGACGCCCGATAGATTTCGAGGACACTCGAAAACAATCGAGGACGCTCGATTGATTTCGAGGACGCTCGAAAACGATCGAGGACGCTGGAAAACAATCGAGGACGCTCGATTGATTTCGAGGACGCCCGATAGATTTCGAGGACGCTCGAAAACGATCGAGGACTCTCGATAGATTTCGAGGACGCTCGATAGATCTCGAGGACGCCCGATAGATTTCGAGGATGCTCGATAGATTTCGAGGACGCTCGACAGATTTCGAGTTTAAGAATTGAAGAATACCAATTGTTCACATACTGCAATTAATTTTTTTAATGGTCGAGACACAGAATCGAATAGCCAACCTCCGAGGTTGCGGGCAAGTACCATCCCACTGAGCCATTGAGCCATTGGGGTACTCCCTCAAGATGGGTAGTAAATTGGAAGTGCTTATCAGAGCCATTTGAGATTTTGATATTTCACTGATTGCCTGATTGGAGTGAACAAATATAGATCAATGATTTCTGTTTTTGTTAATATTTAAAATTAATATAATCAATGTATGTATAAAGTACTTTAGGCTGTAGGTAAAGGTAAAAGCGAAAAAAAAAGTATCAAAGAAAAGATGTTTACTAGGTTTACTAGTTGAAATTTGAAAGTTTTTTTTTTCCGAAGTCTATTGTGGAGGCCCCCTGCTTGTGGAGGCCCCGGGGCTTTCGCCCCGGTTGCCCCCCCCTAAATCCGGCCCTGCATCCACCTAACGCCAGCCTCCTGAGATGGATGTCGAGGCTTTTAGGGATTAACCCATTGGCCGACACGACTATCGGCACAATAATAGCCGAATCCACATTCCACATGTCGACAACCTCGTGAGCTAAGTCTAGATATTTTATTTGTTTATCTTTCTCAGCTTTCACGAGGTTCTCGTCATGGGGAATGGTGACATCGATTATCATAGTGCGGCGTACTTGTCGGTCTATCACCACTTTATCAGGTTTATTGGCTACAATAGTCCTGTCAGTAATGATAGACCAGTCCCAGTACAATGTGATATGGTCATTTTCCAGAACTGGGTGGGGCACATACTTGTAGTATGGTACCTCATACTCAACAAGTTGATAGTGTAAAGCAAGTTGCTGATGGATAATCTTGGCTACTAGATTATGCCTATGCAAATATTCACTATTAGCCAAATGACCACAACCAGAAATTATATGTCTAATGGTCCAGGTCTATGACATGCCTGACATAATACATATTATTATTATTAATGAATATCTTTACCATTCATAGGACCACAGGGTCATTTGGGAGGTTTGAAACCAAACCGGTGACTATTCCTGTATGCACTATGGGATTGCACCCAAAGACAGTCCCTGGTTTGTGTAGAACTATTGTAGATAATGGAGAAAAAGGGTAGGGCTATGGATGGGTTTTTATTATTGTAAAACTGATGGTTAAATTTAATATTTCTTTTATGTTTTCATTTAATGAGGAAGGTTGTATACATCATGCTGTGACCAATAAGAGTAGTGGATGAAACCGCAAAGAAGTACCTAGTTGATTTTTTTATTGGTAATGCTATTATTAGACACAATTGTTAATTCATTAAACAACTACCTATTTTAATATTTATAGTGATTGTTAATACTTACTGGTCGAGATATATCCGGAGGTGCATTTGCAAAAAAGTCTTCAAGAGAAACAAGTTCTATTTCTTCATCTTTAGATTTAAATTGCAAGCACTTGGTGACTTCTTTGTTGAGATGATCAGCTTCATACAATAAATTTTGCAAGAGCAAGTGCGTGGAGTCCACCCTCTGTTTTTCCTTGTGTAGAGCATCACGACCTGCCCTTGTTCGAACTTTCTCCAAACGGTTCAACTTCTTCAATGCAACCAAGTTCAAAGAAGCTTCAATTCTCTTGGCATTAATTTTTTCTCTAGCCTAAAAGATAAGACATAATTATTATGCCAATGCCAAATGTATAATACTATTAAAATATTTTTGTTGTGAATTAAAATGTGATGTGCTCATAAAACAGACTTCAAACCGCCATTTGTTTTGAGGTTGTTTTATTAATATACTAAAAACTTCTCCTATGTGTAACAAACACTTTCCTGAAAACTGCCTCAAAATAGATTTACTCAATCGCGAGATAATCACACATAAACATGTATATGTTACCGGCCAAACCCGATTTCAGGACAAACTAGTTTTGCCTAGGCTAAACTAGTTCTTCCTATACGCGTTAGGATTAACTAGTATAGTATAGTTCAAACTAATTTGTCCTAAGCCCGATAGGATAAATTAGTTTAGGCTAGGACAAACTAGTTGTTCCTGATATAAAGACGCACACTCTAGGATAAACTGGTATGGCCTAGTCATAATATGATTATTGCATCTATTAAAAAACAGTGTGACTGCCTCGTTGGCCGAGTGGTCGCATGTGCGATTGCCAGGCAAGGGGTCTCGGGTTCGATTCCCGGGTCAGGCAAAGTATTACTGGGTTTAAAAAAAATCTCAGTAGTAGCACGTAGTCTGGAATTGTGGCCGGTATATGGCAATAGGTTCACCCCCTATTACATGGGACTCGTAACATAAATAGAATAATTCCAGACTACGTGCTACTACTGAGATTTTGTTTAAACCCAGTAATACTTTGACCTGACCTGACCCGGGAATCGAACCCGAGACCCCTTGCCTGGCAATCGCACATGCGACCACTCGGCCAACGAGGCAGTCACACTGTTTTTTAATAGATGCAATAATCATATTATGACTAGGCCATGCCAGTTTATCCTAAAGTGTGCGTCTTTATATCAGGATCAACTAGTTTGTCCTAGCCTAAACTTATTAATCCTATCGGGCTTAGGACAAATTAGTTTGAACTAGGCTATACTAGTTAATCCTAATGCGTATAGGAAGAACTAGTTTAGCCTAGGCAAAACTAGTTTGTCCTAAAATCGGGTTTGGCCGGTAACATATATATATATACGGGTTTCCTTTTTTTTAGTCAGTTCAGTTAAACGTTTTACCTCATCTGTGTCTTTAGCTTTCAATTCTGATATTTCAGCAAACAAATATCTTATATCTTGACAAATCTTCTTAAATAGCGTGGCGTCTTTTTCAGCAGGACGTAGTTGGGCTTCTGATTCTTCAAACTCTACCACCCGCTATAACAAAGAATTAAGAAAATCACATACCTATAAATAATATGCGTGTTAAGAAAGTATTCATTTTCAAAGAGTAAAATGTTAACCTTATAAATATCAACTGGCACTTGCTTAGAAGTATCACTCGACGAACTTGTGTTGATTTTACGGCGCTTTTTTGCCGACACGTCTTCTTTTCCCATGTTTCTATTGATTGACGTTATGAGATTTATAACTTCAATTGTAAATCACTTGTTTTGATGTGCCTTAGCAAACTTATCCAAAGAAAGAACTCATCACAATTCACATTTCACAAACCAAAACTTCACAAAGTCAAGAAACAATTAAAAAAATGCTTGACGCTTGGATGAATGAACATGAACATGTGCACAGACTACTTAGAGATACTACGTATAACATGTGTCATATGCACAGACTACTTAGAGATACTACGTAACGTATGTCATATGGCTCATGTCTATGGATAATTGGATATGTCAGTCGTCAAGTAGGTAAACGTCGAGTTAAGTGACGTCCAATCACTTAGAATGCAAACAATAGATGTAATGTTTATGGTAGAGAGATATTTGGTAATAAAAACTTAAACAAAATTTATGATTAACTACTACTTTGCGACTATTAATATATACAACTTAAAATAGTCTTTTGGGCACCCTACCTCACGGTAGCGATGAGGAAAATGTTTTCTTTGATGCTTTATTATTTATTTTTATTATTTTTTTAAGGTGTAAATATTTTAGTTTTAAATTATTTTAAATAAAATAAATACTAACTATTACTAAATATATATAACTTAAGATAAAAATTAATTAAAATAAAACTAAAAACAACTATTTTACACAAACCATCGAAAAAATGTGTAGGGTAAATATGATTATTTATATATATAATCATAATCATAAAGATGTTTATGGTTTATTTCGAATTATGTGTGTAATACATTATTCTAGATCTCGATGTGAATAATAATACCGATCTTGTCTTGCCTGTATGTACCACAGCAGTGGATTGGCTCACAGCAGTATGGCAGCAGTTTCCAATACCTACATGGCCAAAAGCCCCATAATCTCAGCCAGAGTTCAAGTAAAAATAATGAACCACAAAGAAAATAAGTTTTATATTCTCTTTGGACATTAAACATCTGACTGTCAAACTACAGCCGAAAAAATAAAAATTTTATCTTAAAAATCATAATACTTTTGGCTAAGTCCCTTAACAATTTAATATCATAATGGTACGGGTTACTCCGGTTCTTGCTCGTATTCCCGTAATAAAGTTTCGTAAGGGTGGGTTAAGTGGGGCTTCAAGACCCGCCGCTGCAGCTCCATCAGTGTCAAGCGGTCCACCAGCTGCACCCACAGCAGCTGCAGCCGCGGTAGGTGTTTAACATTTTAGTAGCATAATATTACTTACACATTTTATATTTATGTACATAACTGTAAAGGCTTTTCCAGTCCCTCGGTCTTTGTCACATGCCATTCCTATAGGTAGGTAGTCTATTATTGGCATCCAGTTACTTGTAGCTTTTTCTTATTAGAATTTGGCTACTTATATGTACTTCAGACATAAAAAGAAAATCAATCATAGTCTCATCTGACTGGGCCCCTTAAATTTCCTTATGTGTTTAGACAGAATTATGTAAGTAGCGCAAGAAGTACTTAAATACTAGCTCTGTGAAACGAACACAACAGGAAGAATTTAATGTTTTTAACTATAAATTGATAAAAATCAGCTAACTATTACAAAATCTAATATTCAGCCTTTCAAGTTTCTAAATGTATATTACATTCATACATATTTTATATCTTTTTTAGTCATCTCATGTGCAGTCAACAGCAGCTATGAGTACATCAGCCGTGCCAGACATAGATCTGCCTCTCCGCTACAGAAGGCAACCTCTATCCGATGAAGAAATTGCTCACATCAACGGCGGAGGAATTGTTTAGTCCTTCAACTTAAAATATAGTAGATGCAGTTTTCAAAAGTAGAACTTGGTTAATAATATAGTTATTATATCTTAGTACTTTTCTAAATTTTTTTTTTTATAAAACATACACAACTGTGCTTTGGATTGAAAGAAAATGCAATCTATGTATGATGTCAAATCCATAGCCTGATTATACATATAGTAGGGCTGAAAATTTTGTTTGGTAATTATATCTAAGCTAAATTTAATTAAATACAGATAAAAGATTTTTAATTTTAGAAGTATTCTTCATTGCCCGTCATCATAACACTAAAATGATAAAATAAGACCAAAAAAATCTACTTTGAAAATACTAGAAAACGCTATCAGTTTAGATAAAGATCAATTATTGTAAGTGGCTTACTCAAAGCTAATAACTAAGTTGGTTCTATGTATATTTATTTTAATGGCTTGAGATAGTACTATTAATTTATTAAAATTATATACTTTGAACAAGTTGCTCACTAGAAACCCATGTGTGCCTTTCACATGCCATAGCTCCAAATCTGCTGTGGACCATCCCAGTCAAAATAAATTATAATCAATATCCACAATATAATTAAATGTTACTTAATATTGCAGACAGAAATTGAAACTCGTAAAGAGGCAGAACCTGTAACAATGGGAGTAATACGAGTTCCGCGTGGTGTTCTAATTGATTGCGGCGCTAAGAAAAAGGAAGTTATATCACTAAACATTGTTTTACAAAAATGTAGTAAAAAGTAATAACTGGAACATCAAACCCTGGAATCTAGAAGAGCAAATCAAATCTTGACGAAAAATACAACTGAATTTTGTCACTTTCAAGAGAAACGAGCTCAAATATTTTAACTATAATATATTTCATGAGCTAATGAAACTTGTACCAAATGAAGGGAAATCAAATCAAGAATATGTATATATTATCAAATATACAACGACGTCAGAAAAGTATAAAGTATACGACTTATAATCATGGAAGTAATGTTTATATTTACGATATGCTGCGTCCACGCTCACGGGCCGCTCGCGTTCAGCTCTCGGACTGTTCGCAAGCATATCGCGATAAATTAGTACCTCAGAAACCCGGGGGCGAGTATTTAATTAGTATAAAATTGTGGATTGGTACCTGCTGTTATTACCTATGTGGTAAAAACTATTTTTGCTATAAAAATATAATTTATAGCAATCATTGAACTAATGTAAAAACTATATATAAATAAAAAATGCGAAGTGCTATTCATTGATTCGTTTATTATTTAGGAGTATAATCAGTGTACAAAATATAAATAAGATACAATAAAGAAATAATTAGACATGCTCTAATAATACCGAACATTGAGTTTTTCGTTTTGGATGGCCCACATCTGTGTAGGCGGCCCATTGTAAGCGACATCGCTATTAGTCTCGAACTTGATTATGCCAAATTTTGCAAATTTATTTTTCCACTGCTGTGTTTGAGGTAGGCGGAGTAAAGCATTTATTATTGCCTTTTTTATCTCGTCTGAAACAAATACTTGTGACAGGATTGATACTTAGTTACAATGGGCAATTAGCCTCTTGGTATGTTGAAAGTTGCGGGTATAATGTGTTTTATACCGGGAGCCGGTGTTTCAACAGATAAAAGGTTAGACTTCGAGAGCATAATAAGCACTCCACCGATATCAGAATTCAGCTCTTCGTATCCAGTCATTACCAGAGTATAGGGCGCCCGCGTCCTATATTAAGTTTACCTATAATTGATTCAGTTTGGTCTATCTATGACATATTACCTTCTAGCTTCTGCACACGGCCTTGCTCACGTTCTCGTGGGATAAAAGTAGTCTGTGGGTTATTCCATACCATAATCGACCTACCACTGTTTCAAATTTCATCGCTATCCCTTCAGTCGTCATGATTGAATAACAATCATACATAGGAACTCATAAACTTTGCCATTTATAATATTAATAAGAAGTAAGATTAGATACACTACTTACCATCGATCACGAAATACCTCATTGCGATTGCCTCATTGCTAGTGACCGAATGCTGCCTACGACTACCTACCATACGAGGGGCTTCTGGTTCGATTTTCTATTTAAATACCACTAAGTTTGGAAATCAATAGGGGAGGCCCGATATTTAAAGGAAAATATCGTGTTATCTCGCGTTTTCACATGTATGTTTTGATATGATAACAGTAGGTACTTATTAAATATAAAAATACACTCACCACTTAGTTTAGCATTAACCACAATGGGGTATGGTGGCAATCGACCTAATGTTTCCAGGGTTATGATATCTTTGCCACCATCGTACATAAACTTTTTTGAAAAAAGTAGAGTTGTAGAATCAACTGCAGCCCATTCTGCTTGTTTAGAGAGCACCATCTGAGCCGACGACAAATGTGATCCAGATCCTGAATAAACAATAATTTTTTAATTGACAATATATCACAGATGTTGCATTATTTACTTCGTAAATATAAGAAATTCACAGTACTTAGCAGAGATCCAAAAAATGAAGCATTTTCGCCTTTTTCTTTCAAAGTTTTCAGTACAATTTTACTTCCACTCAGAGATTCCTCGTCGCTGTATGCAAATGTACAACCTCGAAGATCCAGTAAAGTATTTACGTTATGAGCCCTGTTATAATGAAACCGTATTATTATAACCATTTAGTATTAACCGTACAACTTCAATAGTTCAATAAAACAATATTAACAGTTTGGCAGCTAATTGTAGAATAATAGAAGACTCTTTCTTATCACGAGTCAATGACATGCTGATAACATTTTATCTATCGTGTTGTGTATTTATTTCAATGGAAGCAAAGTTCGTAAATCGTTTTTGTTATTTAGAATAAGCAGATACGATAACTATCGCAATTCTTTCTTACTTAACTGGACAATTAATTTAATAGATTTTAGTTTAAATTGCGAACTCTTACTTCTTATCACTGTGAATAATGATATCAGAAAAATATCCTGGTTTATTTTCCACGTTCATTTGGTGAGCGAATACTGGTGTTACTGGTAGCAATTCAATGTTAACGTTTCTCTTTTCTCGCAGTTTCATATATGAAGACGCTGTCATGAACGCTGAAATGTAAATTATAGGTAGGTACTGTTCACGACATTGTAATCACCACAACGAGCTTGTCCATCGTTTTGAGTAAAGTTTGTAAGGTGGGTAGGGAACATTAGCACCTATGCGGCTATGCAATTTTATTATGCTAGGTAAAGTTATCTTACCCAAATCCACTTTATTAGTGGAAAATGGATCAGGACGATCCGGTAATGGTCCTGGGCTTCTGCTTTCATATTGCAAAGTGGTATAACAATCCAACGTTTCTTCTAGTAACTCCAGTATTAATTCGTAGAGCTGAACCGGATGCGTTGGACACATATATGTCACAACGCGCAATTCTTGTTTGCTTTGAGACATTGTGTGGAAAGTAGTATACAAAACCAGTGTAACAACTAGACTAAACTCCGGTAAACTTATTCAGCTTATTAAAGAGATTATAATGAGCTCATTTGTTTGTTATGAGCATTACATTAATAGCTTGGTTGTTTATTATCGTAAAAACACGATAAACGCTGCACGCTCCGATCATGTACCTACTGTCTACTATAGATTCTTTGGTAAAACTGCCACAGAAATCAAAATGACGTCACGAGCACGCGATGCTCGCGTGTTTACAGGTTATTCGATTAGTCGGCAGTCAGCCGATGAGCCGAGCTATGTATATAGTTGTCGTCTGTTTCAATAAAATGCTATTGAAAATAGTTTCTTAGAAATAGATTTTGAGCTATGTCCAAATTGGTACAACTACAATAAAATACTTACAGTCTCGTATTTTGTAAAGGTTTCCGAAATGAACCCATAAAGCAGCGATGTAGTTTATATAGGGCTCACCGAAGAAGGAAGTGAACTACTACTATACTACCTACCTAATTTTATTGTTGTCGAATGACGAAGGTACGTAGATAGGTACCTATCTTAGCGATTTAAATAATATACAGATACAAGTTGTGTTCTTTTCCTACTTAGTTATTAGTTAGTGGTCCACAAAGTAGTTATTAGAATTTAAACCAATATTTATCAGATTAGATCATTTGCAAAATGATGCGTCGTAATTTGTAGGTAGGTAGGTAACTAATATTCTACCTTTATCAGTCTTCTACAGATTAAAGGTAGTACTTATACATAAAATTAACCAGCGGTAGGTAGATCTCTACATTTATTATTTTTTCCATCAGTAACCTACCTAATTATTATTCCACATATCAATGAATTTGGAATTTTTAACTGACTTCATAAAAAAGGTCCACATTTCAATGGGTATGATTTTTTTCTTATAGATAGGTACCACGTAAGTAGTTGCATCGTTTCGCAAACTTAGTAGTTAAGTACATCAGATAATTGTTGTCAATTTACTGATAAAAAACAGCATTCATGTGTTTACTGATCAGGGAATTGAACCTTTATAATTGATTCATTTATGTACTGTCCGCGATATTTGTTACGCAGTCAGAAAATGTGCAGAAAAAAGCTTATCCCACTAAATTATATTATACTTTAGAATGCAGCCATATCTCTTGCAAATATTGGTCAGTTCAGTTGTCAATTATTTTCTTACCTGTGTACGAATAATAACATTTATAAATGTACAACTTATTTGTATGCTCAATGCTGTTTAGTAATAATAAAATACATATTACAATAACATTATCATTTATTGAACATCAATATTAATTAATTTTAAAAGTAAATCTTAAAATTTAAATAAATAGCATCATACATTCGACACTAGTACATACACTACAGCCAGTAATCTCTTATAAATATAGTTCTTTTGAAAAATGTGTGCATTATTCCTGTTGTCACATCTACTTAACATGTATTATTACTACAGGGAATTAAAATGCTGTGTAATGTGAAGAGCATATCCATTTCAGTCATTAGTTTGACAGCAATTATGCAACTTATGTTGATGAATATACTCTTTTACACGAAGATAAAATTAAACAGGCCTGCGGAAGTTCTTGCCAGCGTATTTGGCAGCGGCGCCGAGTTCCTCTTCAATGCGGAGGATCTGATTGTACTTGGCAAGACGTTCAGAGCGGCAGGGTGCACCAGTCTTGATCTGACCGGTAGATAGACCGACTACGAGATCAGCAATGAAAGTGTCTTCAGTCTCTCCAGACCTAATGATAAATTAATAAAATTAGTGAAATATGCAATTTAATTATTTTACTTTTCATTGTAACATTACAACACAAATTTTGCACAAACCTATGGGAAACCATGGTGCCCCATCCATTTTTCTTGGCCAGCAAGTGAGCATCAATGGATTCAGTGACACTGCCAATTTGGTTTACCTTCAAGAGCAAGCAGTTGCAAGCTTTCTTCTCAACGGCGGTAGCAATACGCTTAGGGTTTGTTACCTATAAAATAAATCAATGGAATTGTTAGTCAGCTAATTTAGAATATGATGATTTCAATGCTGATTTCGAAAAGTTTTTAAAGTACTTACAGTAAGATCATCTCCAACAATTTGGATGGGTGTGCGGGAAGTGAGGCTACTCCATGCCGCCCAGTCATCTTGGTCGAAGGGATCCTCAATGGACACCATGGGGAAGTCTTTGATGAAGTCAAGGTACACCTCGGCTAACTTCTCAGATGACAGGTAGTCAGCAGGGTTGGACTTAGGGTTCTTGAAGTCAAGGTCATAGGTGCCATTCTTGAAGAATTCAGAGGCAGCTACATCCATTCCAATTTCAATCTGAAAAGATAAATACAATAAGATTAGTACCAAGCAGTCACCAGTAACAGCTCTCCACTAAATACATTATAGACCCTATTTCCAATGTTTAGAGACTATTGTATGAACAAATTTAGGAGATGATTTTCAACAGGTTAATGCTAATAAATACTTATTTACTTCGTTTTTATATGTGTTATTGTTTGTGATAAATGTGTGTAACATAAGAAATTCATAAATAAATAAAAAATAAATAAAATCAAGTATATACCTTGCCAGTGTAACCAGCCTGCTGGATGGCATCCTGGATCAGGAAAAGAGCATCTTTGTTGTTCTGGATGTTGGGAGCAAATCCACCTTCATCACCCACAGCAGTGGAGTCAAGACCAAACTTTTCCTTGATGATCTTTTTCAGGAAGTGGTACACTTCTGATCCCATACGCATTGCCTCACTGAATGAGGAAGCACCTGAAGGAGAAAACATATGGTTTCATTTAAAACTGTTCAAATAACATAGCCAAATAGTTTAATATCTGAAAACATATTCAGAGATTAGCAGAGCAGCACACTGTTGAACTAAATAATATTTAAATGTAGTACAGAAAATCAATAGTATTAACCTGTGGGTAAGATCATGAACTCCTGCATAGCGAGCTTGTTGCCGGCATGGGAGCCTCCGTTGATGACATTGAATGCTGGTACTGGAAGTACAATATCAGCATTTCCAGCTAAGTCAGCCAAGTGTTTGTATAGGGGCACTCCCTTCTTTGCAGCACCAGCCTTGGCAACTGCCAAAGATACACCAAGGATGGCATTGGCACCCAACTTTGACTTATTTTCAGTGCCATCCAACTTCAGCATAAAGTCGTCAATCTGTTAACCAATTACTCAATTATTTAATTACTTACTACAAATATGCTCCATAAGGATAATACTTAACATATTACTGTGTCGTGTTTTAAAGAGTATAAAAATATTCACTTACAAGATTTTTTTGTAAATATTGTGTTTTCATGTATTTGCTTATTTTCTGATAACTCATATTGAAGGGTTATCAATCATCATTCAGAAATATATGTTTAATATGTTAATTTACATCATATATTTGTGGGTGTGGTGGCATTGATTAATTGCCGTTAATACTTTAACTGCCAAGTTTAAAATGGTGAAAGTCAAACCTCCACTAGCGTCAGGCACCGGTGACTGACGTGGCGCTCTAAGGGTTAATTATTGAAAAAAATAAGAGTAAAGTAGAGACAGCATTTATTTTTGTTGAATAATATGGATAATATTTTTTACATGTATTTATGATTTATTTCAAATTTTATATCGTCCTTGATCGGACTTTTAAGGTCAAAGTGAAGGTTAAATTAAGTATTGTACTTATTGAACATACCTCCTTCTGCTGTGTGACCTCAAGGTTTTGTTTAAGAAGCTCAGGAGCAATGATGTCATTGATGTTCTTGATGGCAGTGAGGACACCCTTGCCATGGTACTCTCCCTTCACATTGTCTCTGAGCTCCAAAGCCTCATGGACACCAGTAGATGCACCAGATGGTACAGCCGCACGGAAAAGGCCTAGCTCTGTCACCTATATCAACAATTATCTGTTATTGGTGACTAGCTCTTTTGCCAGGGACTGATATTCTGATTGAAAATAGTCACATTAATAATTCTTGTAAATATCTTGTTGGAATACTTACTTGGAATCTAGTTGGAATTTTTGATTACAACATTTTGTAGATAATAAAATATTGTAATTTCAACTACAATATTTATTCAACTTCCAAAAAAGGAAAAATATGGGGTGCTACTTGAGTCAGCCTACTCAATAAAAATAAGTTGTAACAATATTTTGAACATTATTTTAAAATATGTATGGGAAACATCTTCTTCACAAAAATATATTGTTTAGCAGTTAAAATCAAAAAATTATCAGGATCTTAATTAAAATAATATTTTTAATTTAATAGTAAATACACACCAGATCAACCTCCACAGTGGGGTTGCCACGGGAGTCGAAGATTTGACGGGCCTTGATTGACTTGATCGGCATTCTGGACATGAAAACAAATAAACTCCTGTTTAGAGTAATTAATATTGATCATAACTTCCATAATTCTTTTACTTTGCGTCACTAAAACTATCATTACCTACCCCAACTTTTTCATCAAAGGTGGCAAGGTCAACTATAGGTTGAGTTAGTTGAGTACAGTAAACGTAGACAATTTTAATTAAAAAAAATACAGAACAAAGGAAAACTTGTAAAATAATATTATTATGAGATAAGTTATAAAAATACAATTACTAAAATAAAATGACGTATGCACAGTTAACAAAAAGTAAGATAATCTAAAAACTGGCTTATATAAGATTTGTTGAAAAATCCACCGTGTTTATTGAATATACCAGTAAAACTAAGGTTATTTAGTAACTTTTAGTAAGAAAATGCATACTCACTTGAATACGATTTCGTAATTTCAGTACTCCAATGAAAATCTAAATGCACAAAATTCGCCGGATCCGCCGGAAAGTACCTACTGTCGCAAAGTAGTTTTGTCCTTCACAAGGTGAAATTAGAGGGGAAACAAAAACAACGGAACTTTCCGAGAAACTAAATGAAACAGAATGTTATAGATAAAATAAAAGGCCTTTACATAGAAAATTAACTTGTTTCATATGCAAAATATATTGAAGCCTAATAAAATCATTTATTGAATTACAAAAAAAAGTTTCGTCAATTTTCATAAAATAGTAAGTACGGTTTTTCAATTAATAAAAAATTACGTTGACTTGACATTAACATTTAGCTGGTACGTCCAATGTGTCAATCTGTCAATTTTCAGATGAACATGAGAGTTGGTCATCAAGCAAACAAGATAATTTGTTTATTTATTTCTAACATTCTGTAACATTTCGACTAAAATGAGTGATTCAGATGATAACACTGAAAAGAAACCTATTGTAATAAAAAATGCAACTGATTTACAAAGACTTAAGTTAGAGAAACTAATGAAAAATCCCGTGTGTATATACTAATAAATTTAGTTATTGAAATGATAAAAAATTTACATTGGTTATTAGATGTATTTACATGACTTTATTATTTTCAGGATAAGCCCGTGGTAATTCCAGAGCCACCTAAATCTAAATCTTTAGCTGCACCACCGGACTTTGTCCGTAATGTAATGGGTTCTAGTGCTGGAGCTGGCTCGGGTGAATTTCACGTATACCGTCATTTAAGGCGAAAAGAATACGCGAGGCAGAAATTCATACAAGAGAAAAGTGAAAAAGTAAGGAACGACTGAACTATTATTTTGCAATAACCAACTCTGGTATATAAAAAATAGAATGGAATATGTACAAGGATTTTAAACAGTTTTATTTAGCTTGCCCTATTTGTTTGTTACAGATAGATCTGAAATTTGGTCCACTTTTAATCATAACATATTATAATAAAGTAAATTATTAAATAACAATGAAATGAATATAATCTGCAACTACCTCCATTATCGAAAGGGCTTGATTTTGCTCAATTTTTTTTTTACATACATACTTACATAACTTCACGCCTGTCTCCCATGGGGGTAGGCAAAGACTAAGGAACGCCAATTACTACAATTCTTACATACCTCTTTCGCTTCATTTACAGTCATCAATCTTTTCATGCATGCTCGTCGGTTAAGGGTACCTTTAATTTGGCCCTTCTTTAATATATCGCCAATCAGGTCACTATATGTCCAGGCTAGGGCGCCCTCTACAGACGGCCCCATTCATATCCGCTCTGTATACTTCTTTCGTTACTCTACTTTCTTCCATCCTTTCTACATGTCCAAACCAGCGTAACATTCCCTTTTCAATCCTTGTCAATACATCATCTTTCAATCCACACCTTTCTGTAATAACACTATTTTTCACTCAATTTCACTATTTTTTTTATGTTGTATTATTTAACAAGTAGTCTTAAAATTTAATTCAAGATTAGAAATTGACAAGTTACTTTATTTTATAATTCCAGGAAAAACTTGATGATGAATATCATCAGAAAATAGAAGAAAATCGAAGAGCAGCACAGGAGAGAACAGCAAAGAAAAGAGCCAAAAGATTAAAGAAAAAGAAAAATGCTAAACTAAAAGGAAAGAAGCCAAAGACAGAAAATAGCCAGAACCCCTCATCTCAGTCTGATTCCAGTGGAGAAGAAGATAACAATGAACATAATGAAACAAACACAGAGACTTCTACTGAAGTTAAAAATAATGAAAATAGTCCATGATTTCGTATAATGATATGTCTAGTAATTAAGAAAATACATAAATGTACAAATATAACCGCATTTAATTACATTAATATTTTAATGTCCATTCTAAACAAATATACAAAGATAAGCAAGATTTATAACATAAATTAAAATCTAGAACATTATACCCAACTAAATTTAAAATAAACTCATATTTTTCTTAAACAGATTCTACAAACTTAATTTCACTTCCAAAAAAATAAGGTGGTAGTGGCGGGAGTGAGGTGGTGAAGCTGTCATGCTCTGCTATCGTCATGTGGTTCCAAGAGTTGGTACTATGCACTGTACTGGTAAATTGACGAGCACACCATGGGATTATACTAAATCTGCAACAACCTTATTAATATTATAAATGCGAAAGTTTGTGACTGTGTAGGTTTGTTAGTCAAACATGTCAAAACGGCAATTTGCGTTGCGAACAGGGTTACCCCTGTTACAAATTACTGTAGTCTACAAAATACTATGGTCTGGAATAATACATAGGTTTACTTTCAATCCCACGGTAACGCGGGCAAAGCCGCTAGCAGAAGCTAGTTGGTAATAATTTGTTAACCATCTCGTTAGTTTACGTCAACAGACTTTAATTTTCGTTTGTTCGCCTGTCTACTTAAGTTTTTCGGTACTCACCCAATCATTAATAACACAAATGCAATTAAAATATTGGCGATAATCAGGAACCACAGTGAAAAAACCGTCATTTTTATGTTTTGTCGTTACTGTTCTTTACCCAAATGATGCAATGGATTGGTATTTATATTTAATTTTAATATGTAGTTAGTTGATAATTTTATTTATTGCAACTTTATGAACCTACCCACAATTTTATTTCTTTTTCATGCAGTACTTCACAGTGACTTTACGTAACATATTGTTGTATGCCTTCGCATTTAACTAAATGATAGTGTTATAGAATAATAATCAGTTGTCAGTCAAGTCAGTTGGTGCAAAATCAAGAGGAACCACTCACACAAATAAATAACAATAAAACTGCGAAGGATATAATTCTCGAAATTTTAATAGAACTGTAGCAATGAATACAAGTAAATTTTAATTAAATTTAAATATTAGTAACTATTATTATTGGACCGAAGCCATAACACTATCTTCGTTCTTCTTGAGTATGACGAAGCCTTCCATTACAGGCGATAGAGGGATATACTCGTCCGTGGCGAGTTCAGCGCGCTCACCAAACGATAGTAACACGGGGGTCGTATGCGTATGGGATCCGGCGATCGTTTTCGGAGTTCCGGCCTTACCAATAACGTCAACCGCCTGAAAATACAAATATTTAAATTTCACGTTCTACACTCCAAATGAATTGGCACATATATCTTTGTTTACGTGAAAAATATTAACCTGTCCAACACGCACGCTCACATTCAAGGGCTGAAGGTTTTCGTCAAGGGTCACCAACCAACGGGGTTGCATCGACGTGGCCAGCACATACAGCAAGTAGTGAGATTTTCCGAGGATGACTGTGAAAGGAAAAAAAGAATGTTTTATTACTCTTATCTTGGTAATATATATACAAAAAGTAGTATTTTTACAAATAATATAAAACGGAAATATACACGACTTGGGAACTTTCCCCTTAAAAAACGATACTTACTGTTCTTACAATCCAAAAAGGCGGTAAGTACAACTAGTAGGCCTGCAAGTGCTGGCTGGTTGATGAGGCGTCGGTCGGCGTGCGTCGGGCAGAGGGTGACGGTTCCCTTGCCGGCGTGGCACAGGCCTTGCGCCAGTCGCACCATGAACAAGTGCACCGGGGACTTGCCGTGGTAAAGGGCTAGTGCGCGCAGCATTGTAGCCAACCTTTATGGCAAATAATAAAATGTTATGTGCGTTGTTAACTTCTATGAATGTTAACGAAATTACAAATTAAGTGTTTATTGGACTGGTTTTATAATGTGAATATTTACCTGGCGTTGTTAGTTCCAGCGCCGACGAGACCCATGGCAAAGATAGCGTTGTAGGCGACGTCATTGTCGGAATCGTGGGAATACTTGTTGAGTACGTCGATGACAGCCAGCTGTGGGTTGGAGATAGAGCACAGAGCGATAGCCAACGGCACCGCCCGACGCACGGCTGGCTCACCGTAACGACCCTGAGAAAAAATGAATTATTAGAAAGAAAGAAAAATTGTTCATTTGCACACCATCACAAAGTAAGTACAATAACACACAAAAATATTAATACAGTGAAGACGGCGCAAAAAGGCCAGAGCTCAGCTTAAACTTAAATGCCGTCACCCGAGTGCGCTCGAGTCGTGGCGCTGATTTTCAGCACTTGCCCGTGACTATTATAATGTAATACATATTAGTTGAACCTCTGAGCAAACAAGCTTTGCTTTTACAGCCTACCTGATGAAATGTAGTAATCATAATCAATAAATGAAAGTCCTATACTATAAGTGTTCATAGCTTGCTTTTAATGGAAAATTATAATATAATATACTCAATGTGGAATAAACACTATACACACTTTGACTGAACAAAGCATCAATTAAAAATCTTCTTTTATACATACATCAACAAAAACAGCACATCCACAGTAGTATTTGACATTTACAAGTCTTTATTGTATTGGCCTCGGAACAATAACTAAAGCATGGAAGCCAGGCTAAAATAGCAATTTACAAACGTATATCTGATTCTATCGCTCTTTACACGATTTTGCGTAGGCGAGAATGAGACCGCAAACTGAACATAGTTCTGATAATTTGCAGGTTGTCACAACTTTCAGTGGACTCATTACAATCTTATGTCATTGGACTCATTCAGCATACTACCAAATTCAAAATCACGTTTTGACGTTCTATGTTTCACAGTTTCACTCAAGTTTGACACCTTCCTCACTTTGCCGAATTATAGTACTGAAGTGTCACCGTGGATGTATTTACGGCTCCTTATAATAAAAAATATTTTCTAAGGAATTAGCGCAACAGAAAGTAAGAAAGAAAGTGTATGGTCGTTCTTTATTATGTGTTTTACTTAATAAAAATACGTCTTGTGTGATTGATGGCTGCAATTCACATTTAGGAAGAAAAGAAAACAGTGGTGAAAAAATTCACTTTCATTCGTAAGTTTTTGATATATTTTAAAATAAATTATACTGGAAATACCGGTAAACTATAAATAAATGTTACTTATATATTGTCGTACTTTTCAATTGTAAGCCTAAACAGTATTATTCCATCTTTTCCTAAAAAATCGAAATCAATTTTCTAAGTTAGTTTTTAAGCTAGTGATGTGGTCATGTTACATATCGATATTTTAGTTAGGCTTTGAAGTTTTTTATAGTATCGACGTAGTTTACAACCCGAATCACATGATACTTTTAATGTTTTGACAGAACACGACTACATTCATTTCATCTCTTACGGAATATTCTAAAAATGTCATAGAATACCTACATAAGCGGCTTTATCGGAATGAAATTAAAAAAATCTTTACAATGCGAAAAATGCATAGAGAGTCTTGATTACACGGAGAGTATTCCTTAAAGATCTTTGATATCTTTAAAAATAGAGGAGACCTATTTAAACCAACATATGGCTTAACCAAGATCTGGCAACTGTCCGAAAAAAAAAATATAAGAGAATATCAAGTGAACATTGATTCAAAATCTCTCGGTAAACCAAAATAATAATTGGATTTTCAGCAAATGTATTGCCGTCAGACATTTTTCGTGAATTAAAAGATTATTCATTAGAACAATCTTTCTATGATGATCTAGAAATCTTCTTATAAAGTCCATAGCACAAAAATATTTTAAACTTAGGATTAATAATATTTAAACTTACAAATGTGTTGTACATTTGTAACTAAAAAGTTGACTGTACCTACCGAATAAATTCGCACATATTTAACAAAGACAATATTTAAAGGTCAATGATAAACACATACCTAATAGTGTACCACTGCCAAGGTTTGTAAATATGCTTTGTTTATGAGCAATTAAATTATCTTTTTAATATTGTGTTTTATTTCTGAACCCTTACTTAACTTAATGTACTTTAGACCACAGCAGCAATACTTTCAGGTACCATAATTTATCGATAAAATATATTAATTTATTCACATCACTAGCATATTTACAAGTAGTGACAACCTGCATGATAACGAAACGACACAATACACATGTCTCTTTCTTATACACTATCAATACCATAAGTAAAAAAAAGATGAAGATTGGAGTCTAGTTGTTATTTTAGCCTGGCTTCCATGCTTTAGTTATTGTTCCGAGGTATTGGCTATGTGCGCGACGGTGGCGACGCGTAGCGTTTACAATATTTGCGGAAGCTGTCAAATAATAACAATGTAAACATTATAATTTTCTTTGCAAATATAAATAAAACCAAAGATTAAAATAGTATTGTTGGCATTATTTAAGTGCAATTTATTCATTAGTTTTACTGTAAAATGAATATAATAATAAAAACCGGGTTTGCATCATCCGCATTTGTTTCCAATTTCTGCCGTGCGCTGCTCGCTTTGCACATAGCCAATACCACTCACCAGTTGTCCGAATATCCTGGTGCACATCTCGGCGCCGGTTTCCTCAGCCAGAGCGATGACGGCGACTCCGAGAGTAGCGACGGCTTGTACGGAAGACAACTCCTTGTTAGCTTCCTTCTCCTTTTCTTTCTCCTTATTTTTACTGTCCTTCGACGACTTTCCTGTAAAATCAAACAAAAATTATTTTAATAAAGTTGAAACATGTTGATGTTGACGAGTCATTATTCCCATATACCCTGTTAGGTCCATAGCCAAAGTATTGAAGAAGAACAATCAAGTGCATAATTTTTACACGAATCTTCAATCTGTCGCTTGCCGGAATCTAAGCGAACCTTAATGCATTTTATATTGTATCCAATAGTGACGTGTTGTTTTGTGTTGGTTTATATAAGAATTTAATTTATGGCTTACCTTTCGAGCTCTTATCGTCCTTAGAGCTACCAGCCGAGCTGCTGCTGGCATTACTCTCCTTAGACTCCTTCTTATCCTGTTTCTTAAATGCTGTGTCCTCAGCTGAAGATTGTTCGTTCTAAAATAGAAAATATGAAGTTATTCTTCATTTAGCTTTATTGAAAAGTGTCGACTTGCTAAGCTCAAAACGCGAGAGTTTGACACTTTCAGAATTATCAGATCAGAACAGAGTTTACCTGAAATAAAAAGTCGGCAAAGTTAGCTAAATTATGCCAATTTATGACTTTAAACAACTTAAGAACATCTAAACAAAAGTGGGCAAATCTGAGTGAGATAATAATATATAGCGTGTGCTTACATCAGTGTCGTAGTGTTTGGAACAGATGTGTAGCATCTGTTGCACGACGAGTACGTCGCCGGTGCCCGCGTAGGCGCACATGGACAGCGTGGTCTGGCACAGCGACTGCTGCGGCTCCGGCAGTACCTCCAGCGCCGCCATCGTAGCCTCCGTGCGCTCCTTGCACCCTACACGACAATGTATTCTTATATTTATGCCCATTACTATAATAATTCATTTGCTGGGTCGGCAACGCGCTAGTTACTGTATCAACGCCTCTCGTGTTGCAAAGATCTGTCTTGCTTATGGTAAAAAATGAGACACAAATTACAAAACTACTTATTTATATAACAATATAACAATGATGTCTCACCTAAGAAGCACAGTCCAAGACCCAAGTGAAGGAATCTAGCGTAAGTGGACGAATGTAAGTCTTTGTTGTCATCAATAAGACGTTGAATGATAGCGCAGGTCACCTGTAAACAATTACAATGAAAACCTTAAACATATTATTAGTAATCGATTCTAGTAGGTATTATAAATATCGTAAAATTATCCAGCAGTTAGTGGCCGAATAATAATCTATGTCTTATCGAGTTGAAATAGAACCACTAAGAGAAATATTGGTTCTAGTATTTTTTTTTTAAGGGAAGAATATCATCGAAAGACTGCTCCCGCCTGGGTGAGGCGGGAGGGAGTGTCAGACTCTTACTGACTAAAAACCACCCGGTTCCTTCTCCTGCACGTCGAGCCGGAGCCCCGGTTACCCGTTAGGTTCTCCGCGACTCCGAATCGGCATCGGCCCTGTTGGGCCCCATCTGTGGTGGTCTGATGGCTCTTTGAGTTTGAGTGGTTCTAGTATTAGGTTGAAATTATTAATAAGAGTAATCTACTTACGTCCCCATTACAAGAACCAACGGCGATCAAACCGCACGAGATGGCGGCGAGCGCGCATATTTCCGCAGGAGCGGCGGTGTCACTGAGCACAGGTAGCAAGTGCGACAGCACGTCTTCACGTTGTGTACCCGCGTATGCGATACCTAAGCCTGTTAATACAAATGGTTTTGTTAGTTTTTACTTAGAGCTAACAAAGCGAGTGGTTACCTTCATTATGTAAACTATACCGTGTTAACCCTAAGCGTTAGTACGCGTAGATACTTCGTATCTACAGTTTAACTGTGTGGAGGCGGCGTGGACGAGACGACATTGTGTGCAGGAAGGCAAACTAACTAAATACCAAGAGCGCCAGGTTACGAAGGAGCGCTGCGATAAGTGCGTGCCCAACTGCCCATAGAGTGGCGACGGAACCAAAAGAAATTAAGGGCACCTATAATGTATTTCGCTTCTCTAACTCAAACAAACATCGGGAAATATCAGAAAGTCAAAAAGATACTCATAGAATGGACTTACCCAAGACGCTGCCAATCCGCAGATTGGCGCTTGAATGGAGCACGTAATCTGACAATAGAGCGAGGGCAGGGTCGCATTCGTTTCGCACCCCGCAGTTAACCAATCCAAGAGCAAGCAGGGCCCCGGCCTTAATGTGCTCGTCTGCTGTGTATAAATACTTATCGATGGGCGTCAGACCTCCATCTACATCCCATAAGTGGATCATGCCAAGAGAAGCTGCAGCTGATAGCATTCCTAAAATAAAAAATGAGGTCACAATTGTTAAACAGACTGTTAGCGCAAATGTATACATTTGTAGGGAGGGATAAATGTTTGTTACATGATTTAGAACAGTTGAGTATATCATACTAAGCTTGAAATAAATAACCAGTCGGTTATGCTACGCAGTCGCATAGCTTACTATCCAAGAAAAAGTTCGAATACTGTAGGAAAAAATGGGTGCAATAAAGTTTAAATTTACAATAGATTACCCAGAAAATATTGTTCTACAATAATAAACTTAAGTAGCAACATAAATTATGTACCATGGTCTTTGTTCTTATACATCCACTTATTGCCATCTTCGGTGGTGACGAGCTTATCGCGTCCGAAACCAGCATTTACGAAGGCGTTGACAAAAGTGGCAGATAAATTCTGTCGGGCAGAGTCCACGGGATGCTCAGTCAACAGAGAAGGTCGCAGTGCTGATCCAGCTGATTCCAGCCATGTTTTATACACTTCCTCAGGAGTCTTAGGCTCCATGATATCCAGCTAAACCATAAAACAAATAAGGTTTTATTGTTTAGGTCTATTTATTTTTGGAAGAGTATTGTAATGATGTTCGATTTCCAAAATAAGGTTATGATTAAATTGTGTAAAAAATGTCCATTGAATTATCATCAAGCCCAAATAAGAAAATAGACCTAAGAACACAATAGTAACTGATGTGGAGAGTCTAAATATTTGTAATTGATTTAAATAAATTATGAATGACTAATTTAATTAATAAACAAAAATTCCTCTCTGAATTCTAATTAGAGTGAACTTACTTCTCTCGCAAGACTGAGGAAGTGATCATTGATATGTGCATTAAGAAGAATTGTGCGTAAATCTTCATCTTCGACTTCCAGAGGTATATACTGGCGTGCAAGCATATAGCACAATTGCTTCTTAACCAACCTGTTGGGATAAATAATTTACAATGCTAATTTTGATATCATATATCTATTAAACTCTTCATAACAGACTGATTAAAAAGACAAAAAGAAAATAAATATAGATCAATTCAGTGCAGAGACAGGGTCTAAACATTTGCATTGTTTTTGATTGAGTAAAATTTTATAGTTAATTAAAAGTTTTCACTTTTATAGCTGCACAAATTATGAGCTGCATTAATGAATATTATGTAGACTTACTAACCATCAAGTGATTCTGAAGGGTTATGAACAATAATTAATAACAGTTATATTAAAAAGGTATTAATGGTTGTACTTACGGATCAGTGCAGGAATTAAAAACCTCTTCACATTTAGCCTTGTCATGGAGCTGCATAGACACTAACAGAGCTCTGGGGTATTCACCAAAGCGGATGTATGTGTCTAAAACTCCTTGCAGAATTTGAGTAGACTCTGGCTCAACAACATAGCTAGCACATCTGCAACAAACATGCATTGTTTAAAATAGACACTCTTATAAGATTTTGTGTTCACATAAAATCAATTAATCATTACAGTAGAATTTTTGGATCAATTGAGTAGTTTCCTGGGCCCAAAATAAATTATTTTGATTTATCAGTTCAATTAAATATTGAAAAATAGTTACATGTATTTTACTGATTGCAGAATTATTAAAAATATGTAAAAAAACTTTTAACTATTAATTGGATTTCAGACCAATACAACCATAGAAACAATAATAAGAGTATTTTTAACTTACCCGATCAAATATAAGCATACTCTAGGATAGTTGCTCTGGTCCATGTGTTGAGTTAGCAGATCAAGTCTATCAATTTCCATCAGCAAGTCACATGCCTGAATTTCAGCAGAGTGCTTCATGTCAAAGGAGATCACATCCCTGACGAGGCTCAACAAAGAATCCATATTCTCTACATTCCATTCTTCTGCTATTTCACCTTCAAGTTGTCTGCATGTAATACATTTTGATTAATAGATGGGTTATTTTATAGTTATTATTTATAATAAATGGACTGATTGTAAACCTACCTTACATACTCATGTCCCCAATCACCAACATTAGACATAGTTCCAAGGAGGCAGTATTTTAAACATTCTCTTTTCTCAGCAGCATCCTGTAAATTATAAATATTGCAATAAATTACATTCTCAGCATGATAATACACCAAACATATATTTCAATGATAATAAGACTGTTAATTCTCACCGTAGATCCACTGACGCCCATAGCCAATACTGAGACGACATCAGCACAAAACTTCTTTGTTTCAGGATCTTGAATTTTCTCATAGACCAACTTTAGAGATGGGTAGTGTTCTCTAAGGAATTTTAGTGGTTTTGGTACTGATGTCATAGATGTAGTAGATGTTCTTATTAGTTTACACAACATTTGCAAAGCCGGTAGATATAGATCAACATCATCTCCCTATAATCAAAATATAAAAAATAGGTTAGACACAAGATTATCATTAGTCATGTTCACAACATTTCATACATTAAAAAATATTGTTTATATACGTACCAGGAGCTTTTCAACCAACATATTGAGCTCCTCTTGCAAACGTTTGTCTTCTTCAGACTGTAAAAACAATCAAACAATCAGTTCATTATAATTTGTACATGGACGCTCAATTACAATTCATTTTTTTGTAAATTTCTTACCAAGTCATCATTAGGTGCAGCGGCTGGCTCTGCTTTTTCTTTTTTTGGTTCCTCAGTTTTGTTTTTAACCGTCATTTTGATATTATTTATGTATAATTATTATTTAATTGAACAATATTCTATTCTCAGTGACTCTTCGCTTTCATTCAGTGATTTTACAAATTTTGACAAGTCACCACAGCATCGGGATACCTACATGAACAATCCAAAAACTACCATCTTTTTAGTAGAAAAATTTACTACCGTGACTGACTATCAGTCACGGTAGGAAATTGCATTGCTATTATAGTATAGTATAAAATAATAATGACAAAAGTTTTTCCTTGTTGCAATATAAGAAAAAAATTGTAAACTCGATACTCAGCGCGGTGATTTGAAATAATTACGCGTGGAAGTTGAACTTTCAAACTTATTAAACATTGAGGTGCAGATGGCATACAGAATGCATAAGACTAATTAAATGAATGATTGTGGTATTCATATCATATTTCTATTACATATATGTAGGTACTTTACAAAATTAATTAGCTAGCGTAACATGATGCGATTTGCAGTAGTGTCACCTTTAACTTATTTCTTACCGTTATTTAGTCAACTTGCGTCAGTATTTGGTATTAAAAATGTATTTTAAAATTGTTGCGCTGAAACAACATACATAATTCACAGACAATTACCAATTCAATGAGATTTAGCCGTAACATAGGAAGATCAGGTAACGGTTCCCAATAGAGGAACTTAATTCAGTTTGTTTGGGGACGCAGGCGGGTCAAGTTCCGATTCCTTCGAGGAGGTGGATATTGAGTTATCATTTTAACGACAATAAGGTCAGTGCAGTTTTTTAAAAGTAAAAACTTTTAAATAGGCAATCTGCTAATTTTGTTAAACTTGTGGTTTTGAATAAAAGACGGTACATTAAGTGTACCTAACTCCAGCGTTTTCAATTATTCGAAGTTGACAGTCTCAATATTTTTACGCTGATATAATACCTATTAAGTAATATAGGTATGATCATGATCAGTCTCAGGTTTGACTGAATGACTGACTGAAACTGATAGAATACGATATTATTCTTAGGTAAATAATGAGAGGAATCGAAAGGATTCTACTTTCTCGTTATGTATGTTTGCTCCTTCTCAAGTGTTTGTGTCAAGTTACTCTACAGATATCGCGTAGGATTCCTGAGGATGGAGTTCACTGTAGGTATACAGTAAATTAATAATATGTGTATAATTATTTTATCTAATAGAATGCGGCATTAGTACATTCATACAATAGAAGATAATAGTGCCTATATTGCTTTTAATCGAAACCTTTTTTGCAGATATTATGATTTGTAACAGGACTAAAGCTTTATTTAAACTCATAAAATTTAATAAGAATTTATCATACGATGCGTCTCCATCACCCAAGTCGATTGAATTTATGCCTCGTCCAAAATCTCTGCCCATTGTAGGAACTAAATTGGATTTCATAGCAGCAGGAGGTGGCTCTAAGTAAGGATGTTATACTAACAATCTTTAAGTAAATGTTAAATGTAACGTAAAATATAATTTGTAAATATGCAAAGTTTTTAAGATGAAAATCATGACTGCCTGTCACGTTGGTTCAATGGTCGCAATGCTGACTAAAGACTAAAAATAAGGCGTGATGGAATATAAAAATATACCTAATTCTTTCTTCTAAACATTTTATAAATGTATTCATTTTTTAGATTGCACGAATATGTCGACTTTCGTCATAAACAATTAGGTCCCATATTTTGTGATAAATTAGGAGGGAAAATAGATTTAGTATTTGTTAGTGATCCCGCACTAATAAAAACACTATTTCTAAATCTTGAAGGAAAATATCCCATACATATATTACCAGAACCATGGGAATTGTACGAAAAGCTTTATGGGGCCAAAAGAGGCTTATTTTTCATGAATGGAGAAGAATGGTTAGAAAATCGAAGAGTTGTTAACAAACATTTATTAAAAGAAAATTCAGAAAAATTATTCGATAATCCAGTTACAAATACTATCAACCAATTGGTACAGAAATGGATTATTGAAGCTAAAAAGGGCTTTTATGTGCCAAACTTAGAGACCGAATTCTATCGACTGTCTATTGATGGTAAGTTTATCTTATATCTTATCTTATACTCTTATACTAACACTTATACTTTATATAGGTACTATATACTATTATATAAAGCGGAAGAGTTTGTTTGTTTGAACGCGCTAATCTCCGTAACTACAAGTCTGATTTGAATAATTCTTTTTGTGTTGGATAGCGCATTTATCGAGGATGGCTATAGGCTATAAAACATCAAGCTACAACCAATAGGAGCTGAACAGAGCGTGTTAAACCGCGCGGAAATAGCTAGTTTTATTTATAAAGATGTATTAATGCAGAGGTTCCCAAAGTATGCGCCGCGCGCGCAAAGTTTAAAGGGAGGCCCCGTGAGTCGATTCTCTAATTATTGGTCACCACAAATATTGGCGAGTACCTTTTTGAGTGTTTGCTTCGGAAACTAAACATAGCGTCGTAGAAATCTTTGTTCACTGTCGCATCGTAATCGATTCAAAATGAATATCCAAAAACTTCCACCAAAGCATTAAACATTTTAATTCCGTTTGCAACATAATATCTACATATTATGTGAAGCTGGGTTTTCAGCTGTAGCTGTGATACAAAATATCGCTCAAAGATCAATGTGAAGCAAGAAATGAGAGTATCAATGTCAAGTCTTATTCCCCACTGTGAAAAACAGTGCGGAGATCACCAAACTCACTCTTCACGTTAATTTGACTCTGAGTAAATATCATATTTAATTTTGGTTTTTCTTAAGCCTTTCTTGTTGTTTTTGGTTTTAATTCTTTTGTAATAAAAAGTCGTACCTATATTACGGTGTTTTAATTATCGTTACAATCAAGCTAACCTAACTACTATTATTGTAGGTAAGCTAAGTACCTATTTCTTCCGACTGTTTTCCTCAAATAGTTATCTAGGACAGGGCGCCGTGTAAAAATATTAAACTTTGACTGCGCTGCGAGTTACAAAAGATCGGGAACCCTTGTATAATAATTTGCACATATTCCTGTCATGCATGTAATATTTATTTTGAAATAGGTAGGTACTTACCTACTATTAATTAAAACACATATTTAACGATTTAACACACCTACTTATTGCATTTTGTTACAGTGATAATATCAGTAATGCTAGGAAGTTCTATCTTCCATAAGTTTAGCGTACACAGCGATGCTTTATTGACTGCATTTGCGGAAGAAGTCAAGAAAATTTTCCAGACCACAACGAAATTGTATGGGTGGCCTGTTAACATGTGTCAGAAGATGAATTTAAAAGTGTGGAGAGATTTCAAAAAATCTGTTGATATATCACTATTCCTAGGTAATATTTAAGTATACAGACAATGACAATAATCTAATTTAAATTTAAATTGACTCAACTTGATTTGACTAGGTGTGTGATGATTATGATAACCAAATATTAAATATTGTATAATGTTCTTGACCTATTTCAGCTAACAAAATTGTCGAGGAGATGATAAATAATAAACAACCTAAAGACGGACTGATTAATCTTCTTATTGAAGAAAATCTTAAACCAGAAATCATTAAAAGGATTATCGTAGATTTTGTCATCGCTGCTGGTGATACGGTACTAGAAACGTCTTTAAGACTATTTTATGTGTGTTCATTTAAAATGTAGATACTTATTAAAGGTTTTTTCAGACATCTTATACTACAATATGGACATTGTATCTATTGTCCAAGAACAAAGATGTGAGACAAGAACTATTTAAAAGAAATTCTATAGCAAACTATGCGATAAAGGAGTCTATGAGATTATATCCTGTTGCTCCGTTTTTGACCAGGATTCTGCCCAAAGAATGCATCTTCGGACCTTACAAACTTAAAGGAGGCGTAAGTAATTTATTTACGAAATTTTATCAATGTACTTTTGCCGTAATAAACTTCTAAAAACGTATTTACGTACTACATAATTACCTGGCAACATATCCATTACCTGTATTGAATAGTTTTTTCTATTTCATGATATTGACTGAATTGTTGGCCAAGTGATCGCAAGCGCGACTGTAAAGCATCGCTTCAATTTTTGGGTTATAAAGTATTACCAATGGTTTCTTAATTTTCAAAAAATCTCGATTTCGGGAACTGCACAAAGTCTTAAATTGGGACCAGTGTCAGCTGTTACCCAACGTGTTACGTTCTACGAGCGACCCTCGCAGCAAAAGATGTTTTATTTTAAATGAGTGGCCATAATTACTTATTTCATCAATTAAATGATGTTATTTCTACTTATTAGATACACGGATAAAAAAATGTTAGTAAAAAAAAATGTTAATATCTGTCGGATCGAATTTCAAACATAGATGTATTAATTTATCAATGATTTAAAAGTTATGCTATCCGTGCAGTTGTAGTAGTAGCACAGTATAAAAAATATATGTATACTAGCTACTTCCGCGCGGTTTTACACGCTCTGCTCAGCTCCTGTTAGTCGTAGCGTGATATTTTATAGCCTATAGCCATCCTCGATAAATACACTATCCAACACAAAAAAATATTATTGCGTTCAAACAAACAAACAAAAAAACAAACTCTTCCGCTTTATAAAATATTTTATGATATAGACTGTGGTGGTGGTACTTTTTGGATAGCATTTTTATAGTTTGACATTGACAATGACAATTATTAGACATTTGTTGTGTTATTGTATTCCACAAGATAGGTTATATTATACAACCTATAGAAAGAAATAGAATAAATAACGAATTCTAACGAAATTGAATATTTTCAAAATGTTAATATACAACTGTGTTACGAAGTTAAAATTTAGCCCTACATTACAAACCTATCGGAAATTTAGTGCCATTTGTTGCAATCATATCGAAGCCCAAAATGAAAACAAAGTGTTTAAATACAAATTAGTCAAAATAGATAAATTTAGTCCAGTGAATTTACATATTCGAAGAAATTTTTCAATGGAAGGATTCCTAAAATGGCAAGAACAAACGTATGCTAGTATATCCGGTAGCACGCCGGTACATTTTATGCAGGATGGTTTACTCTATTTCCATGATATCACAGGAATGTCGTGGTGGGCCACAATTGTGACATCTACGATTCTTATAAGATCACTCATGACTTTACCCCTGTCTGTATACCAAAACTATATTTTGGCTAAAGTTGAAAACATCAGCCTGGAGTTAAAAGATTTGGTCAATGAATTAAAAAAAGAAACATCAATAGCAAAGAAAGCCTATAACTTAACAGACAAGCAAGCAGTGATATTGTATAAGCGGTCATTGAAAAAACAATGGAATAATCTAATAGTAAGAGATAACTGCCATCCCTTCAAAGCTAGTTTATTAATTTGGTTTCAAATCCCAATTTGGGTGTGTATGTCATTTGCTTTGAGGAATCTAGTGTATATGGCTGATGCAGACCCTGCAGCATTAGTGACCTTCATGGAATTATCTGCAGGTGGCATAGGATGGATACCTAATTTAACTGAACCAGACCATTCATGGATTCTACCTGTAGCATTTGGATTGACAAACTTATCTATTATTGAAATACAAAGGTTATCTAAACTAAGACAACCATCTAAGCTGTACAATGTTTTTACAAATGTCTTCAGAGTATTTACAGTTATAATGATACCTGTAGCTGCTAATGTGCCATCATGTATGTGTCTGTACTGGATGACTTCAAGTAGTATTGGTTTAGTTCACAACTTGATTCTTCTATCACCTTCATTGAGAAGAAAACTCAGGATACCCTTAGCTCCAAGTGAACTTGAAGAACCTTATAAACATATAAGACAAGAATTAAAACATTCTTATAAAACTGTGTTAAACAGAATTATACCAAAAGAATCATAACATTTTCTTTTATTTATACTTATACCTGGTTGCCCTTATTCTAGTAAGTTTGGTTGAAATCTTAGGTAAGTTGGATACATTTTATGCAATATACTATGCATCCAATCCAAAAATTGTAGTTATTGTGATTTGTTTTTTAATTTACCAATCAATATACTTATGATTTACAGACTCCAATAATAGTTTCCATTTACACATCTGGAAGAGACGAGCAATACTTTAGTAGAGCTACAGAATACCTGCCTTACCGCTGGGACCGCATGGATATAAGAAGGAATGATATTGTGAACCATGTGTCTTCTGCATCATTGCCATTTGCTCTTGGGGCCCGGTCATGTATAGGCAAAAAGCTAGCAATGCTACAAATGAAAGAACTTATAACTCAGGTAAACATTTACTTTAAAAATATGTAAATTATTCCAACATGGGATCTCATGTATTATTAATTTTTTGTTCCAGGTCTGAGTTTTTTTCCAATTCATTGTATTATAACTAGCAATATATTTTTTACAATGAATAATTTTTTGTTTCAGATGGTACAAAACTTTGAATTTGAATGTATAAACAAAGATGAAGTTACTTCCAAAACATCTCAGGTACTTGTGCCCAGCCAAGAAATCAAGTTGTCTTTCTCATTAAGAAAACCAGAATGTAGTGAATAGACCTACATAATATTATCATTTATTATATTAATGTGTAGATCACAATTTATGTAGTATTATAGTCAGGATGCTTATGGCATGACTTTATGGGCGAAATCTCCACGGGCGAATATATCGCGATGATGCTTAGGCTGTATGCATAGGGTCGGCGGGTGCGAACTGAGGACACGGGGCGTTATTATCGTCTTGCTACTCCTTTCTTTAATAATTCTGTATAAGGAGTCACACATGACGATACTACCGCCGTGAAGCGAAGAAAACTAGAAGACCAAAAGTTAAACATGTTTCATCATAGCCAGACAACATATCAAATACAAATGGGTAACTTTTGTGTATCTGACTATAGTTTCCAATGCTACCGTTAGCAAGAAAACATGGATGGATAACAATGGATATTACCGATTGATAGCTGTGCGGACTTGAGAGTAATTTATATGTACTTTAAAATAACTTCGATGAATTCATTTTTTTCCTTTAGGTTTCCGGCAATACTATCACCGCAAAGTCACGTGTCTGCGGTAATATGATTTTAGAAAAAGAACTCGGTTAATCCTCGATCTTGCTAAACAACTAAAGACGTTTATCCGACACATGGCTATCCGTCGAATCTTGCGATATACCTACGTAAACATACGTTTCAGCACCCTTTGAGTACCGTCATTATAGACACAATTAAAGAACAATAGGTGTGCGGACACCGGTGTCCTCGCGGTGTTTGATAGTTTAATATCACACAAAAAATGTAATAGTTACGTGGAATATCCCATATATCTTCAGGGATTAAACACACGGCGACGCGACATACTCGCTCATGGAGATTTTTATGGCGTCTTATTTAGTTTTTTTTTTTAATTTTTGACAATAATCAATATTGACGAAAATAAAATTAAGTAAATTATTAATAATACGAAATGTATACAAGTTAATATAAATTTAATCAATTTTAAGCAGCCTAACTTTTATTTAATCCTAAACTAATACTTATAATGTGTAGTATACACATTATAAGTATTTACACTCAATATATATAGTATATTGAGTGTTATAATAAGATTTACACTTGTCGTTTTATTCATGAATAATTAATTGGATAATGTAGTACAGTGCCCAAAAAGACAATTAGAGACGATACAAGAATTTATGTTAGTTATTTACTTACATTATAATAAAATTATGATATCACAAATATTGACTGGGTGGGTAATTCATTATTTAAATATTTTAAAATTTTAAATAAATGCAATAACCATATCATGTTAAATATAAACTTATCTAAATATCTAACGTAATAAAATATGTATTGCTATAAGTGGCAGTTACAATTTTTGTTTATTATTTATATTCAAGCTACTAAAGCACTATAACAGGAATCAAAGGCATGAAGCTCCTTTCTAAATAATAGTAATGATCACTTAACCAACTGTCTCAATATCATAGACTTAATATCTTCAAGCCATTGTTCTTTATATTCTAAATCAAGTATATTTCTAAAAGATTTCATTCGATCCGTCTCGCACATTTTACCTGTTAGCAAATAAGCAACTGATTCTACACACAAGAATCCCATGCCCTCACTAAGAGACCATACATATATTTTATCGGCAGTATCCGGATTTAGCTGGAATTGCAAGATTGCACTGCTGAGTAGTCCTTTAAGTTTTTCAAATAAGAACCTATCTGCTAACAAGAGTACTTCTAAATTAGTTTCTAGTTTCTCAGCCATTGGGAAAATTTGGACATCACTCTTAGGGTTGTTCAATCCAAAGTGCAATAAGGTGAATAGGTATTCTAGTGCAGGTTTGGTTACATTCTTCAACCTGACACATTTTTCTTCAGATTCCTTGAAGCAACCCATCAACATAGCGCTGAAAACTTCCGAGTTTTGACACAAGAACACTCTGTTAGCCTTAACAGTTGTCAAGTCATCTAATTCAAAAGTAACAATTTCATCAAGGGATAAGTTATCGAGTAGAGGATCGTAATTAACACATATTTGACTCGTGAATCTATTTTCGAGAACTTTGGGATCTTTTATGTGCACATTATTTGCTAATTTGGCTAAAGCTGTAACGCAATCTTGTATGTCTTCTTTAGATTCGGCTATTATTGAGAATAACAAGTTGAGTGCGCTGCAGTCTATCAAATATTTCTTGAGGGGTTTTTCAGTTCTGAAAACATAGAGTTATTTAGTGAAGGTCGGGAAAATAATAAATCATCTTAGTTAAGTAAATTCTAAATCATTACCTCACAATGTATGGTAATGTCAACGACAGTGTTTGTTTCATAGTCGAGCTTCCTTTGAGGAGTTGGTAGCTAATTTCACCAATTCCATAACTAGACTCTGCCAATATCGTCAATTGACTTAACAGTTTAGCACTTAGCCGTAAGATCTGGAAAGTGAATAACAAAAATTCATATAAAGTGCCTAATTTTCCTATTTTTCTTAAATATTTATTAAGAAACTTACTTGTTTACATTGTTGGCATTTGGTGGGCGGGTGCTTAGAAGAGACTGACATGTAATGCAATCGTAGAGCTAACCTATGTTTCAATATGCTCATTAGGCAAAGAGCATTGCTGAAAGTAACACAATTTATTATTGTTTAGGTAAATGTGTAATTCGTCTCAAAATCTATCTATAAATCTAATGCCCCGTCTATATGCTTGATGTTTGCCATAAATACCAAACAACAAATAAAGTCCTAAACATTGATGTGTAATATGCGTGTGGAAAAATCGCAAATCTGCTTGCCGAACAGCTTTTGATCTGCGTTTGTGTTCGACACCGATGAGTGATGAACACAAATAAGAACAGGCACACACATACAAACACCCATCCACATGTTCGTGTTTGCTGCTTGTTATTGTTTGCCAAGCGTGTGGACCCGGCATAATCTTTTAACTGAAATACATATTTTCGATCAATATTTTCTATTTAACTGTGATGAATTTTAAACTAAGCAATTTTTTAAGTGAAAAAGCTCAGAAAACATAAGTTAAAGCTACCTTAATACTCTAGCAAGAATACGAGCAGCTCGTCCAAGAGGTCGCTTGCATCTTTCCACGTAGTCTAAGAGAGCGTTCAGGCACTCTCGTCCAGTCAACAGCTCCAGTGTTTGGTTGGGCACCGGGTCCTCCCGTATAGCGCCGAATGAACTACAAGCTCCGTGCGACACTCGAAACAATAGCACCAATACGCAAGCAATGCGAGAAGATTTGGTGTTGGTCACCAATTTTGCAGCATCTGAAAAAGGTTTATAAATCTTTATTTGTTAAAAATTAAAATAAACCTAATTATTTGTTAGATTTTTTACAAAATAGCAGACTAAAAATATTTAAATACAAGAAAAGACATGGAAGTAAAAAGTATTACAAGTTTAAACTCTAATGTCACACAAGATTCAACTTGACTATCGTTTATTATTTTTTGTTTTTGATTAATCAACATTGCGTTATAGATTCATAATAATGCGTATATAAGCGATAGGTAGATATTTTACCTTCTAAAGGAGTTTCTTCCTCGACACTCTCATCATCTTCCATGATGAGTTCGTCGAGATCATGTGCTACCTGCGCCGCGTCAAGTTCAGCGGCTGCGTTACTAGGCCCAGCCAGGTCTACTACTTCACCCTCGTTGTCACTGCACACGGGTGAATAACGACCAGATATTTCTGAATCTGAACTATCTAAAATGAAAAAGAAGAAATTAAAAAATTTATAAAAATAATGATGCTTATTGCTTTATTGGTGTACAGTGTACATATCACAATCATGTACAAACTACTGTTCTAAGCTTTAGGTTGTATGGATCTATCAATTAAAATACTGTACCGTCTTTATTGCTATAGGGTGACGTGGGTCCTCCAGAACTACTCGGGCTCCATTGATAGTCGGTCCAATAAGGAGACATAGAGCTGGCGTCACCAGAACTGACGCCCGACTCAGGACTCCAGTCCCACCTAGTACGTTTGTTAGACGAGAATCTTGTGTACTCTGGACTGAAGCCAGATTGACATCCATCCGAATATGGAGACAATGGACCATGATCTCCTCTATCTGGGCTCATTGAGGCACGTGGACCTGACGCTTGAGGGTTTGTAGGCCATTCAGGACTTTTAGGCTCCCAATAAACACCGGCTGACCAATCCTTACTGGCCATTTTAATCAATTGGGATTTCTGAAAGATAATTAATTACAAGTTATTCACATGAATTTAAAGAACTTAAGGGCCCTTGACTCAACGCAACAATGCTTACCTTTTTGATGGCTTTCGGGCTACTAGACCTTGCCCTCTTAAGGCCCTTACGTCTATTAAGTGATGCCTCTTCTTCACTCTGACTATCATCTGTCGCGTCACTGTCAACTGCATCAACAAATCCAACAATCATATTGTCCCTTTCTATCACTACCTTCAATTCATCTTCGTTTTGACCCGATAATGGACCTTTACGTCGTGCAAATAGACTTGCTTTTCCTTCAGCACTGCTTGAGCTGGGCTCAGCAGGTGGCATTTCGATATCTGACTTAACTTCTTTTGGATTTTCTTGGCCTTTGTTCTCTGCTGCAGTAACAATCGTTTTGTGCTCCATGTTGGAGTGTTCATCTTTCATTGTAGTTAGATATGCAGTCAGTTCATCAGTAAGCAAGCTTACAAGACCTTCATTAACCAATATCTGGAAGGCTGTAATATAAATATATTAAGTACACATTTTAAAATGCCTGTAATACATTATATTATATAATACATGTAGGGATACAGGTTACCACGAATGGGCGGCCCTAACCAACCCAATCTAACAATGTAAAAGAAACTTATTGGAAGAATATTGGAAAAGGGCAGATGTTTGTGGGAAAGCCATGCTTCAGCACGAATGGCCCTGCTCGACCATAGTGATACCACGGCCTCACACAAGACCGACGTGAAACAACGCTTGCGTTGTGTTTCGTCATGTGAATGAGATTACCGGAGGCCCAATTACCCCCCCCCCCCCCGAATCCCCAAAAATCATTAAATTCCTAATCCCAAAACTCCAGTAAAGCACTTGTAACGCCTCTGGCGTTCCACGTGTCCATGGGCGACGCCGGTAGCTTACCATCAGATGATCCGCCAGCTCGATTACCGCTTTATCACAAAAAAAAAATACTTTTCATCGGCGTGCTTGTTCAACAAGAATCATATGGATGCAAAAGCTTACAGGTATCGTCAAAAACATATTGCAGGAGTGCGTGCATGGCGTGTGGGTTGACTCGTGCGGCGGCTACTAACAATGGTAAACCGCCACAGTGACGCAAACGAGATCGGTTCACAGATTCACCACTCAGCTGCGCCAGAGCATGTGCTGTACCTTCCGGCCATGAGGCAACATCTGTAATGACATAAAATATTCGTTTTATTGCTACGCTTTATTTGTCATTAAATATTCCCATGATACTCGTAAAGAGTTTTAAGTAGTGTGAGGTCTTTTTCCTAAGGCAATAAAATAAAACATGATGCAACTATATAATAAGATGTATTATATCATTATATGAGATAAAAAATGGTTAGTTATTTCAGTGTATCTGTCATCATCATCAGGTATCGAAACAGTCCCCACGTCAAGTCATGCATGTTTCTAATCCCATCACCTATAGGCTATAAGACAGGTGTGGTTCTATAATATCAAAAGTTATGTGTTCATTTACTTTCATCAAAGCATAAATAAGCGAGTACCTGTATTTTTCAGCAGTATGCCCACCAGACATTCTACAAACCCAGCAATGCCCAGTAGAGGGCGACAGCTAGACAGGTAGCAAAGATTCATGAGACATTTCAAAGCTAATGATTCAAACTTTTTTGTCAGTGCTACAAGACACTGATACCCTCTCCCATCTCCTTGGATCTGAAATAAAGAGCTTATTATTAGACCTCTTTAGAAAAAAGCCTACAGCAAAATTTATGTTCAGAAATAGGATGACTGAGTGCCAGCATTAGGGCCGTCAGAAAAAATAAAACAACACTTGGTGAAGGCAAATAATTTCAAAAGGATTTGTATTTGACTTTGGTTGTACTTAAAACATAAATCTTCCCTCTTAATATATATCTTACAGAATGAGCAAATTACATTTAGTGACGACATGTAGAATTGTAGAAAATCACATTAAAATGTAACTTCATACCTGTTCAGCACATTGTGCAGTAGAATGTGTAGTAAAATATCCAAGACACTTCAATATGCCAGTAATAAGTTCTTCTTGACTCTTCCTGAGTCCATCACTCTCACGTATTGGAGTCGTACATTTGATAATACCAGCAGCTTCACATTCAGTTGTTAATAGTATAGCTATGCACCGAACTGAGTTCAAACTGAGCATCTCATCTCGTTTCTCGTTTACCATCCATAGTTGCCTGTAAAATGTGTTTTTCATAATGTAATTACTGTTCTTCGGCAAAACAGTAAGTTGAAAGTAAGTTTTGACTGCACGGTTGGTGCGGTGGCTGGGCAACCGGCTGCCGTGCAACGTGTCGCGGGTTTGATTCCTGCACGGGTCTGGGTGTCTTTGTGTATGTGAACTTGTATGTTTGTAAACGCACCCACGACACAGGAGAAAACCCAAGTGTGGGGCAATGTTTAAAAAAAAAAAAAAATAAAAGAAATACTTAAATAAAAAGCCTAATATTGTCTTAGATGATTTATTTCTTTATGTGGACTCTACTTTTATTCTTCAGTTATAAAGAGTAAACATGATAAGCAATTGAGGAAGTAATCACTGATAGAAATTAATTAGGGGTAATAATAATAATATATGCTATATTGTACACCACACAATCGCATTATAGGATAATATTAACAAAAGTTGTGTAGTGTGTGTGGTCTTATCGCACAAGGCGATTTCTTACTGACAACGTTTGGTTGGAGCAGTAATAAGAGTCTGATATGGGTTATCAAGTGTATAATAATGAATAACTGTATAAAATACTATACATATTATACAAAAATACTAGTAATACTAAATTACTGAAATATTAGTTTTTTAATTTTATACAGCTTATCTTAATATATATTTTTTAGCTATTTACCTGATAGCCCGTACAGCCATTGTGAGGGTGGGGTATGAAGTGTTCTTGTCTCTGTTTTCAATGAGTGTAACTAGTGCGGTCACAGCACCATGGTTGTGTAAGCCATCTGCATTGGTATTTCTTTGTGCCAAGTTCCCAATCACTCTGCATGCTCTACCAACTATACTATCACGGCATACTGTTTTTATTATATTCACTAATGGTCCAAAACTGTATTTCCCAACCTGAAATTATAAACAATAATATGGCTCAACATTCTTCAGGAATAAAATACAATGCATCAGTACCATGATATATAAAAATTGTAGTGTATATGTATAATATCACTTACCGCCAAGCTGCTTTCCTCCTCAAGACAACAATTACCGAGTATACTTAAAGTAATATCAAGTATTCTTTCATTAGGCTTGCGTAAATGTGGCAATAAACACTCTAAGCCACCACATTCTCTAAAAAGTTTAATTCCAGTGTCGTGACTTATGACTTTATTCCTTATTTTTAACAGGGTTTCTTGGACACGACTAGATGATGATGATTTCAGGCCTTCTATAATAGATTTCACATAGTTTGAATCCATTTTTCTATACAAATTAAAATTTAAAATTTTAATAACAAAGTTTTGACATTTTCTAATTCATTGTCCAGCTGATTTTGTCTATGGTAATTTTATTACAATTCTGTAGTCTTTGGGTTACGTCTCCATTTTAATTTAAGAAATGCCTGCTTTACAGTACAACTAAAGATCTCTCATAAAATGAGTTTCTTTCTATTTGAAAGAGATTTTTTTTCGTGGTTATACCCACAGGGGTAAACTCATAGCTTAACTTGTTCTTTCATTTGTTCAATGAAAGCTATCTACCCCACTATTCTGTACAGTAAAGAACGAATGAGAATTGAGAATAAGTCTATGATTGTTGATGTATTGAAGTTTGTGAAGTCTATGTTTTCTGACATCTGTGGTAAATAAAAATGAAGAATTTGCAATGCGATGACAGAATTTGTTATACATTTTTTACACTGATTAAATTACAAATTTAAATTATATTTGGTTGTATTGTAACATAAATTTGACATGAAATCGTTTTCTAAGAGATGAGTGTCTTCGGAGATTTTCAACGCGTGTGGGTGCAACGTTTTCCAGAGAGTGCTTTGCCAGCAGCTTGGGAAGAAGATGTCAGGGCCAATTTAGCTAAACACAAACAAAAAGTTGCTATACTGAGAGAAGAATTAGAGAAAGAAGAGTTTTATGTGGAGTATTTAGAAACTTTGCTGTCAGATGTTGAGAAACATAAAGTTGCCGCACAAGGCAACCGAACGGCTCCGCCCTCGGGGGGTGACGTGAACGATCTCGACGATAAGCCTCCTGATAGCAAGCAGGTAAATCTTTATGATTGTATTTACCTAATACTGCCCTACATAACAATCATACAATCCTTTATTTTCTTAGAATATCTCAAAACAATTATTTTTAATTGCTATCATTATAATAGTGCTGTTCTTGATAATAATTATCATTAGATTATCTAACAATAGTATAGTAAAGTAGTAATGTGCGAATTTTTTTAGTGGGACCAACCCAAAAACAGTCAAATTAGTTCTTGTAATAAGTTTTAACTTAAGTAATGACTCAGTGTCTTATAAGTGGTATGAGTATTGCTGGAATGATATAATGTTATTAATATAATAATTCCTGGAATTTACTTGTTTTTCCTTTTCAATTTACTTTGTGTACTTGGAATGATTCATAGACTTATTGATTTGGCCTTGTAGGATCTAAACAATCATTATTTATTTCTATTGTTAAATTATTATAATAATAATTAATACTCTATAAATATTCCAAACATGACTTTAAGAGCACCATGTAACTGCAGTGATGTAATTTTCACTCTCTCTATGGTCTGCAGATTTAATTACCTTATTAATTTGATTATTTACCTACTCTATCAAAGTAAAAAAATAATATTTATGTAATTTGTTCATTATCATTATTATGTAAAGTCAAACTTTCTAATTAATTGGAAACTAGAAAATGAGTTCAAAACTTTTATATGCTCTGATGGAATTTATTGCTTAATTTGTAATAATGTAGGTTTTTTTGTGTCATTAAATGGATCACAATTTTTGTGATCCATTTAAATTATGATTGTAATAATTTTGCAATCAAATTATTACAAAATATTGAGTTTTGTTTTTAACACGAATGATCTGACAATCAATTTGATTATTTAATCATTCACAATTTCAAGTCAATTAACCTACATTATCTGTATAAATTATCCTCAACACAAAACTAAATTGTTTACTTATTTATTTTCGTTCTACACAACCTCGACTATAAATAAATCAACATCATAATGTTCCAGTAAAATATACCATTGATAGATGTAGTTCAGCATTACACATGCAGTATTCATAACTGTGGTATAAATATTAATGTTATGGAAGCATTATTCACACATGAGTGCTAATTAATTAATATTTAATGGTAACTGTTAATTGATTTGTGAAGCGTGTGAAAGTAACAGTATATCTGACCTGCTTCATGGTTGTTTCATATCTTGCAACATTACAAGAGTGTCTACAAATGGTTATACAACTAGCAAGGTGTGATGAATCATCAATGAGGATGTAAATGAGGTGGTTGTTATACGGCTCTGCATATAAATAAGTTCCTATACTAACACATGCACACAAAGCTGTCACATATCCCATGGATTATACTATTGTTATTGTTGTGAATATATTGTCTGACTTTGAACTTAACAAGACATAGCTATCTATGTATTATACATACATACAAAATTCACTCATTTAGTGGTTTTGTGTATTTTGTTACATCATGAACTAAATTAGATAAAGGCATGTCATTGTACTAATTAGTGTAGTGTGAGGTAAATGGGCACATTGGTATTCATAAAAACTTAATTAAGAACCTGGTTATTACAGTAATTTAGATTGGCATTTCTACATCCTCTTGGGTAATAATATGAAAGCATTTACCACCAGCCAAGGTTGAATTATGTATTAAATTCCATCATAATTAATTTTGTTTTTAGGGATCCACCACAGACTTGCTACTAAAGAAAAGTGACATCAGTCTCAGTAGTAATAAAAGTGAAGACTCCACACCAGAAACTGCTGAATGTGAACCTGTGCAGCTCAGACACAAACCACCTCGTATAACTGAAAGAAGTTCAGTCAATCAATGCATCAATGAGTTGTCAAACCTTGCTGCAGAGGCAGCTCGGAGAAGATGTAATAGTGAAATAGTCCAGAGAACTGACATTAATCAAGATACTAATGGTAAATATAAGCTATTGTTACAATTTCTCATAATACTGAAAATACAATACAAAGAATTTCTCTGGTATTGACTAAGTATGAAATGTAAACATAATTTCCCATGGCATTTGCATTGCTTGAATACAAAACCTATTTACATAAAGTAACCTTCCACTCTTATTTATTTGTTTTCTGAATGTTCTACTGTTCTATGGTAGTAAGTTTACATTATAGTATTGTAAATTCTGAAATATTAACATGATTGCAGTAGCAGTAGAACAAACAAGTCCAAATCAAGCCAAAAACCGTCCAATGTCACAAACTGGTGATTTTGTAACAGTCATCGAAGTAAATGGTCTGAAATTAGCAGAATCTGCTTCCAAGAAGTCAGAGGAGTCCCAGCAATCATCAGAAGGCAGTCCTGTTGATCCTGTCGCTATTGCTAAGAAGAAAGTCCCACCCAAGTAAGGCATATTTACTATTTTCAATCTATTTATTTCTGGTCAATTTCCTTTCCTGTATTGAGTTTTTCAATGTAACATGTGCTATGCAACTTGTTACTAATTATTTGTCCCTTTTGGCTACTTTCAGACCACCACCAAAAGTGTTCAGTAAGCGCGGTGCGTCATTGCCGGAGACAGGTCTAGCAGAAGACAGTCCGCCTTCCTCGTTAGGCCGTAGAATTCGAAACGCGGAATCTCGCGAGTCCATTACAAGTAGAGCGTCGACGCCTTCCATTAGTGAGAGAGTAAGTACCCATTTCTTTTGTGTAAATAAGTATTATTTTATTTACAACAGTATTTTAAGGAGCTGGGCAGCTACAAAGTTGTTCTTATTTTATAAACATACCTAAATTATAATAAATATTTATGTTTGATTTAAGATAATATTATTTACAGGTAAAAAGTTATGAATCTATCAACTCATTATCGTCAGAACGAAAGCGTTCAGGTGGGGCGGCCACTCCTCGGTCTATTGATGAGGAGGCGACGTCCACTACACCGGACCTGGGAGACGCCACGGACGCTGACAAGTCCGCACCGATATCTTTAGAAAGTATACCAGCGGCCGTGCCTGGCTCTGAGGACGAACCATACTATGACCAAGTTCCCGTAGACATCAACGACGGCGAATATGTATACATACAAGCAGGTTAGTAGTTTTACTAGTTTGAATCATTAGTAATGGCATCAGTTTCCACAATGTGCGTAAATTACCCAACTTAGCCTCATACAAAATGACAATAATTAAGACAATTGAAGTAGACATGCCACACACAGTTGAAATGTAAACTATGTCAAAGTAAACTGGTTGTCAGTATTAATTGTAAAATAAATGAGATGTCAGCACAGAATTCTGGCAATATCATGTACATAGTACCACATTTGATGAGAAAACAGAGCCCCATAATTATGGTTTAAACTTAAAACGTTTTTTTTTGTATACAATCTCTTGATAACATCAAAACTACTTAACCATCCCTACTTGACTACCTGCTGAGGCCTCGGTACTCGGTAGAGGCTAGCCATATATCGTGGCGGAAATAATTTGATGAATTTCCATCCTCACATAAATGTCCTATTTGGCCTAAAACTACTTTTGATACATACTCAAAAAAGACCATGTGTATGTTTTATTGATTAGGTGGTACGGGTTCGAGTACAGAGGATGGTTCGAGTGGTACGAGCACTCTCCCCCTGGTGGGCAGTAGCGCGGGCGGGGCGGCGCCCTCCGCGCCCACCGCGCCGCGCGCGCCCGACTCACCACCCTGCGCCATCGCACCCAACTACGTCAACATACATTACTTCCTACAGTAAGTTTAATTAACTTTAACTGTTACATACTCAATTTAAAATGTAAATAATCTTTAAGGGCTTTTAGGGCTTATCCTTTAAAAAAACCTAATTCATATTCTGTTCTTTAAATACTATTGGTAATTTACGGAAACACGAAAAATACGTAATAAAAAATTCGTAGGTAAGACAAATATTTTTGTGCCTGACCCGGGAATCTTACCCTGAACGTTCGGCAGTTGGTAGTAGCGGTCGCTCAACCAGCAAGGACAGCCTTTTAGTCAATATTTATATAATATTTGTCTTCAGGAAAGGAGGTGATGGCACAGAACCAAGCGATACGACCTCTGAACTGGCTGACTCTAGCGACACTCCTTTACTGTTGAGAACAATATCTTCGGACACAGAAGCCAGTGCTACACCTCCCGCACTTAGAAAACTACATACTCAGGTAAGATTACGGGACTATTAACGTTGTCACATAAAATATGCAAAATATTTTAATAATAAAGCATTTCTTATAAAAAATGGTTCGACATTATTTCAAACTAGCAGCTCGCCTCGGCTTCGCACGGGTCCAATATGCATTTATTATACATTTATAAACCTTCCTTAAGAATCACTCTTGCCGGAATACTGAAACGTTACTCAATTTTAAGTCGCGCTTGAGTATAGTTCTGTCACTACAAATTCTTTGTAAAATGACAGAGATGGCACGATATTTAAGCACGACTTAAAATTGAGTAACGTTTCAGTATTCCAGCATCTGTCTATTAAAACAAAACCGCATCAAAATTCGTTGCGTAGTTTTAAAAATCTAAGCATACATAGGGACAGACAGACGGCGGATAGCGACTTTGTTTTATACCATGTAGATACATGTTTCATAAACAAGTAGTACATTTCTTTTATTTTGTGAGAGTTGACAAACAGTATCATATAATGAGAGTTTAATTCTCCGTTTCGGCTGGAGAATGTTACTGAAAATTAAATATTATTTTATACTTATTTCTTACTTTGTGTGAGATGTGACTTAAAATGTATTGAAAAAATTATGAATAATATATGGAACCATTCCCCTAAACCATGCGGTCTATACATATTCAAAGTTATTTAGCAAGTACATACATATAATCACAGTCAATGAACCATTCAAGATCTATTGCGGTACAAAAAGACTTGATCACGCCTATGTTGATAAAGTTAGCAGTTTCGCTTCGGTTGAGTTAGTATAAATTAACTCTTCTAATTGTAGACTACGAGCGGACAGCGGACGCTAGTGTGGAATAATTATTACTGTTACTAAAAATTATTCATACCGTAGAAGCAGAAAATGAATGGTTTGTTGTAATCAAAACTTAATTACCATATATTAAAAAAGTTTTAAAAGATTATTCGATTCACGTTTCTCGCTTTATTGTCAATAAATTATGAAATTACATATTTGTCCAGTGCGTTTACAATTCTAAACCATTATCTAATAGTTCTTAGTTAACACAAATATTATCTAAAAGAATTTAACAAAGCTTAAACGTTTCGTTATCTAGAAATGACTCAGAGATAAGGAAGTCTCGTAGGATTAAACTTACTACACCTTTCCGCTTTACGGCTGTAATAATCGCATTCCTTTTATTGTTATGATAGACAGACAAACTTCAGTTATCTTTGGTACAGGAACTTAAAATTTGTGTTAGGAAAACGAATGCAGGAAATTATCTTCAGTTAATGTTTTGCCTGAAAATAAAATATTTTTTTAATGAACGTTATTCCTTACGTCAGGCAGGCATAAACTTGTCGGTCGATAAATTTGGCTACTTATGAAGATTTATTGATAATATTTAAATCTAATGCCAAATTGATAAACCTATCCACCCGGGAATCGAACCTTTTTTGCCCAACCCTTGCTCGACTCGAACACGCCAGTCGATAATTCTAATGTTATTAAGTAAGTCGCTCACCTTGAATCATCTGCTGGTTGATCCTTTTCTTTAGAAATATTTTCCGGGACTACCTCATCAACGGTAGACGACATAACTGCCTCTAGTTCTAGAGGTTGCTCCACTGTCGTTAAAATTTTATCAGTTTCATTTTCCACAGTAGCTTCGCTTACGCTAGCGGGTACTCGTATTTCAAGCTTTTCCGTCGTAGCTTCTGGTGTCTTCGTCACCGTAGGTTCAGGCTCTGTTATGATATTATACTCTCTGCATTCCCCTCGGAAATCTGTATCGTAAATGTTACAAGTAATGTTCTTACATTCCAACTGATCGCACTTCATCGTTGTACAAGTTTGGTCGTTACACCAAATAGTTACATTGTGACTTCTGATGTCTAAAACTCCATTGGGGTCTAACGTCGTAGACCCTAGAAGCTTTTCAGTTACCGGCTGATCTACTTCCCCAGAGCTCCACCAATAAAACGGATATGTAATCCAACCCCATATTGAGGTCATGATACTGCGCCCCTCGGTTAATTCATCTGCAATATATGTCAAATATAAATATTAAAAGCTTAAATTTTATTGATAAACAAAATAAAACTACATTTAGATTGGGAAAGTATACTTACTTTGTATAGTTGGTTTGCATATGCAACACTGCACTGAACACAAGATAAAAAACACGACAAAGATCTTAGAAACGAGCATCGCGACAGCAAGTACGGATGTCCTTTTCGGGAATAAATGTTTGAACAGTCCTGGCCCACCTTTATATAGGAACCTCTCCTAAGTACATTATTATCTTAGACGAGATAAGACCCTGTAGGGAATGTTTACATAATGAGCTAGGAACGACCATTCCTTAAACTTTTGAAATGCCGTAATTGTTTTTTTATTAATAGACTTTTCACTGCGTTACTGGATATTTAGTTTGGTTGAATTCTGAACAAAAAATATCAAGTATGTATGATAATATTTAAAAATATAATTAGATCGCTACGAAGGAAAATACAACTTTCAGTATTTCAAAAACATGTTTTATCTCGATTCTCGACGTTAATTGATAGAGAGAGTATGTAATCTAAATAGATTTGAGTAATTTTACGGTAATAGACTACAGATATGCTAGGAAAACAAGGAAAATTACATTGAAAATAAAACTATTTATTTAAAAAGCTGGTATCGTAAGTTTCGCAATGTGTATTATCTCCTTCAATGTAATTATACGTTGTAACTTCACATAGAATGCAATTTTTCTTAATGTTCGGGCATGCCAGAAATCTGCAGATTGATTTATTTTTATTGCAACGAGTTAGAACTTTTAATCGGCGATTTTGTGTGCTATTTTTCATTGTATAATTAGCGGCATAGAGAAGATCACCCACTATGTCTCTATCTACCACGTTCCTGTCTTTGTTCTTGGCTCTCAAAGCTTCTATTGTCGATGTTAAAGTTCTGATGCGATTTGTCGATATCCTCTTTACAATTGCTTCACCATTTGGACGAAAGTCGATAATTTTCGCTTTCAATTTATTTATTTTTTTCCATGGACTTATGTAACTATTTTCACCTATCTGGTTCATAAATAATAAAAAAATAGTAGTTAATTCAAAATAAAAAAAAACGTTCATCTTTGATTGTATACTTACTTTTTCTGCAATTATCCATTTTACAATAAAATAAATACATATAAACTTAAACGGAACCTTCGGTTGCCAAACCATTTTGTGCGAATGAAACAACTTAAAAGCCTATTAAAGCAAAACCTATTAAACCAAAACGAGTTATCTACGCTGTAAATCACAATTGAGTTAAGTTTTCCAAACAAACGCTTTTTTGTTTTGAAATAGGTTTATTTACTAAACATTAAAGAACTTACATAATTTTCACGGTCTTCGCATTCAAACAATGGCCAGCTGCGTTTAACTCCTTGATGGAACACCGAGATTTCACAAAATTCTTTTTAGATGCAGCAAGCGTGATACATTTAGCGTTAATGCAAAATGTCGCCTTCCCAAATATTTTGCCCAACATTTTGTTTTGCAAAATATCAACAATTTCAAATGCGATATTTGAAGGTAAATCCATGATCGATTCCATCGATGCTAGGCTATCTAAAAATAAAAACCATATTTTAAATGACAGTTTTCTAAACATACAATAATATAAATTTTATAATTAAACTAAAGTAAATAATAACAGTACCTGTGCTGTTAGTCCCGGCGCAATGTCCTCGGTTGTTCAATCTATCCGAGGGCCTACAAACTCTATGTAGACACGTTTTATTAGCGCACTTCATGGAGTGGCAAACTTTTTGGGAACAAAATGTTAAAACTCCACGAATATACTTTCCCACAAAGGACATGAAAGCTGGTGCAACCGTTTCGACGTCGTCCCAGTCTACATTACCAAATATTGCCTGTTCTAGAACTCTGGTGTGGTTTTGACGGATTGTGTCTTTACTTATATTTATCTTTGACTTCTTGTGTTCATTTTCCAATATCATAGTTGTAATATTTTTGGTTTTGATTGTTTCCTTACTTCGGGTTATATTAGGCCAATATAATAGTTCTGCATCACTTAAAATATTTTTATCTGCTTTCTTCCCGATGCTTTTATCTTTATTTATATTATCTTTCGTTGGTTGTGTAGTTTTAGTCGTCAAATGATTGTTGTAATTAGCAGTTACATTTACCTTTGAGATGTCACGTTTTTTACGTGTAGATGGCAGCTTTGAAGTAATGTTCGTGATTTTTCTTGGGAAATCGTTTTCGATACTATTTTCAATTTTATGGACATCCTCGGTTCCATTGTAGGGATTATTTGTAATATTAACCATCAAATAAATACTTTCTTCTGTCTGAGTTTCGTTTAAGATGTCGTCTGTTTTATTGATCATAGAATTAATTTCAAATTGTAATACATTTGAAGATGGTAGATTGGTGTCGTTGGTTACGTTGCTGCTGTAATCAGTTTTGACCGAGTCACTGTTGTTGGTATCATTCAAGTGGTTGGGGAATGACGGTTGCTGCTCTACCTTAATGTTGTGGAAAGTTATAACTTTCTTGCGATGTTTCTTATTGTTATTATTCGCCCTGGACTTCTTCTTTTTATGGATTGTTATTTTGTGTACTGGGGAACTAGGCTCATCTTTATTGTATTTTGTTGCTCTTTTGTAACCTAAAACTTCCATGGGGACGGGAAAATTGAAATATGGAAATGGTAAACTTACGCCAGTGGCAAGTTCTTTTGATGCAGTATCATCAAAATCAAATATTCTATCATGATTGTGAATTTTAGAGAACTTCGACAAGATTTCTTGTGGTTTTGGTAATTGTAGATCAATTTTAATACGAATGTTAAGCGTATTGTCTGTTAACACATCTCTCATGTTTTCGTCAATTAAATGTTCCGATTTTTTTGTAAAAAGGTTTTCGTATGGTAATAAGTGTTGCAATAAAGATTTTCTCTGATCGTCTGATGAGTGCAGTTTCAATTGTTCCAAGGGATCTTTGAACATAGTATCCATACGTACTAAGCACTGTTTGCAACCACAGTCGCAAGGAATGTGTCCACTTTTACAGAAGCATGATGATTTCATTGGATCCAAAGATGATTTATGTAAAATAGGTGAAAAGTCTAATATTTTCTTTTCGTTGTACGTAATTTTTTCGAGAGGTAGATATTCTTCACGGTTACCTTTTGGAAGAGTAGTCGTTTCTGGTTTATTCATATATTTTCCCTTTGAGTTAATAGGAATGAAGACATCTAAAGGGTTATTGAATGGTGGATTAAATTTATAAGCACCTGGATTATAGAAACTATTCGCAAAAACATAGTCGTCGTGTTTCTCGACATTAGTTTTCGTTTTAGAAAATTGATCATGTCGCGGCAGCAGAGGTACTTTGTTTTTAGTTTTTGATTTTTCTAAATAATTCTTTCTCTGTTTGTGTGCTTTCTCTAAATGACGTTGATATTCAGATAACAAACTTTCTACACCTTCATCACTCTGACTGTCGCTATTCGCAAATAGATCGAACGGCGAAACCTGAAAGAATTATAAGAACCACGTATAAAGCGTGTGAAGATACAATTAACACGAATGTTACAATAATACTTACACCATTATTTTCAAAGTCATTTATTATATCAGCGATATCGCTGTAGATAATAGTATCGTAAAACGGACTCACTTCGATTCGATTAGATTCGGAACCTAAAAGTAAATGAGATTTATTTTAGTCAATCAATACTTTTATAAACATAATTAGCCACGAAGCGTTTCACTTACTTTCTGAATCATAGCAGTAAATTGCATTTAGAAAAAAGACAAAACTAGAGACTAATATAATTTTCATGATTCATATGCCATGCAGGAACCCGAAATAATGACTGAATCGGAACTGGCACTTGTGGTAATTGTTTGATGTTTAGCCTTATAGGCTGTATGTTGGTGCAAACAAAAGTTTTAATGGCTATTGTGTAGTGTTGCGAAACTTGTTATACAACTTTACTGATTACGCTTACAATTATATATGGGTATTTTTAGGCTTTAGATAATAAATTACAATAATTATTTTCAGGAATCGAGCGGCAACAATGCGGAAGCTGAGCGGCTGACTATGCACCGTTGTATAATAACGAGCATCATTGAGAGTGAAACGGTTTATGTTGAATGCCTCTATGTTATGGAGAAGGTACTATATCGCTTGATTATTTATTATCTTTATCCTTATCCGATAAGTTTTAATAAAAAGTAGTTCATTAGTAATCGACTGTATGATATGTTTTTCAGCATTGGGTTCTTTTGATACCTGTTCTACTACGGATGATTCATATCATACCTCCCCTATCTATACACATAGCTAAACACTTTCACATGGTCACTAATTTATAATAAATCTTATAATATTTTTGTTATTATTTCTATTACATTTCAACTACCTGTTGGTCTACCGTATAGATAAGTAGAGTAAGAGAGATACAAGATAAAGAGAGAATATTATCTAGGAATGTTTCCTAACACAATCGAGTCTCCATTAGAGTACTTCTCATATCATCGCTTTAAAGTAATTGCGCGATTGTAGATGCATTATTGATAATCAACTAACTAAGCATTCGGCTTATCTATAGTTTTGAAATATGTCGGAATCTATATTATTTTTATTCATCATTAAATTACTGTAACAAATATGTTTTGGTTAGAACTGCCTCTTTTTATTGTTTAAATAATGATTGTTCTAAAATCCTAATTAGAATAATCTTATAAGGATAGGATGATTCTAATTAATAAGTTCAGCAATCAGTAATTGGGCCTTAATTCTAGAAGTTTAGGAAAAGCCTTTTAAGGCTAGATAAAATATTTGAGGCTATACTAATTTCGCCGGGTCAGCTAGTATAAAATATTTACTGTTGTATATAATTTTTCAGTATATGAATGCAATTAAAGCGACGCTGTCTACATCCCAGCCTGTTATAACGGAAGAGGAGTTTAACACAATCTTTTACAAGATATCAGAGCTCCACGAGTTACATAAGAACTTCCTAGAAGGATTAAAGGCGGCAGTCGCTAGCTGGGAAGAGCCTCTATCTGTAGGGATACATTTCAAAAAGATGGTAAACATTGCTTTTTTTACTCGGAGAAATAAACCACATTTTCAAACATGCAAGTTTTTTTACTCAAAAGAGAAGTCAAAGGTGTATCAAATTGCAAAGTCTTTTTACCAGTCAGAACATACATATGTACATTAATGAATAATGTGAATAATAACAAAATATTATGATTCATAAAACAAAGTTCTTTTTTATATATTTTTAGGCAGAAAACATAAACATTTACGGCGCGTTCTTACACAACTACGGTCGTGCGACGGACGCGGTGCGACGTCGCTGTTCCACATCGCAGAGCTTTGCGCACCTCACGAAACAGATCTCCTGCCACGGACAGCCCATGTCCCTTGACGACCTGCTTCATAAACCAGTCGCCAGGGTCCAGAAGAATGCACTAGTTTTGCATGTGAGTATTAGAAAATAGTGAAAAAAAATTATCATGTCTTCTACAGCATCATGTATGTGTATATGGAAGTTCGATTTATTGGTCAACCCTGAAGTAGCGTACAGCTTTTTTAATATGTGAAACTGTAACGACTCGTGTTTATTTCAGGACCTAATTAAGTATACTCCAGCCAGTCATCCAGATCACGCTATGTTGACGGAAGCACTGAATATGACTCAACACTTCCTAGATGAATTCAATATTATTCAAACTAAATCTATGTTCCCTGTAAGTATCTAGATCGTTTAAAAGTGTTTTATAACATAAGTGAATGCTAACTAATTTTGCTTTTTTTCTTACAGAACGCCGATCGCGCACAAAGGCGACTCGTCAAGAATTCTTTCATAGTGGAACTCTCAGATGGACACAGAAAACTAAGGCATCTATTCCTCTTCAACGACGTCATTGCTTGTGCCAAATATAAGGTAGAATTACTCTTAAGTCTGTAGATTTTAAATGTAAGTGTCCTAAAAAGTAAAAAATAAATAAAATAAAATCTTTATTCAGAAATGAAAATGGACACAGATACAAAAATATTTCTTGGGTAAATAAAATAGATCTCACATGGTTGGGTGCCTGTACTAGGATAATCCTGTGTCACAGGCGAGAATAGGTCTAACATAATTATAATTTTATTTCTATATACGCTCTTACATGCTAATTATTAATTAATACTTGACAAATAATATAAAGACTATATAATATACATAAACACATACCTCGCGCCTTATACTCCCGGAAGAGATAGGCAGAGGTGAAACAACTTAAGAGTAACATGACAAATAATTAAAATTAGGTACGTTTTAACTTAGACAAAAGGCATATTATTTATCACTATAGTTGAAAAATTACTTGCATCGGTAGATATATAAACTAGGTCAAAGTCCACGATCATACACTTGCTGCACAAATTACAATAAAGTGCTTAGACAGCAACTAGCCGATGAGTAAGTCAACCTGTTTACATTACGCAATTGTAATATATTTAGATTAAGTTGTAGCGTTCTTACGTGTCGCCATAGTCCACCGAGTTTATGTACCTTTTTTCGGCCATAACTTTTGCAGGACATTCAGTAGCACCAGTCATGTGATTGTGGGGCTCATCTGATTTTTTTGGGCAATCTTTTATGGTATGACCTTGTTCGCCACAATGTCCGCAAGTAAAAGAGGTCTGTCGACATGATTTAGCAGCATGTCCGTACTGCTGGCACTTGAAGCACCTGGTCACCAGAGTGAAGTCGCGAACAGGGCATGATGTCCAATTTATAAAGACTCGGTCTTTGGATATTAGGGCTTTTCGAATTACTGCAGTTACTTCGACCACATAATTGCAGGTCTCAGCATCTCTCCTCCCTGATTTATGGCTTAACTTAGTTGTCTCCAAGAAAGCGTCTAGATTGCAATTTTCCAATTTGTCTGCCAGATTTTGATGGTACAAGCATACTAAAGCGTCTTTGTCGGACATAGCTGATGGCACTCCTATGATGACGACTCTGGGCTTTCTTTTCTTCGGCTCATCGACGGTAAGACCTGAGCTTGTGAGTTGCGCTGATTGTCTCAACTTCTCAATATCGCCTTTTGACTCGGTACTGATGATGACACCGCCGTTTTTAGTTTTGTGAAGGCCTCTTACTTGTAATTTCATTTCTTCAGGGCGGATGATTTTTTGGACTAATAGTTTCGTCTCGTCACTCGTCTTCGTTTTATCGTTTGGATAAATTACTACAGAACTTACTTTTAGGGGCTGGATGAAATTATTCGTACCTTTTTTTACCATATCGGCGAAAGAATTTGTTCTTGTAGGGTTGGGAGTTTCAGCAATTCTCTGTTGAAGATCTTTAAGCTGCAGGGAGAGGTCTAATTGATTCTCAAGGTTACAAGCGCTTTGGTGGGCAAGTAAGGCTCTGGCTTTGAGAGATTGGTAAAGTACTGCCATCTGTGAAGTCCCGTTACTCACTCTCCTGCAAAGGGCGTTGACTCGCAGCTTTTGTTCCGAGTTCATCTTGCCATCACTGACAATAGTGCATATGTCAGTAAGACTCTGGTCGATTGTCGTTAACCACTTCTGGATCTCGGGCGTCGCGACGGTTTCAGGAGCATCGGTACTTGAGGTCGGTGGTTGTAAGGTCGATGCTGGTGTACCAGGTGGAGATCGTACAACCCTGTTACTCTGGGCAAATGGGCTGTTTTCCATGATGCAAAGTATTCACTTGTCAATTATAGAACATTGTCAATTTACACTTTTACACGAAGACGCACGTTTTGTCCAGTATTAATGTGCAATTGTTAATCTAGGTCACGATATTGCAATCGTAATTATTTTGTTTTAATTTTCTAATGAGTTAATCAATACGTCCGATTCATATGAAAGTACAATAATGATTCAATGATGAAACAACCAAAACAACCAAACTGTTTCCTTCTTACAGGCCTCAGGGCGCGATAAGTTCACGTTTGAGTTGAAATGGTTCATTCCTCTGCCGGATATTGTGGTGGTAGAAGACGAGAGTCTCGGAGCAAACGCTAACGACGCGCGCGAGACTTCGCCCGCCAACATCGTGGCACTGAAGTCACAGGCCTCCACTGTACGCGACCAAATACTGGCTGAAGAACGAGCCGCTGCTGATGACAAGGTTAACTATATTTGTTATTAACTGTTGCACTTGCACTTTTTCTGTATGATTTGATTTGTTTCCCTTATATCTTCATGTAATTTTAATAAGCATCTACAAACAATTAACAACCTTGACATGCATTTCTTGAAATTATGACTTGAATTGTTTTTTAAATGTTGCCCCACACTAGGATTTTCTCCTGTGTCGTGGGTGCGTTTACAAACATACAAGTTCACATTACATGACACCCAGACCTGAAATAATAATTTGTGGATCACACAAAGAGTTACTCCGTGCGCTAATCGAACCCGCTACACTACACGTTGCGCGGCAGCAGGTTACCCAGCCACCGCGCCAACCGTGCAGTCGCAATAGATTGTGATGTTGTACTCACTTCACCAGAAAATTCGCATCGGCGGTCGTGGCGCGGCGGAGAAGCAGCGCAAGAAGCTGGCGGAGCTGGAGGCGCAGCTGGTGCTGGCGTCGCCCAACCTCGTGTTCCGCGTCGGCGCGCGCGCGCCCGGCGCCGCCGCGCTGCACCGCCAACATGTCTTCTTCCTCAGCTCCGAGTACGAGCGCACGCAGTGGATCGACTCCATACATGCACTGCAGGTAAAGCTTAACTTGAAGCTTCGACCTAACTTTGTCATATGGAATAGGGGCAGATGAACAGACGAATCACCTGATAATAAGCTATTTACGCGGCCCATCACCGGCCTCACACCTGAGAAGTGATATGCGTTGCAGACCTTTTATAAAAAGGAGTACGTACGCTCTTTTTTTTCTGAAGGTTTAAATTTCGGTGGCATCTGTTCGGAAATATAGTTTCATAGTGTGTGCATGGCGAAAAGTTACTCGAGAGGCAGTTTTTTGGCTACCGGCTGCCAGCTACCAATCACTAAATGAACCGAGAAAAGTGTTAAAACTTCTCTATTATACAAAGATTCAAAGGATATATTTAAATAATTAATTAATGAATATTGCGCCAGGCTTCATCAGCGCCGCCAGCGGGTTCAAGTTCCATCTCAATGTTGGAACTGCAGGCGTGGGTGACTGCGTGTCGCAGCTACTTACAGACGGACATGGGATCCTACCTACTGCGCAGTGGACGCGACGACTCGCTACTGCTCGGAGACCTACAGCTTCACATCGGGGGCATGACTGCACCACTTGATACCGCTGCCGGTTAGATTTTATTTTTGTTAGAAAGATTCTCCCGTAATTGCATGTTATGTGACAGATTTTCGTAAGTAACAGAAAATCTAATCTAAAATAATAGGGTTGTATTACTTTATCTTCCTTCAATAACTTTGCTTTTCATAACACTCAACATACGTAAGGGCTATATAGATATTTTCACTCCTACTGGCCGCTTCTATACCAAACAGCGGTGCACACAGATAAAACTCTTTACCTATTAATTATTTTTTGTCAGATTACTACATAGTTGTGGAGGTGGACTCCTACGGCCATTACTTCCGCAAGGCGAAGTCGAAGCTAGTATGTCGCAGTGCGCAGCCGCGGTGGAACGAAAGCTTCACTTTGGACCTAGAGGGTTCACAGAACTTGCGACTCCTGCTCTACGAGGACGCTGCAAGACCCGTGCTGCGAGGGAAATGTACCATCAAGGTAGTAACACTTTGTTTATTAATAGTGAATTAACATCCTCATTTAAGTGAGTTTTAGAAGAGCAAATTCTGAATCCGTCTTCCGTGTGAGTCGTATTGTATTTACGCTGTCGACGTACACGCTCTAGTCGTTTGTGTATGTACAGTGAGTAGTGCGGTATGATGTTATAAGCGAGTTGTGTGCAGCTGTCCCGCGAGTGGGCGGCGGAGGGGGGCGGGGCGGGGGGCGGGGCGGCGCGCACGGTGTGCGTGGGCGGCGGGTCGCTGACGCTGCGCCTGCGCCTGCTGCCGCCCGAGCGCTCGGCGCGCCGCGTGCCCTCCGCCAAGCCTGGCGCGCTCTTCGGGAACAAGATCACACATGTCGCCAAGTATGTATTTGCATTATTTCTAACCACCACTAACTATTTAATACACAAGTAATTTATCTAAATAATTAATTAATTGTTCTTGTCTTTCCCCTAGGTTTTTTTATAATATGTTTTGCGGGTCGCTGTTAATTAATAAGCGCAAAATAATCTCTTAAACGAGAACAGCGACGTCTACTACATGGCTAGACTTGGATGATAATAAATTTGTATAACCAACATCTAAACCAACATTTTTATCAACAGACGAGAAAAGCGTAGCATTCCGTTTATAATAAGCGCCTGCGTACGTGAGGTGGAACGCCGCGGTATACACGAGGTGGGCATCTATCGCGTCTCCGGGAGCGCTTCGGATCTTAACAGACTCAAGAAGAGCTTCGAAACCAGTGAGTTTTACTTAACCACTTTACTTAACCACTTTATCAATTTAAATCTTTTTTATGTACCATTACAATTTTCTGCTGTGCCATGACAAAGTCCATTCACAAACAAAATCCACATTTAAATCGTCTCCAAAATAATTATTTGTATATTGTACAAAGGAATGAATATGTCACATATTGCTATTAGCTACTGAACCTAAACAAAATTGTGTGCCAGTGTGTTAAAGTCATAATGTATAAATTAAAATTTGACTGTTTGTTCAGATGCCTATGAAGCAGAACAGTTGCTAAAGGAGGTGGACATACACTCGGTGACGGGCGTCCTGAAGTTATATTTGCGGGAGCTACCAGAGGCTTTGTTCACGGACGCTTTGTACCCAGAGTTACTGAAAGCGTGGGGAGCCACACAAGTATGTATATGTATAGCATTATTAATTAAACATTAATATTATACTGTAGATGATGATAATAACAGGGCTTTTATATTTATATATATATTTATTTTTTTCATTTAGGGTGCAGGTACATCTGTAGACTCTGGTCCAGCACATACCAGGCGACATGCCCTTCTCAAATGTTACGCTCAGTTGCCAGACCTCAATAAAAATTGTATCGACTTCCTACTGAACCATTTTGTCAAGTAAGTTACATCATTGTGCCTTTTGGAACATATATATATGTTACAGCCAAAGTGATTAAATTGATATTATTCATAATGACTGGTCATTATACATAATAACAAAATTGTTCAATGTGACAAATTAATCACTTTAACCAGATAAATAATAGCAGGCTCAAGTTAACTAAAGTGATAAATATAGCACAGTTGGTGCAGTGGCTGGGCAACCAGGCTGCCGTGCAACGTGTCTCGGGTTCGATTCCCGCACGGAACAAACCATGTGTGATCCACAAATTGTTGTTTCTGGTCTGGGTGTCATGTGTATGTGATATTGCACTATCATTTTCACCACCTTCGAAAACCATGAAAACGATACCCATGACGATAAATTGAAAATTTTGGGCAGCGGCCATCTTGGATTAACATTTCGACAGCATGACGAACGTAATAATGTAAAACGTCTCGCGTCGACAATACTACTATTGCAGGAGGTCTCACATTGAGAAACCGTACAGCCGCCGCGCCGTATCGCAAAACAGCTCTGCTCATTTATACCTACTTGTTTTATTACTTAATCCAAGTCTTCAAAGATATTATTAATAATAGCTAGTCAATGTAATTGATTCTGCTTCATTCATTACTTTCACGAAATTCTGTACATTTTATGTATAATATATAACCAGTCATTACGAATAATATCAAATAGTTCACTTTGACTGTAAAACATACATATTATTATATAGAATATATTTTTGAATGTTTTGAAATTACTTAACTGACGAAATAAACTAAATTGAATTAATTGCCGAGACTATGTTGAAACAACATTGATAGTAGCACAGACTATAGCGGTATATTGTTTTCAGAGTGAACCAGCACGAAAGCGAGAACAAGATGTCGCTGCACAACCTGGCCACGGTGTTCGGTCCCACGCTGCTGCGGCCCGCCGCGGCCGGCGCCGGCAGCAAGCTGCGCACCGACCTGCTGGCGGCCGGCACCGTGGACGCCATGGCGCAGGCCGGCATCCTCTACTGCCTGCTGCAGCAGCGACAGCTCGCCGCGCAGCTCTCCTCGCACCATCGCTCGCCGCACTCCGCACTCGACTAGCCACACACTTTACGCAGCGGATATTCGAAACATTTTATCGAAAGTCCAATAAAAAAACTCGTACTAAGTCCTTATATTTCTACATAGACATCATGGGCGCGGTCAGTGTGGTTTGTATTTATTGTGTGTATCATTTTATATTTCCTACATTATACAGTAAGTTCTGAATGTTGAAAGTTCCAATTAACCACTCGCATTGGATTCAATCAAATGCCAGAATTATTCCGCGCTTTTGCATACTCTCAAATGCTTTGATTTTTAGTATTACAAAAAAGATAAGACGATGTAGTCGACAGTTATTTGTCTACGAATAATTTTAAGTTCGAAATATTTATGCCGCAATGCAAAATAAAAAAATTAAATACCAATTGTTTACCTGCTAAACAAATGGTGTCCAATACTATGCCACTCATTACTCATTGATTTTTTTCTATCATTTAAAGTCATTTATTCATTTAAGTAATGACAGATTTATTCAACTAAATACATTCCATTTATTATGACAACAGACTGATCATAGGTGTATCACAAGATATAACATTTACAAAAATTAGCAAGTATTCCAAATGAAATGTGTAAAACCACTGAGTACGGCATTGTCGGAGTGCCGTGTGGTTTAAATTGAAAATATAAAATTTATGCGGTTGTGATGTGTGCAGCTGACATTGCAGTAGAGGGGCGGAGGCAGGATTGTTGAGCTGTGGGAACACGTAATGAATGAATCAGAACGTTTAATGTTTATAAGCAAGTATTATGAAGAGGGACCGAAATAAAATTAATAATTTATGGTAATAAAATCATTAGCATAAAATTGATGCAGACTGATACTAATAAATTTGTGAGTGGTAGTGATTATTTTCAGTTTTGGGTAACATTTGAATTGATCAAATATCAAATCATAAAAAAAATATGTAATTTAATTTATATTAAAAATAAATGGAATGAGTGAATCTATAGTCGGGTAGTGGAGTGTTTAACAGTTTATAATCAGCATCACATCGTTATTATTTAACAAATCTAAATGGTAATGTGTTGTGTATTTGATGGTTTGTTCTCGGATAGCGTGATTACCGAGTCACTTGTAATTATTATTGACACTGGTTTACTGGGACATATGAACAGTTGGTCCACTTTATTAGCATTTTATATGCTAGTCGTGTGTATGTTTAGAAGCTTTACGTTATATCAGCACCACTTTCTAGTACTCTCGTAAGTTCCCTGCAGCAGTAGGTGTCACATAAAATCGATTTCGATGTCTAGTTTAAATAATGTAGGCGATCTATTTCACAAATAGGCTTAGATGAATGGTGTTATATTAGTACTTAAAGGGAAATTTTACCAAAAATAAAAATTCTTAGAACAATATTAATTTCAATATTATTGTGTTGAGTTTGTTGAGACATTAATTAACCTTTGATTTACTATAGTTTATGTTGTTGAGTAATATATTCAAGCCTTAAGTTAAGTGACCCCACATTTTTATTGTTTGTTCATCTTGGAATGTAACATTTATTCTTCACCAAAGAACACTGCCTATCACGTAATTTCATTCGAAGTATATGAATCACAATACAATGTATTCTTCTTTTATTTTCGTAAGAATGGAAAGTATTCATTTGTTTATCATACATAGTGATTGTTGCAAACTCTATTGTATACTGCCTAGTTTTATAATCAATGTGCATGATAAAGATAATGAGCCACTCGTAATTAAAGTTCTGAGTTTTGTATCTGAAATTGTTACTTATTATTTTTCCAATAATATATGTTTAGATTGTATAAAAGTACTTCTTGTAAGTGGAGATCTTTTGTTGATACTTAAAGAATTACGATTGATGTTAGTCAGCAGATTTGCCTTTTTTATATTAACAATATTAGAGTTAATTATAAACACGTAAGATTTAATTTTATCACTAAGCAATTTATCAGTTGCGTAATATATCATCAAATAATTAATCTGTTTAATGAAATGAACAAATTAGCACAATGATTTATCAGTCATTATTTAGTACTATTAAGAATTATCTTTTTGTCAGACTGAGTATGTATACCTGTGCTTGCTGTTGCCAAATTACTGTGGCCAATTTTTTATTCTTGATAATGATAGAGAATAACAATTAAATATTTCCCCACAATTAATATGAATAGTTTGTCTCAAATACAGGTATTTGTAGTGACTCGATCTTTTCACAAATTGCAGAGAATGATTGCTGCTAAATACATACCTTAAGTTTAATACATGTTACCTTGTAGCTTGTTCTGTGTAAGTTTGCTATTTAATTACTTTATACTATAGTTATTACTGACCTACGCTATTGTTTATGGGTTAGAGATTTTACATGTAATCTGCAATGTATGTATACTGGGGCTAAAATTATATTGTCTTATAATTATTTTATCACAACCTGGCCTATGTTAATGTTTTCCTGTTTAAGCCTACCAGTTTGTGTGAAGATCTCTGCACCAGCAGCTGTATTATATAGTATTCCACAATTTGGTTGTAATACCAAACCTTTGTATTTAATTTTTGTATATAAATGATAAAATGACACTAAAATGTAGTTACATAAATTTTGCAATAAAATGTATTTTTAATACACCTTTTTAAAGTATTTTATTTGTGGCTAAATTATATCCAGATTAATATATAATGACTACAAATAAAACAGCAAGTTTTCTTGATATTCCTTGTATTCTTGTGCTATTCAATTAAGCTTACAGCTATAAATGCAACATGCAATGCATGCAAATTATGATAAGTTTAATTTACTATTGTTGTTTTATGTTGACTTTGTCTATTTACATACAAATATTATAACATACAAATTAAAATACCTACTTTCCTGTCTGCCATAATATATCCATTGTACTAATATTCAAATTTCTCTCAGAAATATAGATAAATACTGCAACAGCTAATATTACAATTGAGGCTACTGATATAGGGCCACGACGAGATATAAACAAATTTATGATTATTAAACTAATGTACAATGCAACTCGCAGATAAGTAGTTGCTAAAATATTTTGTTTCAGTTCATTGTCTATGCACATGCCAAACCATAGCACTTTGGAAGGGTCACATGTAGTACAGTTAGAGGACCCTTCACCAGCACAAGTGTTGCAAGAAGTATCACATTCATAACAATTGTAAGAACCTTCTCCATTTCTACAATATTGATGGAGTTCACACACAGAGGATGTGCACTCATCCACATCCACACACACACCGGCCTGCAGGACCCAGCCTGCGTTGCATGCTTCACAAGCATGAGCACCATCACCACTGCATCCATTGCAGGCTTTGTGACAAACTTTGCAAGTACTATCACTTGTTTGGTAAAATCCAGTAGCGCATTCATCACATATCACTCCTATATACCCGTTTTTACAAATGCAGGTACCATTGCCTTTCCGAGTTCCAGCTCCATCACATTTCCCATGACCTGCACAAATTTTATTATTTTTATCCTGAGGACATGGAGAGCAATCCAGACCGTAATGATTATTGGGACAACATTGTTGAAGGGTTTCAATACAGAGCCATGTGTATAAATCTAAAGAAACTGAATTTTCATCAAACCACCATTTCTCCAATACTTGTTCTGATTCTTCTGCGACAGCATAGCATGCATCTTGATGTATTTTCAGTTCTGAACATAGACCTTCTTGTATTTCCACTAAGCGAACTTCACTGCGTGAATATGATTTTAATTTTGCTTCCTCCCAAGCCGCATCGCCTCCTTCGTATTTACCTCTAGAAGTCTTGTCAAGCCAGTGATTAAAAGATTCTGTTAATATCTTACAGCGCTTACATTCATTTAATTTTTGATCTCCATTGGAACTGGGGGAATATTTTTTACTTCCTATCGATTCACTTAATAACAGCAATAATAAAAAGGACCGTCTAAGGATCCTAATAACGCCCATATTTTTTTGAATAAGTTAATATTTGTACTGAGGTATAACTGATGAAATATTACTTACGCGTTAAACCGCAAGTTATAAACTGCACTTTAAAATATTTTACGAGGCTGAAAAAAAGCCGAATAGACCGAATATCACAAAAAATATATAAATTCAATTTGACACTTGACAGTAACTAACAGATGTCAAGTCACTGTCAAGTGACAAAAATAGTGGTATTGAAAATAGTGGTGTCTATCGGATTCAGATTCAGAACATAAAAATAACCACAAGTTGGATCCATATCGACCCCAACGCTACTAGTCCAACGTGTGAATCTAGAAAATGGTATTAGTCCAACGTTAGGGCGAACATTGGTAGTTGGCCGGCTCTTCTCAGTTTTATTAGTCGAGCGAGAATGGCTTCATCATCGACAAAATCGTCACCGGTATGGACAAATGAAAAAGTTATAGAATTTATGAACTTTATCAAACACATCCAATATTATGTGCATGGAGATTTATATTCAGAATTAACAACAAAATAATTTATAAAAAAAATATCAAAAGATAAAGATTTTCTTTAAATCAATAGTGAACACATTTATTAGTTTCAAATCTATTTTCTGTTCCCGCCACCTCACATTTACCAAAAGTTTGCCAACTTGTGTACGCCTCATCGAATATACAGTCCAACATATGTTGGGACCAACGTGTGTAACCGGCCTGAAGCGAAAACTAGTGAGGAATGAGCAGTTTTTATCCCCATTAGGTTCAAAAAGCTAGTAATCAAACAATAAAGACAAGATAAAAATAAATTACTGAAAGAGTTATTGAACGACTTCATTCAAATGACATTTGTATTTTCAAATCATTCACTCTTCGTTCATTCATTTGTGCATTGTAACAACGAGGCACGCACGGTTATTGAAGTAAAAATTATACTTTCCACCTACTGAGAACTTCATTTTTGTTTATATTTCGTCTACAATTCATTTCTATGCTTAATGGCAGATAAAATCAAGTAAGTTCTGATTTACTACATTGTTAAAACTCACATTATGTTTTATGGAGTTATTATATTGAATAAGTTGTCACTACAATGTGGTAGTGGTATTATTATACCTTGCTGCTTGTCATTGATTGAAATCAAAGATGGCATTCGTCCCAGTACTCCCTTTAGTATTATCTACATTTCTTCTATATTGTATATAATTTGAAATTTGGTGGCAATAAATTTATTATTCACATGTGTAAATTATTAGCCATGTGTTATCTAGATAAATATAATTATGTGTTTGCCACCAGCTGTGGAGTGATTCAATGCATGTTTTATTTTACAGAGTCAAGTCAAATTTTGACAAGAAGGGCAATTATGAGCCGTCCGACTCAGAAGATGAATATACACCTAAAGAGAAAAGATTACTGGAGAAGGTGCGGAAAAGAAAACGTGATGAATCAGAAAGTGAAGAAGAAATGTATGCTTTCTCTGAATCTGGCGACTCTGACAATGAGAAGGATGATTTAGGAATAGCTGACAGTGATGTAGAAGGACAAGAACAATCTGATGATGATTTACCTGATTCTAAGGCTTGGGGAAAAAAGAAAAGATCATATTATGCAACTGATTATGTTGATGAGGACTATGGAGGCTTCGGGAATGATGAAGAAATTGCTCTTATGGAAGAAAAAGAAGCAAAAGACATTCAAAAAAGACTCTTAGAACAGCTCGGAGAAGAAGATTTCAAACTAGATTTTTTGACAAAACAGGTTGCTGATGTTGAAGAAAAACAAACTGTGATAAAGAGTGATTTAAGTCAAATGTCAAAAAGGCAAAAGTTACAGCTGCTTGAAAAAGAAAGCCCCGAGTTTGCAGGTCTGATTGACGATTTTAAATCTAAGTTAACAGTTGCAAAGGATGATTTACATCCTCTCCTAAAGCTCGTCAAAGATGGCAAGCTTCCCACTTGTCCCGCATCAAAATTTGTCAAAACTAATTATGACCTTATTTTAAATTACTGTACTAATATTAGTTTCTATTTACTTCTTAAAAGTCAAAAAATTAATATTCAGAATCATCCTGTAATAAAAAGGTTGTACCAATACAGGCAAATGTTAAATAAAATGGAGCCCATTTACTTGGAAGTTATAAAACCTCAAATAGACAAAATATTACTTGCTGTGAGAAATAACTTGGAATTACATGTAACTGAAATAAAGGAACAGAAGAAAGATAAGAAACGTAAATCAGGTAGATCATCACCAGAGTCTAAACCCAAGAAATTGAAACTTCTTAATGCAATGGAAAAGGATGAAGGTGAAGATACTGGTGTATCTGATGATGAAGACCAATATGAAGGAACTGATTTGTTCAAGACCAGCCAAGATGTTGATGTTCAAAGAAACAATGATGAGTCAGAAGAGAGTGGATTCTCTGACAATGATGTTTCTCCTAATGAAATTGAAACTGAAGACAATAAACCATCTACCTCATCACAGGATATTGTACCAGAGGATGTTGGGGAAAAACGTGAAATTACATATCAAATTGCTAAAAACAAAGGCTTAACTCCTCACAGAAAGAAAGATCAAAGAAATCCTAGAGTTAAACATAAACTCAAATATAGGAAGGCTAAGATAAGGAGGAAGGGAGCTGTCCGTGAACCCAGGACAGAGATAACTAGATATGCTGGGGAAGCATCAGGAATAAAAGCCAATGTTAAAAAGAGCATTAAAATTAAGTGAAACTTATTTATTTACTTTTACAAAAATATTGTATGGTTTATTATTACAATAAAGTTGTATTTCCATGTACAGTTTGTTGTCATTCAATGCTGCCATCTAAAATAAAAATATTCAAAATTAGTTACAATAAAATTCATAGTCACACTGAGCAATTTGATACTTAATTGTTCACTTACAATTTTAATACTTTGTCTTTTCCCCCTGAAGCCACATAAGCTCCATCAGGTGACCAGTCTACAGCATATACTTCATCAGCATGCCCAGGGAGATCCAATTCTAATTTCTTTATTTTCATATTCCAAACTGAAAATGATTGGCAATACAATCATGAAATATATATGTACTCTTCAGATTAATAATAGATAATCAGAGAAACAATAAAATATAGGTGGATAAGTCTGTTATTCTATCTCAGTAATTTGTCAAAACATTTTAGATGTTATAAAATAAATTCCCTATATTAGGCCAAGGTAATTATCCCTGTTCTTCGATTAGTAAAAGTAAACAATTTTTTTTATTTTTTTAAGAAATTCGTATCTTACCTAAAAACACTAAGTACTTACTCTTTAATTATAAGGAATTTATATTTTATAGCTTGAAAAAATAAAAAGACAGGTACCTACTTTCACTTTAGTTATGGATGTGGTGCCACTTAGATTAAAGCCAAATCGATACTTCAACTATAGAGGGTACACAATAACATTTTTTATCAAGATGGCTAAAATGGCTGATTTTCTGTTTCTACAGGATACCTTACCTTTCAAAGTGGAATCTGCACTGGAGCTCAATAGAAGTCTCGAGTCTGCTGACCATGCCACCATGTACACTGCTTGCACATGCCCTCTTAGAGTTGTTATGAACTTGCCAGTTGCTGCGTCCCACAGTTTTACTGACTTGTCAAAGGAAGCTGATGCTATAATTCTAAAATAGTGTATAAAATTAGTACAATATACGATTCCGATTTTAACCGCATTACGAATTGCGTTACCGTTTCAATTAGCTCTTATATTTCAGTAAATATAAGAGCAAATTGAAGCTACAAACATATTACTGAATTATGTTTGTAGCTTACAAGTTCGTGAGTACAAGTTCTTCAAATTATGTACTTGAAATATGAGATGTTAGTTGCAATACCTTGTGTCTGGAGAAAATTTTACATCATTAATGAGTTGTTGATGGCCTGTCATTCGCGCTAGTGGTCTCTTTTCTTTTTCTGGCAGCCACAGGAATAATGTGAAATCATCCGATCCCGATACTAGGCGTTCCTCGCTCTTCCCACATACTGCTTCATATCTTTCTAGGGCTCTTTGTTGTAACATATTTTCTAAAAAAACATGTGATTTAATTTATTATATCAAAATTAGAAATATAATATATATTTCTATTTTGATAGAAATCGTTTTAAAAGAAGCCACTAGCTTTTGTAATGTTTACTCACTGTCACTAACAGCAGAATGTTGGTCAATAATTGGATGAAATGGTCCAGTTCGCAGCACATAGTCTGTACTTAGTGCTAATGTGTTCACCCAATGTGCATGTCCTTCCAATGTTCTGCAGAGCACTCCATCATCAGCTCTCCATACCTTAAAAATAATAAACAAGAAATTGCTGTATATTATAACTTCTATTCATAGAGCAGATAGTAGTCAAATTGTCAGTTTGAATCACTATTAGAATAAAAAAAATGGTTTCAACTACAATTAACATCTGTTATGCAAACCAACCTTTATTGTCCTATCTTGAGAAGATGTGTAGATGAGTCCATTACCACCCCATTTTACAGATGTGACTGCCTTAGCGTGTCCAGTTAGACTTAATATAGTGAGACCTGTCACTGTATCCCATATCCTAACATCTCCATCTTTAGAAGAACTCGCCAGTTTTCTGCAATCTGGATTTCTGAAAAACAAAAAATCAAATTTGTATACATTGATGAATTTTATCATTAAATGCATGTTTTTTGAAGTAAAGGCAGAACATACCTATGATAAGGTTCCCAAGCAAGTGCAGTGATCCATTGTTTATGTCCAATCATTGTTTTTCCAACTTGATTACCAGTGTTTGGGTCCCATATTATCACCCGACCTTGTTTGCAGGCTGAAGCCAATTTTAAACCATCAGGAGACCAACTTATGCAAAGAACCCAATTGGCATGACCTGTAGAAATAAAATATTGATAAATGGTAAAACTGCTTACTTACTCTCTTACATATTAGTAAATTAAATTACTTAAAAAGTATTAAAAGAACAGATAAAGTTAATATGATTTGTGTAACATACCTTTACAAACATGTAATGGAGTTTGAGTAGCAATGTCCCAGAACCTAACAGTTGTGTCTCCGGAGCCACTGGCTAGCTGCTTGCCAGACGGACTGAAACTTGTTGATATTACTGCTTCTGCATGGCCTGGTATTGAACTGGAATTTGTGGAATTTATGATTAACTAATGTGAAGTGATTAATTAACTCGTCGAGTACCGGTTTTATAGACACAATTAAAGAACAATAGGTCGCGGTCACCGGTGACCGCTTGGTGTTTGACAGTTTAACCCCTGGTATGCTAGAGACGTACAGTATACACGAGACACAATGTGTTTTCTATTGTGTTTCACATGCACAAACATATTAATTTAAATTAATTTAAATCTAGTCTGGTCTGCTCTAAGCAGGTCTTTTTAGCAAAACACTGGAAATAGAATTATTATTTTATGTTAGGTACATATAGTGTCAGTCAAATGGGTAATTAAAGCTATGCTATGACTTTCATGTTGTACTGACCTGGTACACCTGGTAACTGGCCTTACTCTAAACACAGCCTGCTGTTGATATATAATTTCAACCCCTTCTTCAGAGTTTAAATTTTTAATATCAAGTGCATCCTTCAAGGTATGCGTAATTTCAACATCTTTAACATAAAAAAGAAATGGTTTGTCTTCCTGTAAAAAGTAAATTAGGTACTATAGTATATTATTTATTACATATTGTGGTGAAACCTTGGGTTAAGTACATAGCAATGTATTTAGCTGTTAAGACAGGATGAACGAATTACTGGTATTTATATATACTAAATACAACTCACATACAAATATACTTACTTCTTGTAAGAGTTTATTACAAATACTCTGTAATTGATCTCTTGTTATATTCAGAGGCAGGTCAAGTGGACTGCCTGTCTCTTCTCCGGTGTCCGACTTAAGTCGGGCCTGAACAAAGCTCGGTAAATCAACTTCCATTTTATATTTAACCAAACTTCTTTCTTGCAGAACTGAGGATAAACATGTACATAACCTTAAAATCCACCTGAGTGCCAGAGTATATGTATCATTTTGTAATTTGACAGTGACATCTGACAACTTAGAATTTGATACATTTTCTAGATATTGTATTAATCGTCTAAGCCCCTAACTAATTAGTATTAATTATTTGTAATGATGACAATCAATTTAAAGATCAAGGAACTTATTGAATCGGCTAGTTTTGACCGAGTCTTAATTAAGTATTTAAGACTACAAGGATGTTGAAAAAAAATAGTATAAATAAACGAAGCCAATCCATTTAACAACTTTTTTCGAACTTATCCTAATTCCTAAGTGTAAACACATTAAATTCTTCCAATATTCCGTATCTGCGTATTTATTTCTAATTCACTTTAAACTTAAATTTCTTTATGTTGTGCAAAAAATATCTCATTTCAGAAAAATAATTGAAATTGACATTTACTTACTTTCCTTTTAATTATTTTTAGTGGCAATATCATGCCATAAATGTCCGACATCGGCATTTCACATACGTGTTATGTTTATTTTATTTGTACTCTAATTGGTTTTAAGAAGTTATTTGCTGCATAAAAATGAAATATTTATATTTATTATTTATTTTTTGGACTATAGTTAATTGTGACGAACATACACATACATATAAAGATGGTGAACAAGTGGTGCTCTGGATGAATACAGTAGGGCCGTATCACAATCGCCAAGAAACGTATGCATATTTTTCATTACCTTTTTGCGTAGGTACTAAAGTGACCATTGGGCATTACCATGAGACCTTATCTGAAGCACTACAGGGAGTCGAATTGGAATTCAGTGGTCTTGACATCACTTTCGGGGACAACATACCGGCGCAGCAGTTTTGTGCCATCGAACTAAGTGATCAATCCTACAAAGCACTCGTGTATGCGGTTAAGAATCACTATTGGTACCAAATGTACATAGACGATCTACCGATATGGGGAACAGTTGGCGAAATTGATGGGGACCATTATTATATTTGGACTCACAAGAAATTCGACATTGGATACAATGGGAACCGAATTGTGGAAGTGAACCTTACAGCTGAGAATAAGGAGCTACTTACACCAGACGCGAACATTCCGTTTACTTATGAAGTTAATTGGAAGAAAAGTAAAATCAACTATGAAGATCGTTTTGACAAATATTTGGATCCAAACTTCTTCCAGCATCGCATTCATTGGTTCAGTATTTTCAACAGTTTTATGATGGTTATATTCTTAGTAGGATTGGTTTCTATGATACTAATGCGAACACTCCGAAAAGACTATGCAAGATATTCAAAAGATGATGATCTGGATGATTTAGAGAAGGATTTGGGAGATGAATATGGTTGGAAACAAGTCCATGGTGATGTGTTCCGACCTGTCCCACATTTACCAGTATTTTCAGCACTGATTGGAAGTGGATATCAACTCACGGTTGTGACATTAGCCGTTATCATATTCACCATATTTGGTGAACTTTACACTGAAAGGGGCTCTCTACTTTCCACAGCTATATTTATCTATGCTGCCACATCTCCTGTAAATGGATACTTTGGTGGATCTTTGTATGCTAGGATGGGGGGTAAGCTTTGGATAAAACAGATGTTGCTATCAGCATTTTTGTTACCTGTGCTGGTTTGTGGTACAGCTTTCTTCATCAACTTCATTGCCATGTACTATCATGCATCTAGGGCAATTCCGTTTGGTAGTATGATAGCTGTCATGTCCATTTGTACTTTTGTGATACTGCCTTTAACTTTAGTAGGAACAGTTCTTGGTCGCAATTTAGCAGGACAACCTGATTATCCTTGTCGCATTAATGCTGTTCCAAGACCTATTCCAGAAAAGAAATGGTTTATGGAACCTTTAATAATCATTATTGTAGGAGGAATATTACCATTTGGTTCAATCTTTATTGAAATGTATTTCATCTTTACCTCATTCTGGGCATACAAAATTTACTATGTGTATGGATTTATGTTGCTGGTATTCCTAATTTTGATGATTGTTACTGTTTGTGTTACCATTGTTTGCACTTACTTTTTGTTGAATGCTGAGGATTATCGTTGGCAGTGGACTAGTTTCCTCTCTGCTGGTAGTACCTCCATCTATGTCTACTTGTACTCTTTCTATTACTTTGTTTTCAAAACGAAAATGTATGGGCTTTTTCAAACTGCATTCTACTTTGGCTACATGGCTCTATTCAGCTTAGCTCTGGGTATTATTTGTGGTACTGTGGGGTACATTGGCACAAGCATATTTGTCAGGAAGATTTATTCAACTGTTAAGATTGATTGAAATGTTGTGATTATATTTGAGGGTTTTGTTAGAGAAGTTTGTAATTTCAACTCATTGGGAATGTAACAACACAAAGCAATCAAATTAACAGCATTTATAATTGGTTCAAACTTGTGTAAATTTAAGTGTCAATCAGAGTAATTTCAAATTAAAATGTTGAATACATTCCTTAAAAAATTAAGATTGTGCTACAGAGCATTTAGATTATTGTAATTACATACTAATATTAGGCACCTACTTTAAACTCTTTACAAATGAAAATAATATAATTGTAATAATAATTAGAATTCTTCACTATGGAAATTATTCAGACATTAAAAATGTTATTAAATGTTGTTTTCAAATATATTATTTATCACTGCCATGATATGTTTTGTCATGTTTTCAACCTATACAATATCATCATAATAGTAGACCTACTATGTATGTAAGTATATTACCTTGTACTCTAATCTTTTTCATTGTTTGCATTGTGTCCTATAATGTTTTAAGTGTGAAAAAAATTATAAATTAGTAGTTAAATTGTATGTAATGTAAAGCTGAATTGAATAGAACATGTAGTTTAATAATACTGCTAACTATGAGAGTATTAAAGCTAAGAGCTCTGAAAGGTATATGTGACATTTCAAGTTATTGTGGTATAATTTAGTCATAATGGTATGCTAATATAATATAAACTACACATTATTATGTTTATCTAGAGTAATTTATGAACTGGCCAATTTGTTCTGTTATCCATTGTATTTTTATTATTATTTTAGTCATTATAATATGTAACTATGATCCCTAAATTACTGTCATGCTATTGTAATTGTGTGTAAATATTTCCCAGTCTTTCTAGTGTAAAATTATTATATCTTAGTGTTACTGGTACTTCACTGATAGTGCAATGACTGGTGGTACATTTATAGTAAACATTTCCCTAAAAACTAAATCATAAGTTTGTATGTTTAGTTATCAAATATAATAATATATCATATTTCATTACAGTTTTAGTTTAAACATTAAAAGTTACAGAAATGTCTCAAAAACTACTATCATTATGTTGTGCTGAGGTCTAACTGGCTTAAACTTTGTAAATACTAGGGCATTAATACTTTAATTAAGAATACCTAAGTTCTGGAACTTTATTGCGATTCTACCAGTTCGCCATTTTAACAAATTAATGTCACGACAAATTTACAACATGTATGCCATCCAATTCTCGTGTAACTATTTTGGCATAAAATAAAGACGAATAATGATATATACTGTTGTTTGATTTATATACAATTAAGAAATAAATTGAAAAAAAAAATCAATTAAGAAATTCAATAAAACCAGGAGAGTAAATTGTATAATCATTTATTTTACATAGCACTATCATCACCTTCAACGAATTTTTCAACATCAACAGCACCTTTTCTAGATTTCTTTCCTCCTGGAGTTTGCGCATTGAAACTTTGCGCTGTTCTTTTTCTTAACATAGTAACGTCTTCTGTGTCATCACCTTGTTCCGCCCACTCCAACACCAGTCTCCGCCCGTAAAGATGGGTCGATTGGCATAGTGCGTCGAAGGCAGACTGAACAACAAACGGAATAGTTGTCAATTTTATATTTAGGTGCTAACATTGGAAATTGCTCAAAATGTTATAAAAAATTATAAAGAAACTTTACCTTGGCGTCTGCTTTAGTGTAGTAATCCACGAATGCAAAACCCCGATGTTGATCCGACCCAGGAGCTAATTTTTTAGGCAGCCGTAAAGTTTTAATTTCACCGAAAGCCCTGTAAATTCCAAATTACGATATTAATAACATTAAATAGATAAGAATTTGAATCGAAACAGTTAATCTAACATTGCTAATGATATTAATAGTCATTTGGTAACTTCATATCAGTTCATTAAATACATTTTGTTAGTTTCCTGCATACATGTTTACGTCAGATTATTATTATCATCCATCACCTCCAAACTTACCTAAAAATTTCGTGTAATTCATTTCTATTTGCTTGAAACGGTACATTTCTTACGAGAATTTTAGTGCCATTTTGAGTTGTATCTTTATTGCTCTTCTTAGAAGTCCTTACTTCATTTCTGTAAAATATAATTAAATATGAATATTGATATCTTGCTCAGAAAGAAAATAAGCATCAAGTACACAATCATAAAAGAATGGAGAGTACTTACGTATTTCCCCTTTCTGATCTCTTTAATTCGAGAGACTTTCCATCCAAAGTAGTAACTTGCAGATTTTTAAGAGCTTCATTAGTGTGTTCCTTTTTATAATACTGCACAAAGCCATAACCCATTGAAAGAAACTGGCCAGGATTTTTCGGATCCTTCTTTTTTGCAATAGACACACTGTGTACTTTCCCAACCGATGAAAAATGCTGCATAAAATAAATAAATAATTATATATACATAAACCAGTTGATTAAACAAAGCTGATGTTGATAATGTTGATGAATACGTACCGCTTTGAGATTATCTTCGGTTGTTTTGAAATTAAGATTTTTAACGAATAATGTTGTATCATTTTCGGGTTCCTCCAGTTCTGTTTCATCTTCTTCCTTGATGTCTTGATTATTACTATCAGGTTCTTTAGATACCGGTGCGAGGGTGGATGAAGGTTCCTCATCCTGTATATCAGATTGTGCCGCAATCGTATTTTTATCTGAACCAATTATCTCAGCCGATTTTATAAACACATTTTCAGGTGCCCATTCCAAATAAAGCGGCGCGTTCTTAAATTGTGAATATGCCAGTTTTGTGAATGCTTTTTTTGCTTCAAACGGTTCAATGAAATCAACAAGGGCTGTTATGCCGTGTTGTGGCATTAAGAATCTTGCTATTTGTCCATGTTTTGCAAACAAAGACTTTATTTCTTCTTTTTCTGTGTTTGCTGGTAAATTTTTGACAAGAATGCATGTCTTTGATCTCTTTTTTGCGGGCTGCAGAAAACAAGAGATATGATTAAGTTATTTTATATTTACATACTAACTAAAATTCTTTCACATTTTATTAGAAATAGGTACTTACTTTGTTAAATGCTTCCAAATAAACTCCGTTTCCTTCAAGAAAAGCTCGGGTTTCGGCGACGAGCTGCGTTTCACCGAGGGCCAATCTGACAGCAGCGCTTGTATCTGTTACAATTGCAATGAAATATTATGAGTGCACACAAGTACTTATGCCGCTGTCCAAAGGATTAATATCAATTTCATATGTAAAGACATGTCGCGATAAAGGAGAAGCAAGGTCCTAGGGAAGTGCTATTAACAGGCGTTGCGCCATGGAGGCTCTGGCAGTTGTTCCCGGAGTCCCCCCCTATGACCTATATCGGGGTGATGCTGGTGGTCACAGGGTTGGTTTGGTTATAGTGAAAAAATACCATACCCCCTAGTTTATCTCCCTAAAAGTGAGCTGACTTTTGAAAGTTTCTCCTCAACATTAAAAAAGGAAAAGATTTCATATCTTTATAAATGGTCCTAAAATGAACAAACATTTTGACTTACTCTTGTTGTTGTCATTGAGAAGCTGTTCCTTCGTGGTGTTGTATGTGGATGCGATGACGTCAGCGACAGCATTTAGGCCAAGAAACAACACGTTCCAATTGTGAGAAGACTTCGCTTGCGCTTTCAGCTTCTTTGCTTTCTTCTCCTTGAACGATAGACCTTCTGTAACGAAAAGACATTTCAATTCAACGTCGAAATAGCTAATATTACTAATTGTGTGGTAAATTACTCTTCTAATTTACTGTATATTAATTTATTTTTAAATACAGAAATAAAAGTCTAAATTATAAAAATATTATTTCCTCTTGTTCATGCCCATGGCGTCTACTATTATTATACCTAAATGGACAAAACATAACAAATTATTGTAATTGGAAATCATATTCTAATCGATTTATACAATTTATTGTGGCTTCGACTTATCATTTCCCTCTAATGAATAACAACAGCACGACAGAATCAGTATTTACTATACAAACCTATCTATATCTAGTTTTTATTACGTAAGTACGTAATGGAGTTTCATTGCCGATTGCATTGTAAAAATTTTTACGACACGGTAACTAAAGTTGATAACAATTTTACTTCATTTACATTTTCAAACTATATTTTTCTCTCAATAAAACATGATATTCAAGGGATTCATAGAAATGCTAAAATAGTTTTATGTTGAATATTATTTTAAGCAGTTAAATATAACTGCTTAAAATACCATAAGGTATTTTACCTATAAAGGTATGTAGGTATCAGAGTAATCCAACTTAAGCATGTACCTGTATTGTTAGAAGTTATCGAGTCTGTGGTTTCTAATTCTGGCGTTTTTATGGTAATACAGGTGTTATTATTAATTAATAGAGTGCTCAGATACACCTAGGTCAAAGAACATAATAATTATAGGACCTAGGTACTTAAGGGTACTAATTAAAGTTAAGAGTAACTCAAAAAGTAATCTTTTATTTCATAAGCAGGTCAGGCAACAGCTCAATAAAATTTAACATCATACTACGTTAGAAATAAAGTTTATTTTTGAATGATCTAGTTTAGTAAATTGTAACATTAGTTACCTAGGCTGTTTACTAGCTAACATTAGTAATCCGTTGGCCATATCAAAATCTTAACACCAACTGTGACGAACGAAGCGCATGATTAGAGATTTAGATTCAGAGATTTACAACATTAACACGCAAATTATGATAACTCAATACCATTTGAGGTCATTTTGTGTTTTTATTTTAATCTCTTTAGCTAAGAGAAAGTAGACAAGAAAGTTTATTTTGAAAGTAAGTGTGTATAATTATGAAGACAGCTAGGTAGATAACTATAATATATAAACCTTAAATGTTAAACATGAAGCCTTCGGTACTTCTTATGGTATGATTTTTAGAGTTACCATAAAAAGCGCTAAGCATTTCGTAATTTTCAATACCTAATTAGGTACTGAAATTAAAATCAATCACGTCACTGTAACTTGGATGGAAACTTGCGCACTTTTTATCTCTGTAACGCAGGATTTTTTATAAAACGAATTTAACTCGTCGAGTACCGGTTTTATAGACACAATTAAAGAACAATAGGTCGCGGTCACCGGTGACCGCTTGGTGTTTGACAGATTAATACATACCTTCGTCTTCATCATCTTCAAGTTTCTCAGACTTGGCTGGTAATAGATGTAGCATTCTGCCGCAGAACGCCGTGCCATCCAGCTCTGTGTAAGCTTTCACTGCATGTTCTGGCATCACAAACGTTACCGTCGCGAAACCTTTCGGCTGCCGCAAGATAGGGTCAATTGGCATGTTGACCTCAGCTAGAGGACCTGCGAAGCAATAAAATCTTTAAAATTGACACATTATAAGGTACTTACTACTACCGATCTAGAGGCCTCGGGTTAGATTCCCAGATCGCTGAAAGAGTTATTGCTGCAAACTAGGCCAACTCACAGATTAGTCTAGCACGAAACAAGTACTTGTCTGTATCCACAAACACAAATCGCACACACCATAGGTTTGGTAGGTCACCAAACTCGGAACGAATAGGAATCAAGCCCCCAACACGTCAGTGCAGTGCAGACCAAAAAACACTTTGTTTTTATTACTACTCACCATATTTTTCAAATAAACTTGTCAATTCTCCCTCAGATACCACGTATGGCAGGTTTCGTACAAATATACTACCACTTTCTCCTATACTTTCTTCGTTGTTCGATATCTGAAAATAAAAAAAAATGTTATAATAGGTACATCTATGTTTCGCTGTGGACAACCACAGCCTATGGACAACCTATGGATATGATGATACATCTAAACATTGCTAAATTAGTCTCTAGTCCAGATAAGTGAATATAAATAAATTCATACTGGAAGTACTTATTCCATTTCAAAATTTATTGAAATATGTGTCTAAACCCAAAGGAAAAGGAGAGGTACACTGACATGTTAAATGCTAAACCCACTTTCCACCAGTTTGGTTATGAGCTTTATACCTAATACTATCTTTCACCCGCGGCTTCGCTCGCGTCACAAAAGGATAAAAAGTAGCTATGTAACATACCAATACATACAGCGCCATCTATCCCAACACTTTTGTTTTTCCTCGGAAATATCAATTTTTTCCGGGTTAAAAAGTACCCTATTATTTAAAGCGGACTTCTAACTTTACGTCTGCAAAAATTCAATGTAATCGGTTGAGTAGTTACGGCGTGAAGGTGGAACAAACAAACAAACTCACTTTCAGATTTATAATATTATTATATATATATGTCGAAGCGTCAACGCATATCAATTAATTTAGATGTGGCAACTATTGTTTGAGAACGTCAAGTAATTACTTGAGGATGGTTAGCGCGGAGTAATGGCAACACTGATGGAAATATCGATCCGGAAGTTTAATCAGACTTTGACATTTGACAGCGAATGACGTTGACAGACGTCACTGAGCGCGGGAAACACTTTTGGAAAGGATCGCGGCGGTGGCGGCAGCTAGAAGCGTTACTCCCTGCTAAACTTCCTGCGTTCTTACTATTATCAGTAATTTGGTATTTTGGTGTGATTCGACAATGTCGCGACCCACGGGTAGCGTATCTCCGACATCAGAAGTGGGATTGGACCACGACGACGACTCACGCGTTCGTAATGAAGCTAGTGACGAAAAATGGATGTGTCTGTTAGAACAACAGAACCGCAATTTTCTGACGCTGATTGAAGCTATGAAAACACCTACTTTGCCGTCACATGGCTTTCGTTTACCCGATTTCGATCCTGAAAAACAAGATGTGGATGCACGTGCTTGGGTGACGACTGCAGAGATGTGTTTGACGAACCAAGTCCAGCATGGCGCCCCGCTTATGGTTGCTCTAAGTCGCGCCTTGAAGGGAGGAGCTTCTACCTGGCTATCTACCGTGTCGTATCCTGGTATGACGTGGACCGATTTTAAGCGACTTTTTATTGCAAGGTACGATAATTCCGCTACTATTGCTTCGTTCATGATTGATTTGCAAAGCAGCAGGCCTAAAGAAAACGAGTGTCTTGCTTCCTACGCTGCTGGTTTAATGTCGTCGATCATGGCAAGATGGAATGGTCTTAGCACTGAACGTTTGGCTATTGCTACTATATTGGCTCACATTTCTCAATTTGATCGCCGTGTGCAACGCTTATCTTTCACGACCGATATTCAGACACGTGGCCAGCTACAACAAGAGCTACAAGCTGTTTCTTTTATGAAAAGAAAGGTACCTAGTGATGACCGGGATGCCCCTGAGAAGCGATACAGGGTGAATAACTCTGAGAAGCCTCTGAAGTGTTTCATCTGTGGTAAGCCAGGTCACAAATCCGTGCAATGCTACCATAAGGGTGTGAAACAGGATAATCAAGCTACTCCGAAGCACCACAACCACACCAGTGGCAATGGGAGAGGTTCATCAGCAACTGCGAAGCCTCGTGCATCTGGGATCACCTGCTTCCACTGCCATGCGCAAGGCCACTACGCATCAAGCTGTCCACGGCGCACCGAGAGGAGCAGTGCCGACTCCGGGTCTTCCAAGCCTGTCAATGAGAAGAGGGTTGACCTGTGCCTCTTGAACGCACCGACTGGAACTCTATGTCACTCCGGTGAGAAATTTCCATTTTATTATGACTCTGGTGCTGAGTGTTCATTAATAAAAGAATCAATAGCCCGTAAATTTAAAGGAAAGCGTATTAATGAGACTGTGACTATGACTGGGATAGGGCAGACTTCCGTTAACTCAACAATACAGATTTTAACTTTGGTAGAGATTGATGATATTAATATTGAGGTTTGTTTTCATATATTGTCTGATCATCTTCTACGTTATGGTATTATGATTGGACGTGAGATTCTAGAACATGGTTTGACTGTACAGTTGACTAGTGACCGAGTTAAGATCTTTAGGTCTCTTTTTATTGCTTCTTGTGAGGTAGAGCGAACCCTGAAATTGACTGGAACTCTATTGATACTGACATACCAGCGGATCGTAGAAAAGAGTTAGTTAGTACCTTGCAGGCCTTTGAGAAATCTTTTACTACAGGTATACCTACTGCACCAGCCGATACGCAGCCAATGCAGATTCGTCTGAAGGATACAAGTAAAACTGTAAATCGACGTCCTTATCGATTGAGTGTGGAAGAGCGTAAGGTTGTACGTGGTAAAATTGACGAGTTGCTTCAGGCTGGTATTATAAGGCCTAGTTCATCCCCTTACGCGAGTCCTATACTCTTGGTGGAGAAAAAGGATAAGTCTCTTCGACTATGCGTCGATTATCGTGAATTAAATGACAACACAATCTCTGATCGTTTCCCTTTGCCTCTTATATCGGATCAAATTGATAGATTGCATGGAGGACACTACTTTTCCACCATCGATTTGGCATCAGGTTTTCACCAGATCCCCATTGCAACAGAATCTATTGAGAGCACCGCCTTCGTTACCCCCGATGGTCATTTCGAATACCTGACGATGCCATTTGGCTTGAAGAATGCACCCGCGGTTTTTCAGCGTGCGATGATAAATGCTCTTGGAGATCTTGTGAACACCTATGTCGTTGTGTATATGGATGACGTCTTGATTGTTGCATGTGACGTTGACGAAGCCTTGGAACGTCTTAATATTGTCCTTAAGGTGCTGTCTGAAAAGGGTTTTACCATCAACTTTAAAAAGTGTACTTTTCTGAAACAAAAGGTAGAGTACTTAGGGTTTGAGGTTAACCGCGGAGAGATTCGTCCTAATCCACGTAAGATTGAAGCATTAACGGCACTACCACCGCCTGAGACTGTGACACAGCTACGGCAATTTATCGGTTTGGCGTCATACTTTCGCCAATTCGTGACACGGTTCTCACAGGTGATGGCGCCGTTATATGCCCTGACTTCTGGGAATGGTAAGTTGACCTGGAAGCCGGAACACGAGGAAGTTAGGCAGAAAATTGTAACCGCTCTCACAAATGAGCCTGTGCTCATGATCCATGACCCTGATGCTGAAACTGAAGTTCACACGGATGCCAGTGCCGTAGGCTACGGTGCGGTGTTACTGCAAAGAAAAGAAGGTAAGCTACACCCAGTCGCCTACTACAGCAAACGTACGTCTGACGCCGAATCGAAGTACCACTCGTATGAACTCGAGACCCTCGCGGTGGTCAATGCCGTAAAACATTTTAGGCGTTATCTCCATGGTCGCAAGTTCAGAGTAGTCACCGATTGTAATTCCCTGCAGTCCACACGCAAGAAGTTGGACCTGACGCCACGTGTTCATCGGTGGTGGGCCTTTCTACAAGGGTTCGATTTCGACATTGTCCATCGTGAAGGTAAAAATATGTGCCACGCCGACTTCTTCTCCAGGAACCCATTACCGCCAGCTGAAACTAAAAACAAGGTTAGTGAGAAGGTAGTACTTAAGGAGGTAAACCTCGCAGAGCTATCGCAAAATTGGCTGATGATGGAACAGCAACGTGACCCTGAGATTTTAAAGCTCTTGGCTGACATCGATACCAATGAGCTCCCTGTTGATGTTGCCAAAACTTACGAGCGACGATCCGGTGTCCTGCATCGAAAAGTGCAACGAAATGGTAAAAATCGTTGGTTACCTATTGTTCCCCGTTCCTTCCGCTGGTCCGTTGTTAATAACGTTCACGAGGGATTGCTGCATTTGGGTTGGGAGAAAACGCTGGAAAAACTCTACGACCTCTACTGGTTCGAGAACATGTCGAAGTTTGTGAGAAAATTCGTAGAGAACTGTGTGACCTGTAAGATTTCAAAGTCACACACAGGTAAGGTCCAGGCGGAGATGCACCCAATTCCAAAGGTAGCTATACCATGGCACACGTTGCACATCGACGCTACCGGGAAACTGAGTGGCAAAAACAACAAAAAGGAGTACGTTTTCGTTCTAATAGACGCCTTCACCAAATTTGTTATGCTGCATCACACCCTGCACATTGATACAGCAAGCAGCATCAGAGCGCTGAAGGCTAATGTCGCTATCTTCGGTGCTCCTTCGCGCTTGATCGCCGATCAAGGGCGCTGCTTCGCTGGCAAGGAGTTCAGGGAGTACTGTGCTTCAGTTAATATCAAGCTACACTTGGTCGCCACAGGTAGTTCTCGTGCCAACGGACAAGTTGAACGAGTGATGAGCACGCTCAAAAACATGCTCACTGCTGTAGAAACAAGCAATCGCTCGTGGCAGGATGCGTTGCCCGACGTTCAACTTGCCCTCAACTGTACCGTAAGTAGAGTCACGAAAGCTAGTCCACTCGAGCTACTGATTGGTAAGACAGCTAGACCTATCGATATTATGACGGCAAATGATGAAGAGCCTCATGTCGACATCATTGAGGTGAGAAAAATGGCTGTTGAGAACATGGAGAAAGCTTCTGCCTATGACAAGCAACGTTTCGATTCTACGAAGGCTAAAGTACAGTCATTCTCTGTAGGTGACTTTGTTTTGCTGCAAAATGAGGAGCGGAACCAGACGAAACTTGATCCCAAATACAAGGGACCGTTTAGGGTGATCGAGGTTCTGGATGGTGATCGGTACGTTTTGAAGTCTCTTTCTTCCGCCCGGACGTACAAGTATGCACATGACCGACTGCGAAAAATTACAGATGTTGACATACATGTAGGTGACGATGACGAAACTAGCCATGACGATGACGATAACACCGACATAACTTGTTGAATGCTTTCAACGTAAAATGTACC